TTAAATTTGTATTAACCGAGAAGTTCCGACCATCGCACTTGCCTACGGTTAAGAACTTTAGTAGTTATAAAGGTTAAGAGGTTCTTATAGTCCGTAAGGATAGTGAGTAAGGGGGCTCCTTCGGCGTAAACTCTCTAATGTTATAGGGCTACGACTATAGCGAGAAGTTCTTTGTTATGAATGTCGTAATTCTGTTCTGCTAGTGTCATCTTACGTAAGTAGTAAGCTACGGGATGTCGTTTCCCTTCGTAGTCTTACGTAAGATATGCTCTAATCGCTCTGTCGGATGTATCGGTCTCGATATAGACTGGCTTTCCTAAGTTAAACATTCTTAGAGTAGGTCCGTCGATGTATGCCTGTTTAAGTGCTTCGAAAGCTTTCTATTGCCGTTCTTTCTATATAAATAGAGTATCTTACTTCGTAAGTTCTACGAGCGGTAACGCTGTCTAGGAATAACCTAATATAAACTTCCTATTATAATTAGCAAGTCTAAGGAACGATTATACTTCTTTAAGATTCTTCGGAGTAGGCCATTCTTTAATAGATGTGATTTTCGTAGGATTAATCCAGATGCCGTCGACTCCTATAATAAAGCCGAGGAATTCAGTTTCCTTAACGTGAAATTTACATTTCTTTAGGTTTGCCTTAAGTCTCCGTTCTTAAAGCTTAGTTAAGACTTGTTATACATCTTTTACGTATTATTCCAGGTTTCCTTCTATATAGATTAGGATGTCGTCGAGGTATGCGACAACGGTCCTATCCAAGTATTCTCGTAGCGTGTTATTAATCATCATCTAACAGGTAGCCGGGGCGTTAGTAAGACTAAATGGCATAACTAGGTACTTATAGTGCCCGTAGCGTGTTCGAAACGCAGTCTTCCATTCTTCTCCCTCCTTCATTCGGATAAGGTTATAGGCTCCTTTAAGATTAATCTTTAAAAACTACTTAGCCTTCGAAAGGCGGTCTTATAGTTCTTTAATATTTAGCAATAGGTAACGATTCTTAATAGTAATATCGTTAATCTTTCGGTAATCGACGTATAGTCGTAAGCTGCCGTCTTTCTTTAGTACAAATAGAATCGGGTAACCTATAGGGGATTCTAATTTTCGGATGAATCCTCGTACTAAGTTCTCGTCTAGGTATTCTCGAAGCGTCTTAAGTTCTTTTTCGGATAACGTATAGATAGGTCTAAATNTAGGTTACTTCCCTAGTTCGAGTCTAATTTCGTAATCCTACGGCTGATGCCTAGGTAACGCGTTTACGTTCTCCTCTTCCTAAAACAAGCGTTTCCATTTGCTATATTATTTAGGGATATTAGAAGGTACGTAACTTCCTTTAATAACTCTCGCTTCGTAGCCCGTCTAACCTCTAAGATCGGTGCCTACGGAGCCGGTATTATGCTTCTTTGCTAATGCCTTAGTCGAGGTAATAGCAACACATACTATCATAGCCTAATTTCGCCCTTTCCTCTTATCTACTACCGAACGCTGCCGGTGCGTAGGTCGCGAGTCGACTACGTAGTCGCACTCCTCGAACCTTAACAATCGTGATATCTAATCGATTGCCGGGTTATGTTACCTTAACTAGGGCATACCTAGGACGATGTAGTAATTAGCCATTTCTATAACGTCTAAGATGATGTCCTTATAGTGCCGTTAGGTAATAATCCTTAGAGGTACCGTTTCCTCTAATACGCTAGGTAACGCTAAGCCGTCTACCGCTATTAGGTCGTATCCGTATTCTTTCGATCGGGTAGCTATTCCGAATCGAGCGACTGCCGATNTAGATATAAAGTTTCCGCTTGCTCTAGAGTCTATTATTACGTACAGTCGTTTTCCTTATACGGTAATTAGTGTACGAAACACCGTTGTTAATGATGTTAATGCTAGGGCTTAGATCGTGTTGCATTCTCGTTAGCTGCCCTTACTACAAGAATCTACTCTTTTCCCGAATCGATATTAATAGGTAGGTTCGCAAAGGTGACTTTACCGTTACTTTTAGTTCCTATTTCGAGTTCGTAGAGGTGTCGTTTATACAGCACTCGTTGCTGTTATTAAGCTTATCCGTATCGAGATCGTAGCAAATTAATGCCATCTCGCATACTTCTATTAACACATTCTCTAGTAGGAATGATATATCCTGTAGGTGTAAAGGTACTTCCGAGTAGCGGCCTTTCCTAAATGAAAGCCTTAAAGTCGTAGTCGACTACCATTAATCGATATTCCTAAAATGCCTTACGGATCTAATCTAGCATGTTATCGAAGTTATAAGGGTGTAAGAATCTTTGTCCGTTAATCTTTAGGAAGGCTTCCTCTCCATGTTTAATCATAACGTTAAACATCTTAGTAAAACACGATAGGACATAAGTATAAAGTACTTCGATGCCTTCCTTACTATTATAAAGATAATTATAGTCGTTATCGATAGATTCTTCTTCAGATTCCTCCTTACTATCGGTAGTGTCCTCCTTAGGATTACTTTCGATACTATCCTCTTTAATTTCTCCTTCCTCGAGGTCATCCTTCCTAGTAATAACATTATAGTAGCCTTTTCCTCTACCCTTTAGCTGAGAGGGAAACCATCTAGATCCTATCTTAGAACTATAGTGGATTAAGCAGCTGTCGTCGTAGCATGCGGTCCAGCTAAGCCTTCCATAGTAATCATATTAAAGATTCTTAATCTTCGGTTTCGGCTTCTCGAGTTCCTAGCGCTCTAGCCCGACGTTAGGGCGGCGCTGCATTATATTAAATTGTCTTCGAGGCACTTTGTTTTTCGAATGACAATCCCTTGCTATGTGGCCTTTCTTACCACATCTATAGTAAGTTATCGAACTCTTCCCTTTAAACTGCTTCTTCCTATTCGATCGTCGATCTTCGGTAACGTCTAGTTCCATTAGCTAGGGTCCGTAGGGATCCTAGTACTAGTTACGTCTACCAAAGTTGTTCTTTCCTTTATGATTACGGTATAGGACGTAACTAGACTTGCCTCGGGGGGCTACGTCATAGCGTCGTTCTATAGTACGTTCGTAAAGATTGTCGTCGATTTCGATCGTTATACGGATAAGATTATCTAGATCTTCGATTTTTATGCCGGCTCGCATAAGTTCGTCTTTAACATTTTCCTTCAGACTACGTCGATATATAGTTATAAGGGCAGAGTCATCCTAATCGGTGACTTAGGCGTACTCCTAGAACTTAGCGGCATATTCGGATGCTAAAGTGTGCTAACGGATGTGCTAAATAAGGCGTATAGTAACCTTGTCTTCGTTAGAGATGCTAAAGATACGGCGTATCTCGGTCTTAAACTTGACAAAGCTCATTATAATCCCGTTAGTGTCCTTACGTTTGTCGAGGAACTTCTAAAGTATCGGTTTCATCTAGTGCTAGGCTCTTCTACGGAGATAGGTACTAGCAAAGATAGTCTTCTTAGCTTCCTCTATAGGAGTAAAGATGTAGTAAAGATCCATCTGGTTAAGCCAATCGTTAAGCCCCTAGCGGTCTCTATAGTAGAGGTCGGGCTTAGCGACTTTGCTATCGTCACGAGTAGTGCTAGTGGAGCGGTTTCCACCAGCCTCGCTGGGTGTACCTCTCGGGGTGGTGTTACTTAAGTGACTTATTCTGAGGGCGTTTAAAGTTGTTATAGCCAACTATCTTAGATAAGATAACAGGTCACGGGGTTAGACTCGTAAAGCGGAGTGTCAAGCGAGGTGAAGCAGGTAGTGTATAAAGTAGTGTATACTAAAGGGACTGTTAGAATAACTAATTGAGTTGAACGCAGGACTACCTAAGGTCGTCCTGCCTACCTATATACCTAATAAATAATGAGTGTATGCATGTTGCTCTGTATGCTCTGTTATGCTCTGTAGAGCAGAGCAGCAGAGCAGAGCAGAGTAGATGGCATGTCCTGCAGAGTGCTCTGTTCCGCTAAGGTGCGGGGAACAACAGAGCAGGCTGCGCGACCCTGTCATTGGCAGGATCGTAACAATAGCTTACTCGCTAAGTAGGTAAGCTAAATAAGTAACCCTAACTATATTATTAGTAGGTTAACTTACCCGCTAAGTACGTAAGGATCGGTATATAGCTATCTTACTTACTTTCTTAGTAGGTAAGGACCTTTAACTAATAGTAGATCGTAATAGTAAGTAATACTAGCGTCGACGTTAGTAAAGTAACTTACCTTAGTAAGTAAATACCTCTTTACTTCTAATTTTAGACCTTAATCTATACTTATAATAGCTACTACCTTAGCCTTTCTTGTATCTATATATAGCGAAGAATAGGCTTATTTCTAATCTTACATAGTAATAGCTATTTAGCGCTAGTTCTATAGTAGAGAGCTATTTCTTCTAGTTAGACTACTCCTAGTTAATGAAGTTCTAGAGGTATATTTAGGCTTCTTAGTTTAGTCTCTTAGGGCCTCCGTCTATTTATAGGTAGTAAGCGGAGCTTAATCTCCGCTATATACTAACTAGTCGGTAAAGCTTTATTTAGAAGGTACTTATCTAATTCGTTCCTTTATTACTTATAATAGCGCTCGGTATACTATAGTATCTTACCTAGTAGTTTATAAACTTTATAGCGTAGTCCTCCGCTTTTATATTAGGTATCGCCTCTAATACGACCTACTTAGATAGACGATCCTTAATAACCTAGAGGTACTAGCTACCTTATAAGTCGGGTAAATCTGTTATAAAATCTATAGAGATCTCCTAGAAGAAACAGTCGGGGACCGGTAGTAGTCTTAGGAGTCCGTACTTATACTCTCTCTATACTTTATTACATCTATAGTAGTCGTAATTCCTTAAGAACTGCCTTACGTACCTAGATTATAGCGGCTAGTAAAAGTCGCGAGCTAGTAAGGAAGCGGTAGCGTCTCGGCCGGGGTAGCCGTAGACTAGAGAATCGTATACGGACTAAATAAAGGCTACCATATATATCGAGTCTGGTAGATATATATTAAGTGGCTCGGCAAACTAACTTCAACATCTGTCCCTCAGTATTCTCATATACCGGTCTTCGCGACAATAACTATGGACTTTCTTTCGATAGACTCCTGCGTTTAACAAACGTATGGCCACAATGTGTCCTCCCTGCTGTCAAGAACACCCACACCTTATGATTCAGGTTACGCCAGCGCGCCCGATGACCCTTTCGAGAGCTTTTGCAAGTCTCAGTCCTCTCAGCTGCAATCGTTTGCGCACTCCGGTATTCCAGGTTCCGAGCACGAACCTACGTCCACGTTCCAAACCAACATACCGTGGAAACGGCCTTCGAGACCTCAGTTGTGTCGTACGCAACCTATCTCGACTCATCTGTACAACTCCCAACATCCCACCGTCCAGGAGAACATCGGCATGTCAGTTGATGCGGGTATCAATAGTATGACTGGCTACTGCGACATCGACTCTCTACTCGCTGCTGCATACAATAACACTTGCACGACACAGACCAGGCGCTTCCAGTTTTTCGCATCTCAACACCTCACGCCCTCTCAATTATCGACTCAGCCACTTCCTTTTCACGAACTAGCAAGTCCAGAAGTCGATGACTCTCCTGAGTTCATGGAAGAGACTTCCGAACCTGCAAACAGAGCCAACAAAGGACGACGGCGTGGACGTACAACCCACATGGGGGTAGAGCAACGCTACCGTGATAACATCGTCTCTGCCTTCCAAAAACTTGCTAGCACGATTCCGTATATCCAGACGACTCAGCCGGCTCGGGTGGGTCAGATCCCTAAGCCTAGCAAGGCGGAGATCCTACTTAGTGCGAGTGAGTACATTCGACAGCTGGAAAGGGAGATCGAGCAATTGAGGCTGACACTTATCTGCAATGGGAGTCCGATGAGCGAATACGCAATGGAATAATATTTATGAAAGAGAGCTTAGCATAAGTACTCACAAAGCTTAAAAAAGGAACATATGTCGAAGCGTCAGGCAGTCACCGTATGATACACGGATGAGATAGATGTTTTGAACAAGTTCGGTAGCGAGCGATAGCAGACAACGTTCAATGATCTCAGTCTACACATAAAAGCTGGCCTTCGTATCGGTGCCCTGCACTGCCGGTTTCCCCAGTCACACTTCACCTGGGCACATCAAGATTTGTGAGGGCGCAATAGATCATGCGCATCTGTGACACTCCGGTCGGAGCGAGACACTTCATGATTATCTAAACGTCTTCAGGGCTCTCTCGAGGTCTGAAAAGTGGAACCTGGAGTTTCTAAATCTCTATGGATGTCCGGTAGGGAGCGATAAGGTATGATACCAGGGCAGTGCTCTCTACACCACGGTCTTGTTGCCAAGGTAAAGCTGTTAGGGCAACCCACCCACGCTTTCGGTTCGTTGAACGCGACGTGGAAGATTTGACTTACATGTATGTTCACGCCACCCCACCTGCCAGGCTCGACGAGATTAAAACCATGGATTACAATGGCACTGCTGAGCCCACTTCTGGATGCCATCGATCCAAACTCCAGCGGTCGCGCGAGCGCATGTCAATCGCAAAGTCGACATTGTTCGAGAGGAGAAGCAGCAGGAAACCCAACAAAACAGGACCATCAAGGCGTGTTCGAAACAACGACCAGAGCGTGCTCAATGATAGGTCTCAGCTATGGGCGATCTTGGTACTAATCGTCTAAGTGTTGATGAGATTGATTATGACCATTATACAAGTCACAAATTATACACAAAGGCTGGACCTCACACCCCCGGTCTTTGGTCTTAGCAAGAAGACCTTCTTGCATGTTCACGAGAGCGAGACACATGGTGTCGAGCAAAGAGGTCAAAGAGTGCGCCAAAGACTGTTCGAGTTCTCCGTCCAGCGCTCTGCAAGGTCCTCAACAATCTCGCCCCGCAGCCTTTTTCGGATCCGGTGTGCATGCTCGGTATGTCATAGTGACACGGCATATAGCTTCCTTCAACAAGGCAGGTCTGTGGCGGCACCTCGCGACGAAATGAGCTTAGAACCAGCCCTTCCATCATCTCCCATGTTGCCTGTATGGCTGGTTCAAGGACTTGGGGATCAGCAGCGCGTTTCTGCAGACGAACTCTGAGAATCGGATCGCGTATCTGGGAGGGTAGATTGACTTCGCACTCGCTACCGGGTAAGAGGTAGGTGTCGACGAGTGAGACCCACGAGTGCATCAGATCTTGAAGGTCTCGAGATGGTAAAGATAATTTGCGGCTAGAGGCACTTAGAGCATTCTCATAGCGCTCCTTGTATTGGGCAGCTGCAAGAGCAAACTGGAGCATTTCCAGACAATAGTGGTCAGAAAAGTATTCGATGAATGAAGCCTGCGTCCAAAACATCGGGAGTCTTTCTGCTAAGACATCTTCCATTTGTACAGTCATCCTCTGATCCAGGAAACTATGCGCGATTGTATAGATAATGCTGATTGTGATAACCACAAAGTAGAGGGTGATGTATCCAGGAAACCGCCCGCGCATCAGAGATTGACCGTGTGATGGGTTACTTTTGACAAGAGACTGGATCAACGTGAGAGTGTATAAGCAAAAACGATAAGACGATAAGGCGACAGGGGCGCAAGATGATCTTGAGATCTAGGACGCTGCGTATCTTGACATCTTATGGATCACCTGTTACGCGGCCAATGTGTCGTCGCCCACGCTGTAGTGGAATGAACCATCGCCAAATTTTGCTAAGAAACAATATAAGGTCAAGATATACGACCTGAATATCGTTTAATAACGTCGGGCGACCCATGGAGGCCGTTGAAAGCTGAATACGAAGTTGAACGTCAGCGACGCAAGAAAGATGTCACAGGCCTTTTCGTTGCTCAATCTGTCTCGCGCCGACAAAAAACTACTGCTGATTATGGGGCATGCAGTGATGCAGATGACTCAAAGGAAATACTGGTGCTCTGCGACTAATTTCTCAAAGACTTGACGCGCGATCTCGATAACCCCAGGATAGTATGACACTGGCGATATTTGTGTTGAGCGGGGTCATATATAAACAAGTATCCCTGCGCCGCCCGACGAAAGAGAGCACTGCTTTTCGATACTGCTCGACCGTTCTACAGGCACGAATATCGAACCGCGAAACATTCTAATGACCTCTCACTTGTCACTACAGAATATTCCTCCACGCGGCGTTCTAGGGCAAGGTCGTATTTCGCAAACGGTTGACGTCTGCATCCGAACACTATACGAACACTGGCTTAAATTCCGCTCAATTTCTAGACAGACCGGAGGCAGGTCCGCGATGCGCAACTTGGTACGCCATCATTTCCCATTGGAAAGTTCTTCCCTCCACAGCCACGGCAGTATTTCACACTCAGAGTGACTCGTAGACTGTGTCGGACTGGCTGCTTCTATCTCATACCAATGTTATCGTCCAAAGAGGTTTGAGCTAACAGCCATCGCTAGGCGAGACAAGTTTCGTTATCATACTGATGGCTGATAGTCCCCAGCTTATGCTATCTCCACATAAACCCAGCAATGATAACGAGCGATTCAGCCAACGGTTGGGTCTTCTTTATTCCCGGAAATCCTCGTCTCCGTCAATAGTGAAGCCTGTTTTGGATGCCTAGAGCCATTCACCATTACCAGTGTCAACGACTCCAACAAAGTCATTCTGTCAATGCTCTCGATATTGCTATAAGTCAGCACCCTCCCAGTGAAAACATGGTCACTTGTCCATCGATTTCCATCCCCGCAATTCCTTACCTCCATATTTATTTATATCAACTCAATACTACATCGCAACGACCAGCAATGCTGTGCTATCGCAAAGGCACCTGGACCGAGGAAGAAGACAGCATCTTACTGAGCATCGTAAATGCTTGTGGACCCTGCCATTGGTTTCGAGTCTCGGACATGTTAGGCACTCGAACAGCCAAGCAATGCGCCGAACGATACTATCAGCACTTACGACCAGGTCTCAACCATGGACCGCTCACCAGCTACGAGTGTTTCCTGATAGATAAGATCATCCTCGAGAAAGGGAAGTGCTGGGCATACATCGCGAAACAACTTGTGAATCGCAGTGAGAACAAGATCAAGAATTGGTGGTACAGTCGACGATATAAGCAATATCGTGAGCGAAGGGGCAAAGAGCTTGATGTGAGATATCCTCCATCAGATCTCGAGTCTTCTGACATTGCGCGTTTGGTGGACGTTCCCAGTGGTCAAGGGGTGACGAAAGTATCTCCATCCTCGATGAATTTCGACACTACAGTATTGGAACCTCGAAGTGTCCAGAGATACGATCGGCAGTTAAGTCCCAAGGAGTTTTTCCTTCCCCAATCTACACCCAGGGCTTCGCAGAACCGAAATATCTCATTCAGGTCAATTATTTCGACGATGGATTTTCAGAACGCTGGGAATGCAGACAGGATGTCCAAGGTCCAAGCACACATGCATGCCTTACCTACATCCGCGTTCAGCCAGCTCGGATCTTTCACAACCCTGGGACCAAATCATCACACAGCTCAATATACCTTCCCCAGATATAAACTCAAATAGCAAGCAGCCTCAAGCCCTGTCCATATGTAGGAGACCAATTCATGCTTGAAGTTCTAGTTGCTCATGCTCGAAAAAATGGTCTGTGCAGCCGGATATGACCTTCTATTCTCCTCTCGTTCTCTGAGCTGAGTCAACGCTATGTCATGCGGATCCTACGCCGGGTATACACACTACTATGCTCATGCCTGTTTGGGTGCCGAGACAAAAAGCCTCGTTTCATGTGATAGACTTTAAATTACGGGTGTTACAGTCAAGCTTCGTCGTTGCCGTGTCGCAAAGTTCAAGTCTCCCGTCCTGCAATAGACTTTCGTCACGAGCCCTCATTGTTTGATTCGACGACAAATATGAGTGATTCAACATCATGGAACAATGAGTGCGCTAGAGGCAGTATCAGCGATGGCCGCTGCAGAGTTAAAGTGCTGTATGTGTTTCCGGAGTGACTTTCTTTCGTTGGGGCGCAGCTCGTCATTCATCCGTGCACAGATCGAAGTGAACCTCAGATACCCGTATACACTCATGACATCTCTTGAGCGGGGAAGAAAGATGGAGCTGGATGTAGCCCGCATTCTCCAGCGCTAATGCTCCATCAGCCCATAAATGACCCTGTTCAATGGCTAAATATGCCTCGGGTAAGTTCGTTGTCAGTCCCTGGAGAATGCATTGCAACCAAAACTGTCGCCTCAACTTTGCCTAGAGCTTTGCTCAATGGACGTTTCATGTCATCGAAATAGGCGCCGACATGTATAATCATCAATTTCGTAGGCTACGGTAATTCCTGGTAAGCGAATAAGCCAGCGCCCAAGGACTAGTGCTGGGACAGCTTGAGGTGTCTCGGTACCGCACAGCGAAAGGACCGCGGACCCAACTCCAGCGTCGACGCCTTGGGCTTGATTCGTTGGCGCTAGCTACTCGACATGGCGAAAAGCCGTTTTGGGGAGATGAACGGCAGATTTAAGTCTTTATGCTTTGCACTAGTTTTAGGTCTCGCACAAGACCTAACTCTATGAGGGGTGCTCGATGGCTCCATGTGGACGGAGTTCCCCATCATCGATCTTTCTCTTCATTCTGTTGGTGGCCCTAGCGACAGCTTTGATGATAATTTACTTGCCGTTCGCAGGACCATCGTTACTGAAGCACATAAAGACCATGGAGAGGTCACTGTTCTGGCCATAAATCATATTCAACCAGTACAGCTTACAGGCACTCGTCGACATACGTCCTTATCCTTCGGCATCGATGACCAATTGACTCGTGTTTCGGAGCGAAAATAATGGCAAAGCTGGAATTACGCAGGGATTTGTGTGATTGTGGAGGGCACTTTGAAAAGATCAGGCAACAAATCATGCTTTTTCTGCTCTTTTTCCAAATGCGATTCACACAGCGAGAAGCACTCTTGCTGTGTCCACTCTTGCGAAAATCTCATGGGAAGCCTAAACCGTTGCTTCCTTCTCCACGTGAACCCCATCATTCGACGCGTATTGGCAGTGCTACCTTTCGTGCCCAAGCCGACACTCGGCCTCCATGTTCCATTCGATCTGAGAATCTACATCAACGGAGATATCTACGGCTGTCTTCATCCTCACTACTGGGCCGGGTCGTCACGTCTGCATGCCACAAAGCGTAAATCTAGGCTGCGAGATTGACAAGATTGCATCACTCTTTCGAACCAAAACAGTGATCGCTCAAGGACTGAGTGTAACACTACACGCACCGCACGATTCATCCGCACACTGGTAGCTGACACGTTGAGCTTCAGTCTCACACAGCATATACGACTGCTCGCCAGCGTCTGCTCTCAATCATCCTCGATCGATTACCGACAGCCGCAGCGTCCGGTAATTCATCCTCTTGGTCACGAAAGCATTACTCTCTAGCAACCCAGCTTCTTCCAACTTCACCCTCACATCAACCAATTCACCGAAAATACACAAAGATCTCCGGCTGCGAGTTTCTAAGTGCAATGATTCGTTGGTCTGTCTCAGCAGCAGACGCGACGGTCGAGACTGACAGCGCAAACCGACAGGTCCACCTATAGCTCTACGACTCTATCTAGATTGCTTACGTGTTTAAACAAGGTCCTCGGCAGCGTTCTCGGCGACGAGAATCTGAGCAAAGCGGACATTTAAGCTCTTCGTCTGACGTGTAAGGAACTACCGCTAGCTATAATTTGTGTATTCGTATAGAGATTTTTCACTTCGCTATATACCATTCTAGCCCGGCATAGCCTTAAGGTAATAGAAAAAGTCTGTAGCCACCCTATAATTAGTCTACACACCTAGTCCGTCGTATCTCTAGCTACCATTCTTGACCCCGGCAAAGTCATAAGTCTTACTAGAGCGGTCTGTCAGCTTTGTGGAGCAGGGACATCCAGCTCACCCGGATCGCAGTCGCAGCTTTTGGAGCGTACACGAATTGCTGTACCTTGACTCAAAGGGGGAAGTTGGAAGCAGCCGAGTCAGGAGACGACTCAGGCAGGAAGCAAATAGTTTGGCGCTCACTTTGGCCACTTGATCGACTGAAGTTCTAGCCAATTCTATGTCTGAGTCACCCAATTGACCTGGAAAAGAGAGGACTGCAGCGCTTTTTGACTGGGGACGCGGTCCTTTATTCAGTTTTCGGATTTGCATAAAAAAAAAAGGCGGGGTCTTCCGCCGGAACCGAAGATTGACCCCTAGGGTTCGGCCAGAAGCTCACCGTTGTGGCTGCACCTTCGTGGAGCAAAGCGGTGCTTCACTTACGCTGAGCGGAGAAACTCAGTCTCCAATGACGAATAGCATTGCTAATCCCGGCACTATCTTGCCTCAGAGCTTCGAGAAGTTCCAGGGATTGGTAAGCCCAAGAAAGTTCGAAAATTGTGTCCTCGCGTCTGACGAAGTCGGTGAGAGTCGTCTGATATAAAGGTGGCTGCTCCCTCAACCAGAACAAGTCAGATCAACAAACAGATATTAACTGTATTGGCACGCATTCACGACCTAATTCAAGATCATCATGGCTCCCACAATTCTTGTTGTTGGATCTACCGGCAACACTGGCAAGAGCGTCGTCCACACTCTACCAGAGCTTCTACGAAACAGCAAGACCATGTCGGATCATCGCATTCTCGGCCTCACTCGAAATTTGGAGAGCCACGCCGCTCAGTAGCTCGCCGCTCTCCCTAAGGTCAACATGGCGGAGAAGGACTGGACCGAGATAGATGCTGACTGGCTTCGTGAAAATGAAGTCGTCAGGGCGTACATCGCACCTCACAATGAGCCCAGCCAATTTGCAGATGAGTCAGCCTTCTACGCTGCCCTTCTTCAGGCCGGCGTCAAGTATGTGGTCAAGGTCTCAACCAACGTCAAATATGTTGGTCCCACCAACCCTGTCTACTACGGACGTTCGCACTGGGCAATTGAGAACCTATTAGACCAGACCGAGTTTCGAGGTCTGCAGTGGACATCGCTGCAGCCCAACTTTTTCACCGCAATGTACCTTTCCTCGGCCGCTCAGTGGATCAAGGCATATCGCAGGACAGGAAATCAAGAGGTCTTGAAGACGAACGTCGCTGAAGACGTCGCTGTGGCTATGATTGATCCGCGCGATGTCGGGAAAGTTGGCGCCCATCTCCTCACATTGGATGATGTCACTCCCCACAACGGAGCTCGCTACGTTCTCAGCGGTCCAGAAGATATCAACGGAAAGGACATTCTCGAATTGGTGGAAAGCTTTGCCAACGTCAAAGTGGAGACCGTGGAATACAAGGATGTGTCCTGGATTGATGATCTGGCTAGTTCGGGAGTATACCCAAAGAAAGTCTTATCGTCGATCAAGGCTGGATGTATTCCTCTATGGAATGCCCAATGTTCACTCTCTGGCTCTCCCACCAGCAAAAAGATCATCGCGCTTGCTGCACCAAGTCGCACACCCATTCAAGCTCTCGAGACCATGTTGCGAAACTAAAGGTCAGGAGTACCACGTGAAGACAGACATGTGAACGTCTGAAAATCATATGTACTAAAATTATGTATACATCACTTGCAGTATATCTTCCATGCATCAGCCAACCTACGCAACAATGTGCCCCTGATCAACACAGGGTTAGACCCTAAGACTACACCCGCCCTCTACAAAATCCTACGGCTGTTTACTGGCGTCTGGGCTCACTGCATCTAGATCTCGATTCTCTGTCGCTACGTGGTCGAGAGAACGGCGATTCTGTGATGCGTTTGTTCTATGCCGCGCCGAACTTGCGTGAGTTCATCCTCACCGCGGGATGCACCGAGATAGGAAAGAATGTGGGCATCTCATTCCTCGACAACATCGTCCGACTGCTTCAATTCGAACCTAAATCCAAGCTTCATGTCCTTGTTCTGCGGGAAGTCGCAATCAGGATGGAGACCATGCTTTAGCTGTTCCAGCACCACAGTGGCGCCCTTCAGGAAGTCGAATTGTCGGTATCACTCTGCTTGAATCTTGGAAGGAGTGCTACCTGTGGATGCGCAAGGAGCTCAAGCTAGAGAAACTACACATGAGGAGTTTCTTCGAGATCAATTCAAACAACAAGTCGGGAAACGGACTTTTCTTTCTCAAGTGCTGGCACAAAAGGAGCATTCGGTTCAGCGGCAAGGAAAGCGTTGAAGATGGTGGGGACCTTCTTAGGATTCGAACGAAGAGATTTGACCGGTAAACCAAGAAGACAGAGACGCAAAGTCGTCTGTGATATGACAATCTAACCCCAGTGAGAACCTAATTGCTGGAACAGCGAAGACGAAGTAGAAAAGATTTCTCTTTGACGGATTGCTTGGAGGAGAGAAGGATTCAAAAGTCAAACATTCAAGCTTTCGATGGATATTGAGGATAACGGAGAGACACTGCGCGTGTATCAAGAAGAAAAATCGAGGGCACGTGAGTCTGGAGACAATGGAAGTAGAGAGAAAACACTTGCGTTGCGAATCCATCTTACCCACATATCCTTGTATTCTAGGTCATCTATGCAGCAATCAATTGCTTACAAAACACACAGAATCTTCCATCTCTGAATGTGAGACACACCCGAGGTTGGCAAAGCAAGAGGAAGACAGCTGTCGACGCTCCTGGAAGCTGTGAAAGTGTTGGGCCATCTGACTCAAGCCTATCACCTACTTTGTAGATTAACACAACATTCGCAATACGGCGCGTCACACAATGTGTTACCGGCTCGTACTTGTTCCTTCTGCCGCCCTCTCACCTCTCTATTCCTTTTTCCAATCAACCACTCGTCGACATTGAGTTCCATGTACCTTCCCCCTACCTATAAGTCATCTCACCTCTGGTTTTGCTCGAGGCTGGCGACACTTCTTATCATCCCCACAGCATCTCGACCTTCGTGCTTCCTATCGACAACGACTCTCCTCTCCGGCACTTGACGCTGGAGACGCCATCGGACTACAGTCTCATACACTCACGATTAACAACCATGTACGTTCTTTCCACTTTTCCCTTCTCTAGCACTTACTGACTGAGCCTCTTCTATCAGGAAGCCACTCAGAACCGTCAACATCCCACCCATCGCTACTTCTGTCATGGATGCTACCACGCAATCTCCTCATCGTTCCACCTCGTCAGGTCTTCTCTCCCTCCCCGACAAATTCCTCGCCATGATCTTCGCCCACACGGACCTCGCCGTCCATGACATCGCCGCTCTCCTACTCGGTTTTCGAAGATTACACGCCATTGCTGCCAAAGTGTTCGTGGAACACTACCCTCAGAAGCCGCTCAAGATGGTCACAAAGGAGAGTCTGGAAGCAGTCATGGTCATCTCGGCTCCTCCCAGCGACCTATTCATCCTGTCCATGCCCAATGAAGTCCTTGCCATGGTCTTTGCCGACAAGACTCTCTCAGCAAACAACTTGGCTGCTGTCCGGGTCAGCTGTAAAGAGCTTCATGCAATTGCTACGAAAGAGTTTGCGAAACGCTACTTCCAAGATCCTTTCGTCATGGTCACCAAGGAGAGCCTGGAGGCCCTGGTGGATATCTGTCGTCATCCTGTCTTCGGACCCCAGGGGAAGAAAGTACAACTGCTCAACGCTCGCGTCAACAAGTGCTTGCTCTCTGACAGAGCCAAAGACTTGACGCACGGTCTAAATGCGGGAGACGGCAAGAAGATGAAGACCGCTAAGGGCGAGTTGCAATGGCTCATGGATATCATCGTTGAAGAACAGACTTTACGGCTTCTGGACTGCTACACGAAATCCTGACAGATATCTTTGACGCTCTCAAAGTATTTGACAAGCCTATCGCCATTGCCTCGCAGCGCACTACGACTTCTCACTCACCTATTGGTCTCAGAAAGATGTTCAAAGGAAAGAACTTACAATCCCATCTGAGAGCCTCGACGCCTGATCTTATCCCAACTCTGGGATTCATGATGGCAGCTGCCTCGGTGAGCGAATGTAAAGTAGGAAAAGTGATCATCGGTGTCGGCGCACTTGATTACCATCCGCAGTACAGCGTGACACCTCAAAGCATCGCATCTTTCAGGCAGAAACACCAGACAATCCTCACCCAAGCCGAGGAGTTCGCTGTGGAGCTCGAGTGTTGCACAAGAGATGGCCGACTGAATTATGAAGGGCTAGAAGCGCTGTCAGTCGTTGTCCAGTACAACTCCGAAGATCTGAAAACCTTCTCACTGTCTTCAGACTGCGGACCCTTCGCCTCCCACCTGTCGAAGTTGCCTAAGGAGGTCCTGTCTTCGGCGTTCAATGCGCTTCAAAATCTCTCTTTGACAAAGGTAACCTTGTCTGAGACCGCTCTCGTACGATGCCTGATGACCAACCGCAGATCTTTGAAGGGGCTGAAGCTCACAGGCGTGGTAATCTCGGGAGTATGGGATCGTGTACTCTCGTACATCGTGAATCACATGTTCCTTGAGCAGTGCGTAATGAGCGAAGGCTACCAGATTGATAACGCCCAAAGGCGTAGAGGTTTGAGAGCGAACTTTTGGCATGTCACGAGTGTCGAGCTCCACGGTCAGGAAGAAGTACGCGTGGGTCTATCTGAGTATCTTGGAATCCAGACCGCAGCACGAGAAGCTGAGAGGGTGATGCGACAGCGAGAGGAAGAGAAGGAACAGAGGCAGGAAGCGGAGAGGGAAGCGAAGAGAGAGGAGGAGAGAACAAGGCAACGCGCGAAAACGAAAGACGAGAAGAAGAAGAAACGAGCCGAGGAAAGAGAAGAGCTGAGGAAAGCACCTCGTCGCTCGTCGCGCCTTGCTAGACCGCAGGCAGGGTAGGGGAGCAGCACAACGCAAGTGTGAGGACCAAGAGTCAGTAGTGCGTTCGAGAGGGAAAGAGGTGATCTTCGAGGCCCCTTGGCATTGGGTAATGTAATGCTTTTCTTCTGCGAGCAAGGTCTGGCATTCATGGAATGGCCAGATGATGATGTCGTATCCCAAACATTGTGTTCCTCGTCGTAAAATACCGGCATGCTATCACATTCAGCAACACTCTCAAGTTGTCAACGTACCCGAGCAGGGAGGTAAGCCGCCAAGTCGACGAGGCTTGACAAGTCATGCCTCTACCATCATACCAAGACCTGCACGTTTCGGTCCCGCGCACCCGCGCTCGCCCGACAAACAACGCCTCCAGAAGTCTTGCCTAAATGACAAGCCATGAGGCACCAAAGCTTGCTGTAACCACATTCGCGACCGTCCATTTCCTCTCATGACCGCTGTAGTCACCAGAAATCTTCGTGGAGGAGTGTTCGAAAGATTGGAGAAGCCGCCAGAGAAGGAGGGGAAGTGGAGATAAAGTTTGATTCACACGAGATGATGCGTGAACCATGTGATGTACATATTTTGGGGAGGGTTCGGTGTTCTCACCGTAAAGGGAGGCCGAACTCCGTACCCCACACCGGGGTTGTTCGGCGTGGAGGTACGGCGTCGGAGGCCGATGGCTGGTTTTGCTTTCTCGTTGTCAAAGTCTGCTTGGCTGATTCGGTTTACTTTCCCCTCTGCTTTGCTGCTTTTGCTGTATGTGGAAGAGTTGCAAGGTCGCGACGTGATAAGAAGAGAGCGTAGGTTGGTTGTTACACAGGACTTCAGTCGGGCCGTCTGTCCGGTCCAGTACCACAGCTGTCGAGCTTGTAAGGGACGGGCGACAGTCACCCTCTTCCGAACAAAACAGACCAACAGGCTCGAGCAAGAAAAAGAGACAAAGGCGCATGTCACGCTAACCGCCGCGTGCACCCCAGTCAAAAGACTGCCAACCCCGCGATAGTTTAACCCCAGATCTGCCTTGTGCGGGGGTGCATCCTAGAAAACCCACAACGGTTTCTGTAGCTAGTGCCTTGGGTCCAGGTCTGGGCGGAAAGCCATGGCCACGTTGAGGTTGCATATATAAGCGCTTGGGGGTTTCTTCGTTATTTTGGGTCGTTGTCAGTGTTCCTCTGCTTCTCTTTACAATTTTCTACTCGTCGCCGAATATGGCGTCGCATACCCATCATCATGATGATCTCTTGGATGAGAAGTCGTACAGCAAGCATCAGGAGTTTGTGGAGGGTGTGCCCAACGACGCAAATGTGTTGACTCCTGAGGAGTTGGAGGTCGAGAAGAAGTTGCGCAAGAAGATTGATCTTTTAATTATGCCGCTGGTGGTTTTGGTGTATTTGATGAACTATATCGATCGGTGAGCAGACCTGCTTGAGCGTCCAATTTGCAGGGCAGACCACTGACAGTGCGTTAGTAATAATTACGCAGCCGCTCGCCTGCAAGGTCTTGAAAGAGACTTGGGTCTCACTGGAAATCAATACCAGATCGGTCTCTCCCTCTTCTTCGTCTCATATATTGTAGCCCAGCTACCGTAAGTTGAAATCGAGAAGCCCGAAAATAAGGGTCGTTTGCTGACTGGGTTCCTTTTAGGTCGAACTTGTTGCTCAACTACTGCGGTCGCCCTTCATGGTATCTCGGCTTCTTCATCATCGCTTGGGGTCTTGTATCGGCAGTGACCAGTATGGTCCACAACTTTGCCGGTATTCTCGCCTGCAGACTTATTCTTGGTTTCGTCGAGGCTCCATTCTTCCCTGGCATCCTGTTTTACCTCTCGAAGTGGTACACAAAGAAAGAGCTGAATTTGAGGATGTCCTTGTTCTACGCCGGATCTCTGCTCAGTGGTGCTTTTGGCAGCTTGATTGCTGCCGGTATTCTTAGAGGTCTGAACAATCACAACGGACTCGCAGCATGGCAGTGGTAAGGTTTTCTGGCTCAGGATAGTAAAAATCCATCACTAACTTGAGATGCAGGCTTTACATCATTGAGGGTGTCATCACCATCGGCGTTGGTATCATTGTCGTCTTCATGTTGCCCGACTTCCCCGAGACCTGGAAAAGGCTATCGCCCGAGATGAGACATGTTGCTACCAAGCGTCTTGCTCTTGATGCTGCTGAAGCCGATAAGGATGAGGAAGGTGGTATGTCGCAACTGAAGGGTCTGAAGTTGGCGGTCGCAGATCCCAAGACATACCTCCTCGCCTTGATGTACTTCTGCATCACTGGTGCTGCTGGCTTTCAGAACTTCTTCCCTTCGCTTACAAGGTCCCTTGGATACGACCCCTTCATCTCCTTGCTCTTGGTCGCACCACCATACATCTTCATGATGTGCTGGTCGCTTTTCCATTCCTGGATGTCGGACAAGATGTCCAACCGTTTCTGGTTCTTCATCTACCCAATTCCGTTGGCAATCATCGGTATGGTCGTTTTCATGACCACCGAAGGCTTCGGCCCTCGCTACTTTTCGTTCTTCTTGATGATGTTCGTCTTCACCATCAACGGAACGCAATTCGCCTGGATTTCAAGCTCAATCCCCAGACCCCCTGCCAAGCGTGCTGCTGCGTTGGCCATTATGAACGCTCTGGGAAACTCGACTTCTATCTGGACATCTTTCACTTACCCCATCGGGGATGCACCTCACTACCGTCCCGGACTCGGCATTGCGGCTGGCTTGTTGGTGGGCGGATTCATCCTTGCAAACGTTCTTCGTTGGTATTTGATGAGACAGAACAAAGCTCTGGAGGAGTTGGAGAACGAAGGTACACATCTGTCGCCAGAGCGCTTGAGAGCTTTGATGAAGAGAGCCGAGGTTACAGACATCTCAATGATGCAAAGGGGCTTCCGTTACTTGGTTTAGATGTGCGATATCATAACGACTATAATGAAACAGATGCGATCAGTGAGTCGCTGCTTCACATCACTTGAACTTCACACCGTTGTAAATGTGACTTTGATGGTGGCATTGTTGATTTTGAACAGGACAGAAACGGCCACGTTCGCAATTTAGAAAGGAGCCGCCGCTTGTCGGGCCAAGATTGTCCGAAGTACCGAGGAAACCCCGCGATGAACCGCCTTTATTGGCAAGCACTCTTCACTTGACTTCCATAACCGCAAAGATGACCTGGAGCTTTCGCAATGCACAGTCACTCTCCACGCGAGACCATCAACAAGACAGCGAATCACACGCTTATTATCGGTCTACGGTGATCTGTCACTGAGGGACATCGTGCCTTCGTGCCATGCAAAATCTTGCAATCGACGCACCTGCAGAACCGTCATGGCTAAAATCAGAACGTCGAGGCCGCTAGTCGAGCATCACAACACTGCCATCGTACATACCGGGATCGTTCAACCAAGGCTTTCGTGGAGTTTTGAAGCCGACGACACGCTGAAAGGCTGGCATCAAACTCAATACACATTCAAAATATCTGCCTGGGGTCAACCTCATGAGGAGCTCAGCACTCAAAGCTCGGATTCAGTGCTAATACCCTGGCCTGGAAACTCTTTGTCGCTATGGAGCTCAACTTGCAGGGTCAAAGTACGTGTTGATGGTGTGGATGAGGATGGCGTCGCGGCAAACTCGCTGTGGTCTGAAGAGACTGTGATCAATTTCGTGCCGCCTCAGAGCTCGCTTTCTGCTCAGTTCATCGGATCGTCGCATTTTCAGATCACCGACAGCTCTCTGCGGCCGCTCCGATTCAGAAGAATGTTCGAGCTGCCCGAGTTTGAGCATATCGTTGATAAGGCAAAGCTATACATCACCGCATCTGGCGTGTTCAAAGTGTTCATCAACGGTCAGCGTGTCGGAGACGAGGAGATGGCACCTGGATGGACTAGTTACATGCATCGCCATCTGTACCAGACTCACGACGTGAGGAAGCTTCTGCAGCCTGGGCGAAACGTCATTGGTGTGGAAGTCGCAGAAGGATGGTACGCAGGTCGACTAGGTTGGGCTCGGCAAAGACACCTTTATGGCAAAGAACTTGGTGTTTTCGCTCAGCTCGATATCGAGGCAGCAGAAACCGCGGTCACTGTTGTGTCAGACGATACTTGGGAATGTGGCTACGGACCTCTTCTCAGCAGCGAGATATACGATGGCGAGATTTATGATGCGAGAGAGGAAGATAATGACTGGAGTGAAGCTGGATCAGGTACCTCGAACTCGAACTGGCAAACCACAAAGGTTCTGCCTTCCACGAGCGGCAAGCTTGTACCAACCGAATTTCCACCTGTCCGTGTGACAGAGCACATCATGCCTACACGAATTTTCGAGAGTGTTTCTGGTAGACTCATCGTTGATTTCGGTCAAAATCTCGTCGGTAAGCTGCTCATCAAGCGTCTACAACAACCTCTTGACCACAAGATTGTCTTTCGTCATGCAGAGGTCATGGAAGATGGCGAGCTTGGCGTACGTCCTCTTAGAAGCGCCGCAGCAACGGATACAATCATCTCGAACGGAACTCTCATCAAAGACTGGTCTCCACAGCACATCTTCCATGGCTTTCGATACGTCGAAGTCGAAGGCTGGTCTTCATCCGACGAAGAATATCCATTGTCTATGAACAACATTGAAGCGCTTGTCATGCACACAGATATGGAGCGTACTGGGTGGTTCTCTTGCTCTGACCCGCTGATCAACAAGCTTCATGAGAACACGGTTTGGAGTATGCGAGGAAACTTCTTATCAATACCGACAGATTGTCCACAGCGTGATGAGCGTCTGGGATGGACAGGCGACATACAAGTCTTTGGCTCGTCCGCAAACTTCTTATTTAACACAAGTGCTATGCTTGGAAGCTGGCTAGATGACGTTGCATCTGAACAGGCATCACATGATGGTATACCGCCTTTCGTCGTGCCCAACATCCTAGCATCAGACAAAGGAGACAACTCGTGGGGCAACTTCCCTCAAGCAGTATGGGATGATGTTGTTATCTTGCTTCCTTGGGCGCTGTATCGCTCTTTCGGTGATCTCGAATTTTTGAGACGCCAGTATTCGAGCATGCAGATGTGGATTGACCACGGTGTCAGAAGAGGTGCTGATGATTTGTGGGATCCCTCTTTCCATCAACTTGGTGATTGGCTAGATCCCAGCGCACCACCTGATAGACCTGGAGAAGCAAAGACTGACGGGACATTCGTCGCCGACGCATACCTTCTGCACGTTACTCGACTGATGAGTGAGATCAGCGAGGTTCTTGGACAAAAAGGGGAAGCCGCCAGATATACACTCGACTTCAAGCGGCTGAAGAAAGTCTTCAGCAGAAAATACGTCACTATTGATGGCCTTCTGGTCGCAGATACACAGACCGGCCTAGCCTTGGCGATTGTGTTCGATCTGTTCAAGAACGCAGATCAAGTCAAGGTAGCAGCAGCCAGACTTGAGCGAGCAGTCAAGCTAGCGGATTTCAAGGTAGCCACTGGATTTGCTGGAACTCCAATCATCACACACGCATTGTCTTCCGTCGGCCTGCAGAATCTAGCTTACCGGATGCTATTTGAGAAAGAGTGCCCATCTTGGCTTTACCCTATCACCATGGGAGCTACCACTATTTGGGAACGCTGGAACAGTATGTCACCCGATGGAAGCGTCAATCCCGGAGAAATGACGAGCTTCAATCACTACGCGTTAGGCTCTATTGTCAATTGGCTGCATGAGGTCGTGGGCGGCATTAGCCCTCTAGAACCTGGTTGGAAGCGTTTACTTATTCGGCCTGTTCCCGGTGGCTCACTCACGTGGGCTGACGTCAAGCATGATACGCCCTACGGACGTCTGAGCTGCACCTGGCGAATCAATGACGGCGAATTCAAGCTATCAATCGTGGTACCGCCAAACACAACTGCAAACGTTGTCATGCCTGATCAGCAGACAAGGAAGATCTTAGGCGAAGCAGAGGAGACTGGTGCTGTGGTCGGATCTGGACATTACGAATTTTCATGTAGGCACGAGCCCGAGAAGATGAAGCCCAAGGCCATACCGATACCCTTTTACGCACCTGTCAAGGAAGAATCGTGGTTTTGATCAAAAACTCGCTGTCTGGTCTGAGTCATGCTGGCCAATTCATAGTTGCGCTGATGAGTCTGATTACATGAGTCACTTTGGGACTATTTCAGAAAGATCTCCGTCCTTCGCGCCGAATATTTGATAACACTTCCGGTGACTTAATTATTCTCAGCCAGTCTCCCGCAGGATCATGGCTACCGATCTTCTTGGTATCAGAATCGCCGCGCTGCCAACCGAGCTGAGATGCATGATCTGGGCCGAGGCTGCGCTCACACTGGAAAATGAGCGACGTACAAACGAGAAACTACTTATTACTCTTCCGCGGTGTCATGAGTCAACTCTGCTCGCAAATTTAGCACAAACAACACCCCATGCTAACGACTCGGTATCGCCGAAAATACTTTCAGAGCCTCTTTGCCACTCGTCGCAATCTCATCGATCCTCATGATAGGGTCTCTTGTGATGAAGCCACAGAAAAAACACTCTACAAGCTCTTACTGAAGATCTCGATCAGCCTGGTGGCTCGCTCATATTGGGAATGATTTTTCCTTTGGAGGAGGAACCCAATGAATGTCAAGAAAATGTATATTTCGTCCAAAAACAATTATAGCATAACAATCAAATAATTAACCATCATTCATCTCTAGCCATTACCTCTTTTACCTCGATCTGCAGAATCCCGCGCTGAGTCCCAAACCAAAATCAGGAGGAGGAAGAAGACTGCTGCTCCCCACTACTCTGCTGCATAGAGCTACTAGCACCAGAAACCCTGCTCCTCTTGGTGGTGGTAGTACTACTACTACTCTTCCCACTCCCCGAAGCCGCAGACACCTCACGCATCCTCGCACTAGCCTCTTCTTCAAATCTCTCCATTTCACGACATTTAGCCTCGTATTTGGCATACACTTCATCTCTTTCTCTATCAGCAGATGCACGAGCGGAAATGGCTTGTTCTTTTTGCTCTTGTGCTCTACGGAGCATAGTCCTCATGTTTTCGAGCTCGAATTCGTATTCTGCGCTTTCATCTGTGGTGAGAGTTTCGGTGAATTCTTCCAATTCTTGGTGAGAGCGGCGGAGTTCGTCGCGGAGGGATTCGCGCTCTGAACAAGTATCGTGGATTTGTTGGGTGAGGATTACGATGCGGCCTTTGAGTTCTACGAGTTGATCGGTGAGGGTGGTGTTTTTCTTTTGCCAGTCCAGACGTTCGCGTTCGAGAGCCTTGACTGTGCTGTTTAGGTTTGTGATTTCGGCGCGAGTGTCGATGATGACTTGTTCAGTCTTTGTGGCGGTCTCGGTGAGGAGGTTGATTTGGCGCTTTGCGGCGTCGACTTTGCCTTGAGCGGTGATGAGTTCGTTGGACAATTCGTCGCGGGTGATGATGACGAGTTTGTGTTGCTCGCGGGAGTGCTCGAAGGCTTCGTGCTTTTCATCTCTTTCGAGCTCTGCGCTGCGGAGGCGATCTTCGAAGAGAGAGAGTTCGCGACGGAGGGCGTCGAGTTGGGTGGTCTTCTCGAGAAGGAGAGTTTGCACCTCGTCGTGTCTGGCGATTGTGGATTTGATCTCGCGGTTCTTGACGTCGACGATGTGGGTGAGTTCATCGCGCTCGCCTTCAACGGTTCTGAGAGTGTCCTTGAGCTTGCTGATGTCGCGGTTGGACTGGCTGAACTTCTCGGAGATGATCAGAAGCTCGGAGCCGGACTCTTCTTCTCTGCTGCGAGACTTGCGAAGCTCTTCCTTGAGACGGTTGATCTCGTGAATCTTCTCGTCTTGGTCGAGTTCGTATTTTCTCAGACGCTCGGCGGAGATGACGGCTTCTTTGCGGAGAGTCTCCAGAGCAGTCTGGACCTCCTCGAGTCTGGAGGTAATCTCGGTGCGCTCCTGGGTGACTCTCTGGAGACCACGCTGGTATCTGTCGGCATCTTCTCTTGCACCGTCACGGTCATCCTGCATGGACTTGAATAGAGTCTCGTGAGACTGGTACTCGGCCTTCAGGCGGTCGATCTGGGAGCGGAAAGTAGACTGAAGCTCCTGCTGACCGATAAGCTCGTTGCGCAGACGCTCAATGTGCGAGTCACGCTCAGTAAGCTTGTTCTTCTCAGCAGCAAGTCTGTTGATGGCGGTGGTAAGCTCGATAGAGATAGCACGAGCCTTCTCCTTGGACTCAGCAACTTCGCCATCGTATCTGTTGTTGTCCTGCTGCTTGGTCTCGAGCTCATAGGTGACCTCTTCAATCTGCTCACGAAGCTCCTCACGCTCGGCAGCGAAGTTGCGACGTTCAGCGGCCATCTGCGACCAAAGCTCCTTCAACGAAATGGCCTCCTTGGAAGCGTTGGCAACCATGTCGAGGAAGGCAAAGAACTTGCCCTCAGCCTGACCACTGTTCTCAATGGCCAACGAGTTACGGAAAGAGGAGGATGCCAACGAGCCACGGCGGCGAGAGGCACTGGAGGTTGAGCGGCGCATGGAGCGGTATGAAGCTGAGCCACCAGAGGCCGAGCTAGAAGAGAAGCCACCGCCAACATTGGAGTACATGGACTGAGATCTGCTGAGGACAGCATCTACAGGGAGGGCGGCACGAAGCTTGTCCATACTGAAGCTACCCTCGATGGGAGAGTCTGGCTTCTGTTCGACTTGTTGTGTAGCCATGATGAGATGAGTGGATGTGAATGAGGATGAATGTTGTGGATGAGATATGAGATGAAGATAGCACAGAAGAAGGACCGCTTATATAGCTAGAGCTTCAGCAAGAGGCTACAGCATTTCCTCACTCCAAGCCATCATTGACGTCGTTGCTCAGGGTCATCGTACCGCGACTGACAAATTCAGCGAGGTATGGAGAGAGTAGATCTGCAGTGGATCTCACCTCTCATGCCAGTCCTGAACTCTGAGGGAAGCTCTTCGTAGATCTTGTCCCTGTATGATGCGATGAGCACAGCCGGAGATTGACAACACAGCGGACGCTAGATGTATTCGTACGAACATGTCAGAGTGACATAGTGACATTGAGGTCGAAGCTTTGAAGCGTCTTACTAGCCGCTCACGTCCCCAGGCAAGAGGGTCTTGAGTCGAGCATAGCGAGCTGATATACACAGAAGTACCGTCCTCAGCTCCTCTGATTGGTCTAGGCTGCAAGTGACCTCAAGATTCTGCAGGTGCCCATGTCGAGTCCACGAGCAAGCGATATGTTCCCCTTGACGATGGTACCTGGCTGCGATACCGAAGAACCGCATCGGCATGTAGCTCTCCACGCTTCACAGAGCGGTCTTGCACATGTCTGAGCAACGTCCACGTACTCGACAAGTCCCAATTGAGTAACGCGGAGTGTCTTGCAGGAAGTGCAGATCAGCAAGAGCCTCTTTGGGTAAGTGTGGGGTAAAGTGCATGGATGTTTGGTCGTAGATCGGGCCGTGCCATTCCGATCCAGTCCAGCGCTCGATCAAAAGCAACGCTGGCGGATCCACCTGTTGACATCAAGTTGCATGTAGTCAGTCGGAGCTGCGCAATAGCGTACTCGCCAGCTTGTAACGTCTCCGGCTCTGCGCTGCAACATGCATGCACATTCCGTTTCTGGACTTTTAAAAAGACGCCAAACGTTTGTACGTGCGGATTGAAGTGGATTAGGACTTGAGCACGACGAGTTTGTAGTGCGATCAACACATGGTGTTGCTCAACGTTCAAGGTTGCCTCCGAATATGGGTGAACGCGCTTGGTCTCTGTTCGATTCCAAGTTAGAAGTGTCCGGCTCTATCCTCGTGGGATAAGCGTAAATCCTGGGCGGGAGCAATACCGGGTTTTGCAACGTAGATCTGATAAAAAATTCCTCGTCCCCCACGCTTCGTCATCCCACATCTTTGGTTCGGGTCTTACCATTGACGGCTGTCCACACGAGTGGTACAGATTTCCGACATCCCTGTCATATAGATGAGGGGTAAGAAGGGCTTGGTGAAGGTTCAACCTCAGTCATGCAAGTGCAGGCTCAATCGTGAGACGTATTGTTGCTGGCATGGTGCTTGGAATTCAGCGAATTGCCGCGGAGTCGATTGCGATCTATTCCTCCGCATAACTCGGCCGTAGCATATTGCGCACGTTGAATGAGGGTCTTGTCGACTGTGTACAACGTCTCGATGCGTCGAATGCTGATGAAGATCCTCTATGAGATTGATCGGCCGAGCTATAGCTTCATAGCTTTCATCGTCGCTTGCTTCATGAGCTCCGAGTACTCACAGATCGCGACGTCATACTGGACCATTTTCCGACTTGAATCTGACGATTCGGTGATCTGTAGTATACTTCTCCGCGATAGTGGCATGAATCGTGCGATAGTCAATCGACGCTCAAAGTCAGACTGTGCTGGTAGGTGTAGATGGAAACACTACCAAACGGATGTCATGTCCGGTTCCTGAATGCCAAAGAATGTCAACATCCACTATCGAGTGTTTCTCGCACATGATAGAAATCGTCTTTCCAATTTGATGTTTACTGATTTAACACATCCGAACGAATTTTGGAAAAGGGATGTGTGCAAAGGTGATTGTTTCCCGCCCAGATAACAAAACTCGGATGCATTTCAATCGAATTTGAGATTGACATGTCTCAAGAGCATCATATCCACCGATGAGCTAGATGGATCTCATCAGAATTATGCAGAGCATTACCAGAAACATACATACCACGCGTATTCGTTGGCGGGAGGCCGCTACGTGCTCGTCGACCTAGGAAATGATTGCGTTGGGTAGCACCCTGTCCAGCTTCGAGCGTTTTTGTCCGAGCTCCAACCTCCAAATTGTCGTCATATTCGGACGCGATTCAGCAAGCGCGTTGTGGTGAAAGAGCCAACAAGTCTCGAACGAGATTGTAACACATTAGGGTAAGGTGTGTGCGCTTCGCTAGCCAGAGGAAACAAGAACACGGTCTAAGAACTATACAAGAATGTACAGAGGTGCAAGGATCAACCTTTCCTCAGCTTGATACCAGAAAGTAGTCTCACACTATTCCAAACGCTGTCAGTAACCTTGACAGGGATCTTGCGACCCTTTAGCCTCTGGTCTATCAGCCATAGTCCAACGACAAACTCGTCGCGGTGAAGACGTCCACTCTGCTGATTGTCGACCAAATCCCAGATCAATTCCAGCTCGTGCGGTGGTAATCGACTACGCAGCCAAATGTCCCTAGCCACGATATCGGCCACCTGATCCCCAACATCGGCGCGAATCCTGTCGCTCTCCTTTGATTCTGGATGTGCAGCGAGTAGGTTCAACTCGTCAGGAGTGTACTGAACGCAGATGCCCTTGTTGGCAGCCCAGAGGCCTTCGTAACGCTTCCTCTCTGTCTGGGTGACGGCATCTCGCCAGCGCTTTCTGTCTCCCTCGTGATGTTTATTCGGGTGTTTCCTCACGAATCTTTTCTTCTTGTGTTTTGAATATGGATCCTCGTCGTCTTCGTCGCTGTCCTCGTCGGAGACGGGTTTTCGCAGGGTGTGGCGCATTCCCCTCTTTGGCGGACTCGGTGTACGGATGAAAAGCTTGGTGTGGGAAGTCCGACGGCTAGGTAATGATAGCGGGGGCACGGAGGGCGAAGAGGCTCGTGAAGAGGCAAGACTCGAAGCAACGATGGCGTTGGCCAAAGAGTCGCCAGACTTCAGCGGAGTCATTCGGCGAGGATGGAGCTGGTGGTAGGCGGCGGTGATTGACGGGTGATCTGGATGTGTCAAGTGGTTCGGGCTGTAATTGCGAGCGATTGGAATGGGCTTGCTTGTAGACGTCGACAAATGCGAGGGGTCGGGGGACGGCGAGCAACGTGGCGGAGAGCGAGTCTTGTTTCGGATCGAGATGGCGCGCGAGGGCGGCTGTACATGAATTGAGGGTTCGACGGCATCTTCTACCTTGCTGTCGGCACGCTGCATGGAGCGACGGGCTGGTGGTAAACTTGGCTTGTAAGGCTGGTCAGGCGAGAGGTGGTCACGGGCGGACTCATAGGCCTCGTCACCGGAGCTGTCACGCTCATTCTGCTCCAAGCGAGTTGTGATGGGCTCAAGCGCCTGATTGCGCAGGAGAAGAGTCTTGCGCAAGGGCTTTGGCGACTTGATGGCAGGCGGTGGAGGGGTTTCTTTGCGCTCAAACAGCTCGACCAGCGAAGTTGTCGGCGGGATGGGTGTCAGATCGAGCTTGTCGGGTGACTGTCTCTTTGGCTGCGCGACTGCCGGAGTGATATTCCTGGCGGCCAGCACTGCCTGAGGGGCGGGTTGGACGGGCGCACTGTTGAGCTTTGGGGCAGCGCGAGCGGCAGCGATGGTAGCGGAGAGGCTCGACACCGAGGCGCTCGTCTTGTGCGGTGGTCGCTTGGGCAGCTTCAGCAGGTCTGGCGAGGTACGGCTGCTGGCGGGTCCGTCATTATGTGCGAGCGTCTTGGGACTGCGTGTCGCTCGGGGCTGCGGATGCGGATGCGGTTGCGGATGCGTTTGCGGGTGCGCGTTGTGAAGGGTCTTCCCCGGGGGTGGCAGCGGCGGCGGCGTGCGCTTGTTGAGATACTTTAGAGCCTCGTGTGGTGGTAGAGACTTGAGGAAAGCCAAATTGGCGCCTGTCAGGGCGGCGTCGCGCGAGCCTGGTGTCGGTGTCGGTGCCGTCGAGCCATTCGGACTCGTACGCAAAGGTTGCCTGGGGCTACCCATTGGCCGTGCGAATCAATCGACAATTGCTTGCGCTTGCTTTCATCGGTCGTGCAACGTGGTGTTGGTCGAGTGGTGATGGCTCTTTTCCACTGTTTGGGGCAGCCGTCAGGTCGTCGTGCGTTTGTCGTAACCGGGCTGTGCTGGTGCCGCCTGACACGCCGATACGACCAGCAAGCAGCAAGCAGCAAGCAGCAAGCACACCCTTCAACCCTTGTCGCTCTTTCCTTCTTGCAAATCCATTATAGCCACCTGACCTCGCGTCAACAACAACGCGTCTTCCTGCACCACTCTCCACTTGACATGTTGCTGCCTGGATTCCGCAACCTGTTGTACCCTGCAATCCCCACAGCAGAGCATTCAACTTGCTTTGCCTCGTGATAATCACTCCATCATGCCTACCTCCGATCTTGACATGCACGAGCTCGACGACTATGAGGAAGATGACCGTGACACTTATCAAGCCACTCAGCCTCCACAACTCATGACCGAGGAACAACTCGATGAAAAGTACCCCAATCGTCCTCACAATCACTCTACTACCTTCCTCTTCAGCGAGCTCTACCTTTACCTCTTCAATCCACTGAACGAAAACAAAAGACGTCGTACAGGCCCTGTGGCCGCGAGAAGGCGAGGTCCTCATAAACCCAACGCCAATGAGACTCGCAAATCAATCATTGCGAAGTTCATCAATCGATGGCGTGAAGAAGTTGGCAACGACATCTTCCCCCTCTTTCGCCTTATCGTGCCTGAGAAAGATCGCGAACGACCAATGTACAGTCTGAAAGAAGCTACAATGGCTAAATTGATGCTCAAAACTCTTCAGATCGACAAGAACAGCGAGCCCGGCTACAATCTCCTCCACTGGAAATTGCCTGGCGTCAAGGCTGCGAGTCAAATGGCTGGTGACTTTGCTGGGAGATGTTACGAGACTATGGCCGGCCGCGAGCGCCTCCAAAGTCCTGGTAACCTCACAGTCCAAGAAGTCAATCATCTCCTTGACAGATTGGCGACAAAGAACAAGGAAGAAGAACAACTACCAATCATCCGTGAATTTTACGACAACATGAACCGCGAAGAAATGATGTGGCTGATTCGCATCATTCTTCGTCAGATGAAGGTAGGCGCCACAGAAAAGACTCTGTTCGAGGCATGGCACGAAGATGCTGAGAAGCTCTTCAACGTATCTTCCAGTCTGAGGCGTGTCTGCTGGGAGCTGGTCGATCCTAAGCTCAGACTTGACGACAACGACAAAGGCATCAAGATCATGCAATGTTTCCAACCTCAGCTTGCGCAATTCCAGATGCACACAGTGGAGAAGATGGTCACACAGATGAACTGCACCGAGGAGGATCCTGTATTCTGGATTGAAGAAAAGCTGGATGGCGAGAGAATGCAACTCCATATGGTCCAAGACGAGCAAATAGAAGGAGGGTTTCGCTTCAACTATTGGTCGCGCAAGGCCAAAGACTATACTGACTTGTATGGCAAAGGCTTTCAGGAAGAACAATCAGCACTGACTCGCCATCTCAAAGACGCCTTCAACGAGAAAGTGCGCAACATCATACTCGATGGCGAGATGATCTCGTGGAACATGAAAGACGACAGAATTGTTGGCTTTGGTCATCTCAAGACGCATGCCAAAGCGCACAGAGAAGATCCTAACTCGCAAGAATCACGGCCTTTGTTCCGTGTCTTTGACTGCTTGTACCTGAATGACGAGGTTCTCACCGACTACTCGCTGCGTGACCGGAGGAAGGCCTTGTCCACTGCTGTCAATAATGTAGACCGTCGGCTGGAGATACACGACTATGTCGAAGCTACTACTGCTGCAGAGGTTGAGCCAATGCTTCGTCAAGTTGTGGCAGAATCTTCTGAAGGCTTGGTCATGAAAAACCCGCGCTCTGCATACCTCCTCAATTCACGCAACAATGACTGGATGAAGGTCAAGCCCGAGTACATGACCGAATTTGGTGAACAGTTGGATGTCATCGTCATTGGAGGTTACTATGGTTCTGGTCACCGAGGAGGCAATCTTTCCAGCTTTCTTTGCGGTCTAGCTCCTGCATACGCAGCTGGCAGTCCTAATCCTGAGCTCATGTGGTCTTTTTGCAAAGTCGGTGGTGGCATGACAGCCCACGACTATGCCGAGATACGTCACTTGACCGAAAACAAGTGGAAGAAATGGGACAAGAATAATCCTCCAACCGACTGGATCGAGCTAGGCGGGTACCTCAAGGGCTTACAGTATGAGGTCCCTGATGTGTGGATCAAGCCTAGTGAATCTGTAGTCTTGCAGATCAAGGCTGCCTCTGTGATTGAACGCGAAGAAAGGTACCGCGCTGGCTGCACTCTACGATTCCCGCGCTTCGTCGCAATTCGAAAAGACAAAGACTGGAAGCAGGCTCTCACTCATGAAACTTTCAGGGAACTCAAAGCGCGAGCAGAGCATGAGAGGAAGGAGAAGGAGTTCAAGGTTGACGATGCCCGCAAGAAGCGTGCCAAACGTTCTCGCAAGAAGGAGCTTACCGTGATTGGCACTGACGAACAAGTCAAAACTCCGTATGCTGGACCTGAGACGGCTCTCTTCAACGGCTTGAACTTTTATATCATCACTGGAGCCGCGAAGCCACTGAACAAGACAAAGGCCGAGCTGGAACAACTGGTCAAAGCCAACGGAGGCAATATTGTTGCAACTCACGCGAATACCGAGACCATCTGCATTGCTGAAGGCAATCCGATACGTGTCGCTTCAATCAAGAAGGCTGGTACTCGCAATATCTTCAGACCGCAATGGCTGCTCGAATGTGTCAAGCAAGCTGAGGCTGACGTCGGAAGACCCAATGTGCTACTCCCTTTCGAGCCACGACATGTACTCTTCAAGAAAGAGGAGGAGGAGGACAGCTTCGAGAGGAACACTGATGAGTATGGCGACAGCTTCGCTCGTGATCTTGATGTCGAAGAGTTGGAGAAGCTGCTTACAGATATGCCAAGCTTCGGAGTTAACGACTACGATGCCGATGAGATCATGGATGAATTGTTCCATGACAATATCCTGGAAGGTCCAGGTTGCATGTTCCATGGGATGAGGATGTACATTGCCAGAGACGAGGAGGACCATTCCTGTGAAGCTGCAGAACGCATCGCATTATTTGCTGGAGCTGATCTCGCAAGCTCATGGAACGACGAGAAGATCACACACATCGTGGTTTCGGGAGAGAATCAAGCTAGGGAGATGAGGATTCAGACGGCAAGCAGGCGGTATCCACCTCGTGTCGTTCTCGTTCAATGGGTCCTGAAATGTCTGGAGGAAGGCACGAGGTTGGACGAAGAGATGACCCTGTGACGCAAGCAGAGACCTTGATGAACAATCCTTCCCCGGACTTGTGCGGAGATAATGGCCGAAAAACAAACGCCGACGGAGACAACATCATGCCTCTATCTCCAGATCTGTAGAATGTATATAAGAAGCTGCAAAACATCAATTATCACACTTTCATCAAACAAATCCGAAAGTCAATCAACCACAAAAATGTCCGACAAAATTCTCGTCCTCATCACCGGTGCCAACCAAGGTCTTGGCTACTACGCCGCACAACAACTCGCCGCGACTGGCAATCACCACGTCCTAATAGGCAGCCGCGACGTCAACAAAGCCCACAAAGCCATCGAGACCCTCGCCGCCGACTCTTCCATCAAAGTCTCCGCATCCGACTTCTCCGCCCTGGAAATCGATGTAAACTCGGACTCCTCCATCGCATCCGCCGCCAAAGAAGTAGAGCAAAACTACGGAAAACTGGACATTCTACTCAACAATGCAGGAGTTGCTCAAGCCCAAGAAGCAAACCCTGATGGCTCAGGCCCAAGTTTAAGGGAGATTTACCGCGCTCACTACGAAACCAATGTCTTTGGCGCTTCTTGCGTAACCGAAGCCTTCCTCCCCCTTCTCCGCAAAGGCCACACCAAACGCCTCGCATTTACATCTTCCGGTCTTGCATCCCTTGCCCTTGCCTCCACACCCGATACACTTTACGCAGCAAACAATTACCCCATATATCGCTCTACTAAATCTGCTTTGAATATGATCATGTTGGGCTATGCGTTGGGACTTGAACAAGAAGGGTTTGTGGTGTCAGCGGCGGATCCGGGGTATTGTGCCACTAATTTGAATGGCAATTCTGGGTTCAAGGATCCGAGGGAGGGGGCCAAGGAGTTGGTAAAGAGTTGTGTGGGAGCAAAGGAGGAGGTCCATGGGGTTATGGTCAGTGATGATGGAGTTGTTCCTTGGTAGATTGACATGAGAGCAGAAAGGGGACCAGTTTTTTGTGATTTCCGTCAAAGAAAATTTCAATGTTTGCTTTGCGATATTCAAATTAATAGAAAGTGTATTTTGTGCAATGGGATTGTGATGGTGCTGCTTTGGGTTGAGGTGGCTCCCGAAACATTCGATGGGAATTTGGTGCGCGTTTCGCGGACCATGACGCCGGCCTCATTGAACTGCTCATCCTTGAATGCAATCAAGACTTCTGTCAGAGTGATGTGGGCGATACCGATGATGAACTTTTGTGGCATTGACAGCATCCAGTCTGACGTGTTGCCAAACAAAGCCTGAAGTCACTCAATTCTTTCTCCACCCAAGCGTCTATCTGACCTTTCACGGTCTCGAGAACCTGAAAGTCGGGCGAGATGACCAAGCCCCCCCTGATGATTATTTGAATTTCTGGGCGAGCGTGCGAACATTTTCATCTGAGAGCTCGGAAGAGCCAGACCGGATGTACTTGAGCAGGATCTTGTCGATTGTGGTGTCTTTTTACCATGTCAGTGTTGAAGCTTCGACGCGTAGGAGATGGTGGACACTGATCTTCATTCCAAGCTGTACGGACCTCTACTTCACAGCAAAAGCGTCAACTGCGATGTAGTCGTGACCGTCAGAAGACCGGAAATCCGTCTTCGTCAAACTTTCCTGCTACGAAAGTTTGGAGAGTCTCTGCAGAGACATTGGGGTGAAGGCTTCTGCGGGTCCTCTTGTAGGAGCCGAGGATGTTGACCGGTCCGGATGCCGAATTTGGACCCATCCGTCAGGGAAGTCGGGATTGTCGAGCTCCTCCGCTACGGCGCATGCGGAGAATCTTGTTGACTACCTGATGATATGATCAGGGCTGAAGGTTCAGTAAATATTGGGCGAAATCATACCTCAGCAGACCCGTCGGCAGTGACGAAGATGAGGAGCCAGATTGCGCCACTCATGCCAGTAAGTTGTCTTGATGCGGTGATGTTGTCGACAGCCTGAGGCTGCGATACAAAGATGAGCGTTTGTGAAATGAGGAAGTGTTTGAGAGTCTATACGTCAATGATGAAGAGGCGCAGGTAGAGTAGGACAGAAGTAGTCAAAGAAATGGTTGAAGATGGGTGCTCTATCATCTTGTCCCACGGTCTGCGACAGATTCTGTGCTCTGCAGACAGACCATGTCGTACGAACCAGCCGTGAAACGGCACAAAGATATGCGCTGAAGAGCGCGCCGCCATTGTAGCGCTGGTGCGTTGAATCTGAGAGCTAGTACGATGCGTTCGAGGCATCACCCGACAAGCCGGCCAACCTTGGGAAAGTGTTCTTGCATTAAATCAGTCTAACATCATTGCTTCGTACTGCTTATAAGAGTCGAGCGACATCTCATGGCCTGGAGCTGCCTTGGCTCCCGCCATCTCCGCCGGTCGGGTTGGTGTAGTATACCGCGATCTGACTCTTACTTCCAGTTCTTGTGACGCTCGTGGTTCGCCGACTTTGCTGAGCAAGATGTACACCATCTATGACTTGTGCGTCATCGTCGTCATATATCGAGGCTTTCAGCAAAGTCTCTTCTGCCGGAAAGAAGTATGACAAGGTCCAGTAAACTAAAGCTGCACTTGTGAAGCCGTAGAGATAGTTCATGTCATACTGTTCGAACATCAGTTTATGAGTAGTGGCTGACTTCTGGACATTCACTTACAACATGCGCAATGCCTGGCGAGATTTTCAAGCTTTTATTCACAGAGCTTGCAAGGCCAGGTGTATTTGGTACAAGCGACGAGAGTAGTGCTGCCACAGCACGCCAATTGAAGCCGTAGTTGTAGCGGTATCTTGCGTGTCTTCGGTAGAGACTGGGCACGTCGATGTGTCTTTTCTTGACCAGCCAATAGTCGGTCGCCATGATTGATGCGATCGGGCAGAGGAAGACGGCGAGACCGACCATGAAGTTGAGCAAGGACTCTGCAGAGTATACAATCTTCCATGGAACCATAATCCAGCCTCCAGTGATGGTAATGAGGACCACGCCTCTCCTGATGTTGATGTATCTGGGTTTTGGTCAGTCGGCCATAGCTCTAGGCAAGTGAGTTGACATACTTTGGGAACAAGTTCGTGAGGTCATTGGATGCACTGATGACGTTGGCACTGAGATTGGTACCAATCTGGGCAACACACCATGCGAATCCAACAAAGAAAGCCAGACACTTTCCTCCGGGTGTTTCCCACTGAGCAGCCAGTCCGATGGGGTCCCAGATGTATTCACCGTAGACAACCTTGGCGGAAGAAGTTGAAATAATACCGAAGAGACCAAGTATCAAACATATTAGGGGAAGGAAGAAACCTTGCCAGTAGACACCTTGAGGGTTCTTCAGATATCTTGTAAAGTCTGCGACATTGGTGGCCATTGTCGCCCAGCTACCAGCCACACTCATCAAGCTAGACATGATCAACCATGACCTCCTTGAGCCATGTACCTGATACTCTTGCTTCCAGATATCGCCAGTACCACCAGCTAGTTGTGTCATGTAGATGACCGTAGCAATCGACACGATGATCACGACAATCGCTTTGAACCAGAAGAAAGCCTTGAGCTTGTGAGGTGGTGTCAATAAGAATGGGAACTGTATACTCCAGAACAAGCAGTGAGAAATGAGTTGTTGTGAGGTGATGCCGACTGACTCGGGAATGTGGTTCGGAATGTCGAGATAGCTTGGCCAGATGACGCGAATGCACTGAGTGATTGCGGTCGAACCAGTATATGTCTGGATAGCATGCCAGAAGAGAGCTGTGACTAGTCTGACTACCACAGCGAATCTTGCCAGAAAGAAGCCAAATGAAGATCTTGCGGCGACTGGGAAAGGGACATGGAGGTGTGCACCAATTGCACCATTGAGCACCAATGGCACAACGTCAATCAAGCATCCAAGAATGATGCAATATACAGCCTCGCGCCAGGTCAATCCGACTGCAATGATGGAGCTTGGAGCCTGCCAGCCTTGGGCATTGATAGCATCCGAGATCCAGAAGCCGAGGACTGTGAAAGAGGTCCAGGTACGCCGCTCCACAGGTGTGACATCCGCATCGATGTTGCTCCAGGAATCTGCATCCGCGAAGGTTGTCGTCTGCTTTGGTATGATCCATCCTTCTCGTTTAGTCTTAGTCTTAAGGTTGAACTTCGCGGTCTCGAAGCGTTGCCGGAGAAATGTCGCCATGGAAATGATTTTGCCCCCAGCCGCGGTGTCGAGTACTACTGATGGCCATGCTATGTCATGATGGCGGGTGCATCTATATAGAGCTGGATATCTCAGCAAGTCGACATGATTTGTAGGTCTTTACAATCGGGTCGTCGATAGACAGGAGCCTCGAGAAGATAAGACAATCAGTCTGTATCGCATCGCTTCTGTTTTCCAGCTCGTTATTCTGAGTGCAAACTTTACCAGAGCCTCAGCGGGACTGACAAATTCGACAGCGGAGCCGACAATTTGGGAAAGCCGACGTCGTTGAAACCCAGCGCAAGGCTGACGATGAGCCCCGCGTTTATGGATAAGGCCGCGGTCATGCACAACTCGCCGTCGGCCGGCGAAAGCGGCGGAAGTCGACTCCTGCGCGACCGGCGAAATAGATACGCGGTACACGCCTTGAACGGCCGCGGACACGGCAATAGTGGCAGTGACGAGCTTACTTAGCCAGTAGTCATGCATTATTAGTTCCGCTTTCTTCGCTGTGCTGTCAACAGGACCAACCGACCTCTCTCTTCTCGTAACGACCAAGGAGAGCCAACACAGCGCCAACGCAAGCATGAACCACGAATTATCCAACGCTGGAGGCAAGATGGAGCTGCCGTCAGCGCGGCCATACGCCTTTAGATTCCGACCAGAATCCACCGCTGTGGTCATCATTGATATGCAGCGAGACTTCTTGGATCGCGGTGGTTTTGGTGAACTGCAGTGTGGCAATGCCGAAATCTTTGAGAACGTTAGACAAATTGTTCCGCAGACCAAAGAGGTCCTCAAGGCAGCTCGGAAACTCGGACTCCACGTCATACACACCAGAGAAGGCCACACTCCCAATCTCTCAGACTTGCCAGCATCCAAACGTCTGAGACAGAAGGCTGCGCCCTCGGGTCACCATCACATCGGCATCGGAGATGAAGGGCCTATGGGTCGTCTGCTGGTACAAGGAGAGTACGGCCACGATATTATTGATGATCTCAAGCCAGTCCCTGGGGAGACTGTGATCGATAAGCCTGGTAAAGGCTCATTTTGGAACACGACTCTGCACCGATCGTTATTGGCCAGAGGCATCACGCATCTTCTTATTGCAGGTGTGACTACCGAGTGTTGTGTGAACACGACATTTCGAGAGGCTTCTGACCGAGGTTTCGAGTGCTGCGTTCTCACCGACTGCACATCAGGCTTTGAAGGATCATTTGTTGACAGCACATTAAACATGCTCTGCTCGTACGACGGTCTCTTCGGCTATGTATGCGCATCCAATGAGCTCCTTAACTATGCTCACGACTCACATCCCACTCCTCCAAGGACTCCGCCCGGCTTCCAGGGAGATTTGTCTTTGGCATCATTACAGCGACAGTTCAAGAACAGGGAAATCACTGTAGTAGAGGTCGCCAAAGATGTAAGCAGGAGGGTCTCAGAATATCAGAAAAAGGACCCCGCTGTGTGGACATACCTGCAGAGTGGCGAGAAGCTGTTGAAAGCGGCTCAAGCTCTTGAAGAGCGATACATGCATCAGCCTCTTCCTCCACTCTACGGCATACCTTTCGCAGTGAAGGATAACATTGACGTTGAGGGTATCTTCACGACAGGGGCTTGCCAGCAGGCCTCGTATATGCCGAAGAAGTCCGCTAAGGTTGTCACTGCTCTGATCCGTGCAGGCGCGCTTTTCATTGGTAAGACCAATCTTGATCAACTTGCAGCGGGATTGTCAGGATGCAGATCACCTTTTGGCTATCCACGGAGTGTGTTTGATCATGAGAGAGTCTCCGGTGGCTCGTCATCAGGGTCTGCAGTAGCGGTCGCGGCAGGTCTTGTGACATTCGCCCTCGGCACTGATACCGCCGGCTCAGGAAGAGTGCCCGCCGCGTTCAATGGAATCACTGGTTTCAAGCCAACCAGGAGTACCCTCTCAGCGGAGGGTCTGGTACCTGCCTGCAGAAGTTTGGACACAATCTCCATCTTGGCACTGACTGTCATTGAAGCGAGGGTCGTGTGGCTTGTCGCGGATGAAGGTCCAGATATGTCGGATCCTTTCGCCAAGACTCAGCAATCCCTGCCATTGTGGCATGTGGACTTCCGAGGTGTGAGAGAAGGAGGATTCGTGTTCGGTGTGCCGCCCGCTAGTGCTTTGGCAATTTGCACACCAACGTATCGCAAGCACTTTGATATCGCTGTAGAGCGACTGGAGAGATCTGGTGGTGTCCGAAAGGAAGTTGAATGGACACCATTTGAGGGTGGCAGTCAGCTGTTGTACAACGGCGCTCTCATGAACGAGCGTGTACAATGTGCCGATCCCGAATTTCTACTCAATAACCAGCAGCACCTGCACCCGACAACACGCAAACTGTTCGAAGCAGCTATGGGGAGAGATCTAAAGCCATGGGACGTCTATCGCGATCAGCATCTGCAAGCGACCTACACTCGACAAGCTGCCCTCATTTTCGAGGAGATTGATGTGCTTCTTGTGCCTACGACGACATGCCATCCAACAGTGGCAGAAATGGAGAGCGACCCAATTACCTTGAACGCAAAGCTCGGAGAATTCACACATTTTGCTAATGTCTTGGACTTGTGCGGTATTGCGGTGCCTGCAAGCTGCTACGAGGAGAACGCGGCAGAGCCATTACCGTTTGGTGTAACACTCATTGGGGCATCAGGAACAGACGGAAAGGTGTTTGATATAGCTAAAGTCTTTGAGGAAACGGCATGAGCCGATAGATGCGAAGTTTGACTTGTTGAGCGACTGATTGAATAGAACATTACACTGCGTATGATGAATGTGATGGTATCTTGCGTGGGAGTACTCTTCAAAAGCGCGGCAAGGTTGTACCGAATTTCTACCGAAAACGCGACAAAACGGAGGAGGTCGCGACTCGCGGCTCATATTGCAGCACACTCACTATACTCAATACGTGTACTTACGCAATAGTTCAGTGCCTTATGATATCCACGATGCCTTGATTGCCTGAGATGCCTGATTTCTGTCGTCGCGGGAATTTCCCGCAAAGCAAGGCGGATAACAATGAACCGCCATATTGACTTGTCGAAGATGATTGTGCCACGCCGCTATCGCTCACTCGGCAGTGCTTGAGCTTCCCCACGCTTCCTTATCTATTGGGTCAATCTTCTCTCGAGTCAATGGTTGTCCTTATCGACGTCTTCAACTCGCGCATTTGCGGTTAAAGGTAGACTAAATTATCAATGCCGCCAGGCGCTAGAAGAACTCGGCCTTGTGATGCGTGTCGCAAGCGCAAGACCAAGTGCCACACCGAGGATTCGGAGAGAGTCTGTGTGCTTTGCAGATTCCACGGTCAACGTTGCACATACGAACAGAACCCCAGACCAAGGAGACGTACTGTATCATCGGCGGAGAGCATCAGCGGATACCGTACAGGACTGAGCCCACATACCACCAGGACGATACCTGGGACCGGTGTCGAAGAATATGATGCTTTACCGGACGGCACAACCTTGCTCAAACGGACCCTCGGTCTGCAGAATCTACACCACAGCCAATACTTAGGAGTCAACAACTCTTTGAACGTGTGCGGACTAAATCTCAAGAACAGTGTACACGCCAATGTACGGCCCGAAAATTGCATCAAGGTTCGCTATGTCCATCAGGATCACGCCTTCAAGATTCTATCGGATGCAAGTGTCCCGGTAAATGCTGATGAAACATCGGTATTGGACGCCATTGAGAGCTCAGTCTACGGTCATGGACCCGATCTTGTTGATTTATACTTCCGAATTGTTCATCCCGCCTTTCCAATTTTGCACAAGCAGGTCTTCTTGGAGAAGTATGCGCGTTCGTATCGCGAGTTTTCTCCACCACTACTGGCAGCTGTATATCTCTTAGCATCGGGCTACTGGAGCTACAGTGACTCTCTGAATACAAAATCAAAGCCTCCGACTGAGCCCTTGAAAAGACTTGCTTTGGATTCCCTCCATATTGCGATGCAGCGAGCGAAGCTTTCGACTATTCAGGCATGCTTACTGATCTCACAAGAACAAGCTACAGACTTCAGAGATGCCTCTAGCGAGACCCACTTGAGCATGACTTCTCAGCTCGTGCAGCTCGCCCATCGACTTGGCTTACATCTAGACGCCGCAGAGTGGGACATTCCAGAATGGGAGATCGGTCTTCGACGGCGCTTGAGTTGGGCTGTGTTCATGCAAGAAAAATGGCTAGCACTCGTGCATGGACGACCGTCTCTTATATCCTCCGAAACGTGGGATGTCGGGACTCTGGAGCCTGAAGACTTCCCCGAGACCGACGAGGATGACACTGTTGGTAGCTCTGAAGTCGAAAAAGGCAGACTCGTTTTCATGCACATGGCTGGTCTAGCCGAGATGCTGTCGGATCTATTGGTTGATCTGTTCTCACCGCGCGCACAACGCTTGATCCGATCTGACTCAAATGCTCTTGTAGGCCTCCTAGAGCGAATTAAACCTTTACAAATCAGGCTCAAAGACTGGTTTGCGACATTACCTGAAGGACTAAAGAAAGATACTGCGACGTCGATGAAGCTATCCTCAGTTGGCTATTTGCGACTAGCCTACCTTGCGATCGAAGCTAGTATACACCGTCAAATCACTTTGACGCTGGTACAATGTCCTCAGACCGATTCGCAACTAATCACAATTTGTCGCAATGCAGCCAGAGAACGATTCACCAACGCTTTCGATTTCTTGAACGGGCTACAAGCATCACATCTGGCGTCTTTCTGGTACCTGACGAGTCCCGAGTGCGCTGCAACGATTTATCATCTGGGCAGTCTTCTCGAAACCTTAGCAGAAGACATGGAAGAGAAGGAAAATCTCGGACAAATGCTTAAGGCGTGTCGATGGGCATTTAAAGTCAACAGGGAGGCTGGTGCAAGCTTCACGAGGCACGCGTTGTCATTACTGGATGCTTCAGAGAGAGTCACAGTCATTTCAACCGGAGAATCAAGGTTCACCGCATCACCTTCCACCGCTAGAGATGATATGCTGCAAGGGTTGAGTCCTGGTATGCTAAGCACGTTAAACATGATCCAGCAAGCTCAGCTCCCGCAACAAGGATGGTCTTTTGACGACGATCACTTTCCTGGACAGGAGTTCGCATGATAACATCAGGTTATCTGATAGCGAGCATGATTATGTGCTTGGCGGCTACCAGGCCGACGGCCGGCGGCGGTCCGCTTCGCCGAACTCTAAAGTGGGCAGCCACCAATGGATGCTTCTTCAAAACATCCTTAAGAGCTCATATTGAGAGCTGCTGCTATGATTCGATCAGTCCGGCAAAAACTCTTTGCACAATCACCTCTCGTTTCATGACGTCGGTCCTCAGTGTCACTATAGAAACTATGGAAGTTGCGGTTGTTGGCACCCACTTGTCTGGATTTCCCTTGAACCAAGACATTACATGCCTCAATGCCACTTTCAAACAGAGCACAACCACATCTCCAAACTATCGCCTGTTTGAACTTCAAGGCACAATACCGGCAAAGCCTGGCTTAATGAGAGTATCAGATGGTGGCGCACGTATCGAAATTGAGATCTGGGCCGTCCCAATTGCTGCGATCGGCACGTTCCTGAGCACTGTACCTTCACCGCTGGGCTTGGGAACGATTGAGATTTATGGAGGGAGATGGGTCAAAGGATTCATCTGCGAGCCGTATGGCTTGGAAGGTGCAAAGGACATCACTGAGTATGGTGGTTGGAGAAAGTTCAAGGAGCGGTCTTGATGATTATCTGTTCTATTTTCAAAGAGGACGATCGCGCAAGCACATTTCGGCCAAGCATGCAGTCGCATCTCAGACTTATCCAAGTTTTGCTCTTTACTCTTCGCGATCAGCTGGACCATCCTACTTCTCGCCCTGATTCTACGGCCGTAGAAGTAGAAGATGACAGGGATAGGAATACAAGCCACCTCCAACAAACCAAGCAGTGTGCCTCCTCAGCGCAATCTCAATGTCGAATATAGCGAAGGACCTGCAAGTGGAAGACAACCACCCATGACACTTCTCAGTACAGCATTACCCGACGCAGCTGATGCGGCATAGATGCCATAAGATCTCTCCAAATAACTGATAGCATAAATAAAAACACAAGCACGATGGAAACTCGTTTCGAGGATGTCATCAGAGTGAGTCATCCTGGTGATTGAGATATGACTTCTTTTGACGAGCGTAAGTTGCTCGTGAATTGCGGCTCCCTGAAAGCTGCCAATCCTTCGAGGACAGGGAGACCGAACAGAAATGGTTATTGAAAGAAGCTCGTATAAGGTTCGTTTGTTCCCGGTTCCAGGCGGGCAGTCACACAAAGTTTCTGAAACCACCCAAGGACTATGGCTTATATCACATTGATGGATAACGACTTTCACCTCTTTCACAACCTGTCTCGCCGTCCGAGTATGTCGGAGCTTAACTTTGACACACCCTGTGCGGAAGCAATATTCAATGCTGAGCATCCATATCGTCACCGCAACTTTCAATTCCAAGGCGATGGCACAGTGCTGCAAGCTCTCCAGTATCTGCTCAAGAAGCCTGATCTGACAGTCGAGCTTAACTCGACCAGCTTGGATATGCTACTCTTCATTGGTGGTGAGTTTCCTTGCCCAATCTGTGATTCACGAGACACTTATGCTAGCAGTACTGTATTCTCATGTCGCTCTAAGGCTCGAACAGCGTGAGATTGTGCAATTGAGTGATCTCCCTGACTCCCTCTCTCGTAGTTTGGATGTATGGTATCAGCGGTGGTAACATCAATGGGAGCAACGGGGTACCCTCGATTGGATCGAGACTGGCCTGCTCCAAGTAGCTCACGACTACTGGCTTACGACTCGGCTACAACTCAGCCGGCCGGATCTTATCAGTCCGAGCGTTTGCCGATACTCATGTGTTGAGCCACTGGAAAGCACAAGGACCGAAATCCCGGATCCAGTAAGTGCTGAGTAGTCTGGCCACAAACGACGAACAAGCTACCATAAGCATTGTGGGAATGTCTTCAACGGAAACACTTTGAAACATTCCCTCGTTCGTAATGCAAAAGAATGGCGTGGTTTTCCGTCCCGAGATGGCTTTCGTTACATTGTTACTGTCTGCTGCCTTCTATGTTACTGATCCATATTTACTGCGCTTGATCTTTGGCTTCCTGTTTGCAGTCATCATATTGGGATTGGTTTTGCGCACAAGGTTCACTTTTAGCATGGATGAGCGAGGAAGAAGGCATCCCCCGATAATCACAATGGTATCGACCACTCTTAATTTGCTCAAATGAAACAGGTGGTGGAAAAAAAAAACGAACACATCATCTATATTCTCAAAAAAAAAAACCCTCCATTCTAATTCTGAGCCTCCCATAGCTTTCTCCACCACCCATCTTCCACCCCCATCAAAACACCCGGTTCCCCAATCTCCACAATTCTCCCCTCATCCATGACGACAACTCTATCACAACCAACCAAACTGCTCAATCTATGCGCCACACTAATGACAGTATGATCTCTAAACTCCGTCTCTATAATTTTAGCCATCAACTCGTCAGTAAGTTTATCCACACTCGAAGTCGCTTCATCTAGAATCAAAATCTTGGCTTCCGACTTGCGTAACATGGCTCTGGCGAGACAGAAAAGCTGTTTTTGACCTTGAGAGAGACCGAGGTCTTTGATGGGGGTAGAGAGGCCGCCGCGACGGGCGATGATGGACCAGAGCTGAACAGTCTCGAGTGCTGCAATGATGGCGTCGTCGGAAATCACATTTGAACTTGTCTCGGTGTCGATTTCGGAGAATGGTGCGCAGTGGGGAGCGGCGTTGAAGCGGACGGTGCCGGAGAGGATATAAGGTTCCTGAGGAATGGCGATGATGGAACTCCTGATCTTTTGTCGGGGGATGGTGGAAAGATTGAGGTTGTCGATTGTCACTGTGCCGGTACGGGTAGGCAAGAGTCTGAAGAGCACGGCGATCAGTGTTGATTTGCCGGATCCTGTTCTGCCGCAGATTCCTATTTTCTCGCCCGTACGAACAGACAGGGATACATCGCGCAGCACAAGTGGCTTTTCAGGCCCATAGCCAGCGGAGATTGACTCAAATGTTACTGCGCCAGCCTGAGGCCATGAAGAAGGTGGTGTCTCGTTCTCGGAAGGCAGGTCTTCAGGCTGTACTTCGAGTTCAAGCTGCTTCAGACGTGCGACAGCTCCAATTGAAGTCTCCAAAGTCGTCCAATGCGAGATGAGTTCAGCAAGACTAGAGCTGAATCCCATGACGGAGATCAAAGCCACACCAATCTGTCCACCGGAAGTTTGATGGCTAAACTGCGTAGCGAAAGCAACCAGTGCAATGGCTATAGCAGCGACCACAAGGGCTAGAGTGAGACCAAGCCATTGTTGAATCATATAAAGAAGATAGACAGGTTTCTGTGAAGCATCCAGTTTCTGCAAGAAGCTGTTGTAAAAGCTCGATTGCCACTGGAAAGCACGAATAGTTACCAGACCTTCCTGAGTCTCTGAAAAGTGGGTGAACAATGGCGACTTCATCTCGAGATCCAGCAGGCGAAGTTGGCGACTTGTCCGCAGGTAGAATTTTTGAATGGCATAGAGAACTGCTCCGATAAAAGGGATGAAAGCTACAAGATAATATGCTCCGTAGCAAATCAGAGCGCCTTGCCATATGATTTCGGACACGGTGGCACTGAGCTGGAGCAGTGCGATTGGCAGCGAGGTGTCAATAATGGTCATGTCTTGGCTGAAGCGATTGAGAATGATCCCAGCATCGGTCTTTGCGAAATAGCTGAGTGGTGCGGCGGTGATCGTGGTGAGTAGAGTCCAATGCAGTCTTAGTCCACTTCGAGGGATGATCTTGATTAGTAGTACCCTGCAAGAGGTTAGCTCACGCGTTCGAACTTGTCTAGTGTAGCCCATATATATACCATAGTGAGATGTAGTTAAACAATAGGTTGCAAATGGAAATGACAAACATGACAGAGATGTACATGTCCATATGAGCCCCTTGATCTTCTGCCCAAAACTGGACCCATAAATCTAGTTTGAGGTCAGCGAAAAATTGGTCGTAGCAGTAAAGCGGGACACGAACCTGGAAGCGAAAATAGGCTGACTTTGATGAACTCGCACGCAAGAAACGCCGTGAAAAGCATCGCCCCTACACGTTTCCCGTAATACTTGTAGATGGAGAAGTCACCCAATCTACGATCGTTAGGGGCTATATCATCTGACGAGACAGGCTCTGCGACGATGCCATCGGATTCTTGTGTACGTTCTCTCGGATCTTCATGGCTCAATTGATCTCTGGCTTCAATGGCAAGTCTCTTGATGTAGCCTTGGTTGGCCACAAGATTGTTGAAAGTTCCTTGTTCGACAACGGCACCGTCTTTCCCAAGCGCGATAATGTGATCGGCTGCATGCAAATGATGCACAGCCTGAGTTGCGAGTATCACAGTAGTGTTGTTCTTCTTGAACAAGCCTCGCTGAGACAACAGTCGTTCGAAGACCAGTTGCTCGGTCTTGGCGTCCAAAGCGCTGAAGATATCATCAAGCAAGACAACTACTTTCCTTGCATATACTGCACGAGCAAGAGCAAGTCGTTGACGTTGCCCGCCACTCACATTCAACCCTCGACTTCCAATCAAGGTATCGTCTCGATTGATGAAGCGACTCACATCGACGTCGAGTCCACAAGAGAAGACAACTTCTTCATACCAAGGTGCATGGTAAGAGCTGCTTCCCGTGATGATCTCCTTGATGGTCTGATTTGGTAACCAGGCAGATTGCTGACAGTAGGCAATATCGGCATTACGTATGCGAACGAAACCTTTCAGATTTTGGATTTCTCCCAGCAGACCGAGGAGAAGACTAGTCTTACCAGAACCGACTGGCCCCACAATCATGGTGACAGTACCTGACCTGATCGTAGATGAAAGATCCTTGAGTACCGATGTGTTGCTCGAATAACCAAACGAGCATTCATCAAAAGTGATTGGAGCATCCCCGGAACTTGTTGTGCTTTTGACAGGCATGGCCCGCAATTCGATCGCAGATGAGGCAGGTGACGGTCCAGGCGTGATTCTGCTGTTCATGATACGATTGTCGCTCCGTGTTTCGGCCAGAAGATAGTTCTGAATGCGCTCGAAACAGCCAAGGGCTCCCATGAATCCAGGAATGTCCGCCGTGACTATCGACAAAGGTCTGTCGACCAAATTTATAAGTGAGATGAGACCGTAAGCTTTTGCTGCAGTAAGTGCCTGACCACCATTCTGAGCTTGTAAGGCTACAGTCATAAGAACAAAAGCTTTCGCAAAGATTCCCATTAGGTTACCAAAGATGTTGAGCCAGATCGTGCAAGTCCGAACGTTAATCGACTTGTCAAGCTCGGATCTTCGCTGGTCTTGAAGCAGAGCTTGCATCCTGTTGGTGAGGCCCAACATCTTCAACGCCTTCATATCCTTGAGCAATGAAGCTGTCAGAGCCACACGCTTTTGAATAGCCGCATTCCACCTTGGCCGATGTTTCTTCATCTGTGGGCCTACCCAGAATGCGTTGGCAGATGCGCCAATCATAGCGAGCACTACTGGGGCAATACACCCGACTCCAGACCCCTGACCCAGCAGATACATGGCGATAATCACCTCGACGGTAGCAGCCCAGATCTCGTGCAAAGTTTCTGAGGTAGTGACGATATAGTCTACATCATTGGAAAGACTGACCGGGCCGGCATCTTCGAGAGCAGTGTATTGTAGATCCAGAGTTTGCTGATAAATCAAAGACGAGAGCGAGCCACGGATCATGGTCATGAATCTGAAGTTTGCATGTTGATAGCGCCCGTTAGAGATTGCGATACCAATGTAAATGATTGCAGCTGCGCCAATGAGTCCGTAGCCTATGTTTTTGTCTCGCTCCTCATTTTGAACATAGTTGATGATCCTAGTGATTAGGAATGGCTGAGAGTAATTGAAGCCGATCATTGCAAGTCTGGGGATGGCCGGAGCCAGTAGTGGCCATTTGAGACAGACTAAGGTACTCCAGAGTAGTGCATATTGGTCGCTCTTGGTCGATTTCTGCCAGGATGATTGAGCGAACTCAGCAAGATGTTCAGACGACAAGGCATCGTCCAGGGGATACAGATCCTCGAAAGATATGACCTTGCCGAAGCCAACGGCGAGAAAATGATTGAGCCACCAGAACACGCTCCGGTTATATAAACCGCTTCTAGCTTCCGGTGTCGCGTCGCGATAGGGAGATCTAAGCAGCGAGCCTTTCTCCCATGCTTCCAAGACGAGGATAACGATCTTCAGGGCCAACGCTGACGAGAAGAGACGTGCGACCTGGGCCAGGCCATTGATCTCCCACAGTGTGCGAAGCTGAATGACATCGAACAGTACAGAGAAGAACAAGTAAGCGTTCAACAATGCTGAAGGGCGGATTGACTTCTTGTGCTCTAAATTTGACAGCAAACACAACGAAATGGCTCCAACGAACGAAACGGCAGCAGCTGTGAGGGACAAGCTCGTGCGCGGTGTCGATGGCAGAGCTGTCGCAACAAGCAACCCAAGTTGGAGACCTGCATAACAGCTTGTGAAGATCTGATCTCGTCAGTTTCGTGCCACAAAACTTGAGCCCAGCATGTCACCAACCAACTTCGTATCGTGAAGACGACTTTTGGACGTCTTGACATCTCGACGTAAAATGCCAACCAGGCGGACGACAGAACCCAAGATCAGCAGAACAGAGGGCACAAGAGAAAGAAACGCTTGTTCAAAAAGTAGAGTAAAGTCAAAGGCACGACATCGCTTGTCAATTACAGGACCAAACGAATTGTCATCAGCGAAAGCGCAGGTTGTCGCGATGCTCCGCATCTGCCACACAGCTGTTTGAAGGGTAGCATTCTGCGACATTCTCTCAAGTGTCCAAAAGAAGCCGCACACACAGAAGCAATACAACTTCGTGGGGGAAGGTGTGCCATGCCCTAAATGCCATGTTCGCCGACGTTTTTAGGCAGCACGCAAAAGCACCCCAGATAAGCGGAGAAAATAAGGTTATGGAAACACCGCGAGGACAAAATTGGCAGGTGAAATTGGCACGATCGACACGTCTTAGCGGCTTGCATACGAGCCATCATCGAGTTTTCCATGTGATCGAGCACCTTGAGCCATCGTTTTGTCTGGTTTATCGCGGTGCCAGGCCCTCTTGTGCGTCAAAAGAACTTGGCCAGATATGGCAGTGCATGGGCAAGAGAGTCGAGATCTCGACATGGCAGTAGAAGGGACCTGACAGGGTCAAGTGTATGAGAGCTGCATCATCACCCAGGGTGTCATGCAAATCGACGGTAAAAAGAGGTCCGGTCTTACATATACAACAAATCCATATCTTCGAGATCAAAAGAGACGAACTCATCACCCCAATCTCAACACTCTAACAGCATTTCCACCCATAACAGCCTCTCGCGCTGCTTCATCTGTTCCAAATGCCTTTCCTACCGCCTCAGCATTAGTCTTGACACTAACCCACTCATCCCCTTCATCCTCCAATGGAGGAAAAAACGGATGATCAGTTCCAAACATACATCTATCCATCCCACTCGCTTCAATCGCTGCTTTCAACCCCGGCTCTGCATACACCACAGCATCAAGATAAATATTGCTCTTTAAAATCTCCCAAATACTTCTGCGTCCCTCGGTTTTACCTGCATGTTTCAAGTGTCCATCGTGAGCGATGCAAGATTCAATTCTACCGGCCAAGAAGGGTAAAGTGCCGCCGGAATGTGCGAGGAGGATTTCGAGGTTGGGGTAGTGGTCAAAGACTCCACTCAAGATGGCGCGGGTTATGGCGATTGTGGTTTCGAGGGGGAAGCCGAGAGCGAGGGGGAGGACGTGACCGTAATCGTTTGCTCGGTCTCCATACACGGAGGCGGGAAGTCCGTAATGGGGGTGCAAGAAGACGAGTTGTTTGGTCTCTTGCAGAGCATTCCAGATGGGGTTCATAGCAGGATCGTCGAGACCCGCACCAAGACCCGAGGTGCCAATGATGACGCCACGGGAGTACTTGAGTGCCTGCAGACGTTTGATCTCCTCTACCACTGCCTCGGCACCTGCAGATAGTGGCAGCGTACCAAAAGCATATAATCTGCCTGCATGTCTCGCACACACAGCTTCAACATCATCGTTGATCATCCTTGCAGCCTCGGCCGCCTCTCCCTTGTCACACCAATCCAACCATGGATTTGCGAGCGAGATTACAGAAATGTCAATGTGGTGTTTATCCATAAACTTGATCTTCTCCTCTTCCTCATAGTATTCGGGGCCGATTGGGCGGCCTCGTGCAGTGGATGTAGCTGCATCCTCGCTGGGGAGGATGACGAGACGTTCACCGGCGGAGGGGTTGTCAGGGAAGGTGCGCATGTATGGAACATCTTTGCGTGAGCGGAGGAGCGACACGTATGCCGGTGGATAGATGTGAGTGTGGACGTCGACGACTGGTGCCATATTTGCAGATGGTGAGTGGTGTCAAGTATTGGCTTGAGGTGGGCGTTGTGGACATGTGAGGAAGCAAAAGGCGTCGGAGTATCGCAAGAGTCTAGCAGATGAAGCTTGTACATGTCAGTCACGCCATGATCAACAAGGCGTGATGGACACCTGTCGTCTTTGACAATGTATGATTGCCATCCCAGCGATAGGAAGATACGATAAGGAAAAGTACACAAACAGCAGGTGTAGCTCAACCCCGCAATCGCAAAACCCCACCATATAGGGACATGCTTCGCCTATCATGCAGGACGTAGATAAGGAACTTGACGGAGCTGAGCGGATTGACTTTGTACTGCGATAAGCAAGTAGCCGGAAGGAAGTGGCCGATGTACAAATACCGTATGTGTCTCTATATAGGATTTTGTTAGTCATTTTCCCATAGCAACTTACCTGACCGTTATACCATCAACATGAGCACTCCTACAGTAACCACGGCGGTCGGTGCCGACGACTTGACCATTCCCGTACGTAGTCGACAAGCCATGTCTACGAGCTTGCACTGACAGCTACAGCTCATCGACTTCTCAGCCTTCCAGACCACCGACCCTAGCATCCGTGAAGCCACAGCCAAAGCCATTCTCTCAGGCTTCCAAACAGCAGGCTTCATCTACATTCGTAACCATGGCATCGATAAAGCTGCAGTGCAAGAAGCGTTCAAATACAGCGCCGAGTTCTTCAAGAGACCAGTCAGCCAAAAAGAACAGCTCGCATGGACAACTCCTGAAGCCAATCGTGGATACGTCCGCCAAGGTCGTGAAAAGACCACCGACCTCATAGATCCGGCCGAGATTGAGAGACAGCGAGCTCTTGAAGGTGCCGATCTCAAAGAGTCACTCGAAATTGGACGTGAAGGTGTCGAGGGTCTGGAGAACCAGTGGCCAGATCGGTTCGATGAAGACGGCAAAGTGTTCCGCGAGAAGATGTTGAGCTTCTTTGAGGTTTGCAAGGACCTCCATGTGCAAGTGATGCAAGCCATTGCCGTTGGTCTCGGGATTGAAGAAGGCTGGTTCGACAAGTTCTGCAATGCAGGCGACAATACGTTGAGATTGTTGCACTACCCTGAAGTGAGCAGCAAAGTGTTTGCCGAGAACAAGAACAGTGTGAGAGCAGGAGCCCACACCGATTATGGTTAGTATTGACATCAATCATGGTCCGCACTCGTGCTGACAAAAGTAGGATCCATCACACTGCTCTTCCAAGACGCGCGCGGCGGTCTTCAAGTTCTTTCTCCCATGGGGACCTACGTGAATGCGACACCGATTGAAGACACGATCGTTGTCAACGCGGGCGACCTTCTTGCGAGATGGAGCAACGACACAATCAAGAGCACCAAGCATCGCGTCGTCGAGCCACCGGTCAAGGAAGACGCAGACTTCCACCCGGCTCGATACAGCATGGCATACTTTTGCAACCCCAACTTTGATCGCTTTATCGATGCGATTCCTGGAACGTTTGATGAGGCCAAACAGAAGAAGTACCAGGGAGTGAATAGTGGGGATTATTTGGTGCAGAGACTGACGGCGACTTATTGATCGGATGAGTAGCCTGAGGAAACCTGAAGGATGATGAATGCATGTTGAATCAATCACAAAAGGTTCCCGAAGAAAGAGCGATGGGTGCAAGCATGCAAGTAGAAAAGCGTAGACAATAGACAAATTCTTGTCGAGGAAGCGGCGATCGGGCAAAAGACAGCCGAAGCAGCTGCAAAGTCTCCAGTGCCGTCACCATCCACGATCAATCTTGAATCTCTCAATTCCACATGACACTCTGTATCTCTCCTTCCCGATCGACAACGCGCCCCCACATGCCGTCGCCAATGCAAGCGCTCTACCGCGTGTTTGTGCAACCGGCGCTACTGCCGCGCACTCGCCCACTCACCATCACCCTCACACCACCAAGGTCAACCCCCCTCCGCGCCTTCTCCTCCACACCACCCCGCCTCGCCGCAAAAGGCCCCCCAGCAAAGCGCAAACAACTCTGGGACGAAGAAATCCCCGCCCGCCGCATCCAACTCGTCGACCCTGAGAGCGGCTCTCTTCAACCACCCTCCCGCCTGCGCGATCTCCTCGAAACACTGGACAGAAAGACATTTCGCGTCGTCTGCGTAACAGCACCACCGGCAGGAAACTGGACAGAAGAATGGATCCCGACGTGTAAATTGCAGGACAAGAAACAGGCGTATCAAGCTGAAAAGGCAAAGAAGAAGCTGGTGCAGCAAAAGACGGCTGCCGAGGGGACTAAGACGTTGGAGTTGAATTGGGCGATTGATGCAAATGATTTGGGGCACAGGATGAAGAGGATGCAGGAGTTTTTGGGACAGGGCAAAAAGGTCGAGATTATTCTGGCTAGGAAGAAGGGAGGGAGGAGAGCTACTCCTGAAGAATGCGAGGAGCTGTTGCAGAAGATTGGAGAGGCGGCCGAGATGGTCAAGGGGACAAAAGAGCTGAAGAAGTTTGAGGGCAAGTTGGCTGGAATGGGTAACCTGTCTTATGAGGGACCGAAGCCTACATAGACGCCGGATGTGTTTGTACAGATGAATGATAGAATACAAGATTAGACGACGCGCTTGACCTTTGAGTTGAGATCGCTCGAGTGCTCGCGGAAGATGAGGCTGAGGGCCTTTTGTTCGATAATGACACGGCCGCCCTCGAGCAAGTCCTTGACATCGACCTCGTCGACCGTCACAGCGCGAGCCTCCTTGTCCATGCCCGGGTGCGCCAGGGCGGCAAACAGCTTCTCTCTACGCTCAGCCGTGACAAACAGACTGCCGCCATTTGTGTTGTTCCACTTGTTCCACTTCAACATCTCCTTCAACCACCTCGCAGCACCGGGACCTTCAACCTCGATCTCGGCAGCCTTGCCAATTACAACCAACTCGCCCTTCTTGTAGCGATAACTCAACGCTGTCCTCCAAGCCAGATCATAGATCTTGGAAGGCAGATCGGTGCTAAAGTCTCTGGGCTTGGGACCGAATGCCACACCACCTCCTCTTAGCATGGGCGATTTCTTGTCACCCAAACGCGCACGACCGGTTCCCTTTTGCGGACGCACTTTGCGGTTTGAGCCGTGCACTTCGCTGCGGTATTTTGTGTTTGCCGTTCCCTGACGTGTGCCATCTCCTTCAAAGACGATTGCGCGGTGGAGAATGTCGCGGCGTAGTGGCAGTAGCAGATGTGTGCTGGGATATGTGACAGTGTTGATGGGTTCGACCGAGGGGAAGTCGTGGATTGTGCATGTAGCGGTTGAGAGGAAAGGGTTTGGCGGTTGTTGGAAGAGGCGGCCGGCCTGAGTAGCTGGTGTGGACGGCGGCGGTGTGAATTGGTCATTCAGAATGGGAGTAGTCGCTGTAGATGAGAGGGCGGCATCATTGTATGACTGGGCGATGGTGGCAGCGGGTGCCTCGGGGGCGGATGCAGGTAGAGATTCCGTAGCCAGTCCGCGCGCAAACACCTGAGGACGTTAGTCGCTGCCTTGATTGCAACAGACAGACAGACATACGGAAGGAGCCGATCTCCAGCGGGCGCAAGTGACGACAGCTCTTCGTGTGGCCATGATGTGGATGTGTGGAACAAGTAAGTGATTGCGGCGGAAGGAGCGATCTGGTGGTGCTGCTTGATGCGGAAGTTGTCGACACGAAAAAGTCGGTCTTGGCGGAGACTTGCGACATTCGCGGCTTCCCAATTCAAAGCGTCTGACCATCTGCAGGCAGCAGGCAGTCACGACACACACGCAGACATGGCTTCATCTTCACGAGCGCTACGAGGCCTTTCCGCCCGCGCCTTTTCCACATCGGCTCCCGTCGCCGAAGAGGTCATGGCCACCACGACAGCCGCAGCGGCAACGACCTCTTCTCCGCCGATATCTTCTCTGGACCGCGACAATGTCTTCACTCCCCGAGCTGAGCGCAAGCTCCTTCGCACCCGCGGCCTCACTCCCATTGGATCTCGCAGACGTCGCGCCGCCATCCTGTCGGGCTCGCGTATCCCCTTTGAGCAACTTCCCTACCAATGTTTCCAAGAAGCCCGCAAAGTCTTGATTCAGCACCGCCAGGAAAAGGTCGAGGATATCGAGGCTGAGCGTCAGAAGATTGCCAGACTGAAGGCTGCGAGTGTGGAGCCTCAGAACGAGCAACGGCAACAACACCGCATCAACAGCATGGAGCGCTACTTGGAGCAACTCAAGATTTACGCAGACATCAACGACCCCATGGTCAAGAGGAGGTTTGAGGATGGCAAGGGTATGCACACACATCGTAGATGAAGAAGAAGCAGGACTCAGACTGACTCGATGCAGGCGACATGGACAAGCCCATCTACCGCTACCTCGCCGACAAAAAGTGGCGCCAATACGACCGTATGATCATCATGCAGCGTATCACCCAGATGAACGTCGTACCAGACGTCCTCCCCGCCATCGATCCCACCCTCAACGTCGACATCTCGTTTGGTCCTCGCGACGTGCAGCCTGGAGAGTTTGTCGACAGCAGAGTCTCCGAAGTGCCAGCCCACCTCAACATCCAACCCTACAACAAGGGCGAGCGCTACGTCAGCATTGCAATCGTCAACCCCGACGTGCCCAACGTAGAGGCTGACGGCTTCGACTACCGCTGCCACTTCCTCGCCTCCAACATCAAAATCTCTCCCACACAGACTTCCGTCTCGCTCGCAAACTTGACAGACGACCAAGTCATTCTTCCCTGGTTGCCCGCCTACACCCAAAAGGGTCTTGCATACAGCCGCATGTCCGTCTTTGTCCTCGAGCAAAAGGACGGCCAGATCTTGGATGCAAAGGCCCTGTCGCAAAGATACGAGCACGACGACTTTATCCTTCGAAGCTTCGTTGACCGTCATGTCTTGAAGCCTGTCGGTGTCAATCTGTTCCGAAGCAGATTTGACGAGGGCACTGCTGGTGTCATGCAGAGAGCTGGCATCCCTGGTGGAGATGTCGAGTTCAAGAGGAAGAAGATTGAGCCTCTGCCATACAAGAAGTTGCCTGGTTCGAGATACAGGTAGATGGTTTCGCTCTGTACTATACTTACTCTTCTATATATCATGTACCAAAACTATGTATCGAATATCAGGCATTGAAGAATTTGCTTCCGTGTTGACAGGCTGACATGTTCCAGAATCGATTTCTGTGATTTCTTCTTTTGAGCGGTTTATAACTTTGCGATAACATCTCAACGGTGATCATCCTTGTATTCGTGCCCAACCTGATGATTGATTACATGTCGAAGCGACTTTTCCGGAGAAAGGCGCGATCGGCTCTTCGTCGGCCTCGAGTCAACATCACCATTTCGCCATGTCAAAGCTAGAGACAACATGCACACCTTCTTTGTCAAACGATCTTAGGGATTTGGCAAGTGCTCCATGAGCCAAAGAGGCACGCAATGTAAGTGATCGGAATTAGCCCAGAAACTCACTCTCCCACGACGGAAAGTGTCCGAAACAACATGAATCGACCGACATGAACTGAATGGTAATCATCTTCCGAGAAAAAGTGGAGCGGGTTTTCGTCTTGGAAAAGATATGCCGGACTCAACATATGAAGAAGAAGGAAAGCCCTGATGAAATAAGAAGGCGAAACACAAGTAAAAGGATCAGAAGTGTTATTATTCCAGCCCCCAACCCTTTTGGCCTTTTTGCTTTTCTCCGTGCACACTACTGGAACATTGGAAAATTCGCGGACACTGGGACTAATGGCTTCTTCTGTGGAAATGGTGACAGAGCCAACTTTTACGAAACAACAAGTACGAGACAAAGATGCAGAGGTGACGGTAGATGATACAGATTCCGAGTTCTCCAAGAATCCGAAAAGAATCTCTCGCTATGTCATTTTCGCATCTGCACTTGCCAATTTCTCGGATGGATATCAGAATAATCTCGTGAGTACTTTTTTTTTCTCTCCCTCTCTCTCTCTCTACCTCGATTTCTCGTTCTCGTTCGAAAATCGCAAGATCCTCGCAACATCAATGGAAAACAAGAGGCGAAGATTACTATCAAGAGGTGAATGAGCTGACGCAGAAGCAATAGTCTTCAAACACAAACGTCGTCTTCAAACACACACTCTCTTCTGCCTATACATCTGCCATCCAGACTAGGATTTCTAATGCACTGTTGGTGGGTGCGGTGATTGGAATTGTTCTGTTGGGCTATGTCTGTGATGTTTGGAGTCGAAGAGGTGGGTTGTGGGTAACGAGTTCTCTGGTTGTGGTGGGTAGTTTGATGGCTACCCTCGTGTTCCAGGTCGAGGAGCGAGGGGTGGATGCAATGATGTGGTATATGACTATTGCGAGAGGTGTTACGGGGGTCGGTGTGGGAGGTGAGTATCCTCCTTCTGCTGCTGCTGCGTTGGAGGGGAGCAATGAGGTAAGGCATACAATCAATCCCTTTTTTTTTGCTGTGAGGTGAAGTATTTGGGGAATGAGGGGTTGACGTGAAAATCAGCATTACGATCATATCAGAGGTCCTATTCAAGTCCTTACCTCGACTCTTATGGCCACTTCTGCGGCACCCATTTGTACAGCAATTTACCTCATCACTCTGGTTGCCTCAAACGACAATCTGCGCACAGCTTTCCACGCCATCTACGCCATCTCCATCTTCTTACCCTTATTTGTCGCCATCCTACGTTTCCGAATGCGTGAGGGTATACTCTTCCGCCGCAACAATTTCAGAAAACGTACCTCCCCTCCTTATTTCTTGGTCATCAAGAGATATGGTTGGAGATTGCTAGGAACTTCGGCTGCGTTTTTCGTTTATGATTTCATCAATTTTCCGAATTCCATCATGAGTTCGGCGATTATCAATGAAGTTGTTCCTGGAAAAGACACAAGGACGACAGCACAGTGGCAGTTTATCCTCGCTTTACTCGCCGTGCCCGGACCCATCATTGGCAGCTACCTCACCAACCGCATCGGAAGACGCTGGACAGGCATAGCAGGATGGAGCGGCTACATCATCCTCGGCTTCACAATCGGCGGCTGTTACTCCACCCTTACAACACACATCCCCGCCTTCGTGGTGCTATACGGATTACTCCAATCCTTCGGTCACATGGGACCAGGCGCCACCATTGGCTTGATGAGCGTAGAACTCTTCCCCACACAAGTCAGAGGCATGAGTTATGGCATCTCGGCAGCTTTTGGCAAAGCGGGAGCCGCGGTGGGAACGCAGGTTTTCACACCCATACGCGCTGCTGCTGGTCCTGCGAGTACGTTCTATCTCTTGGGTGGCTTGAGTGTGTTGGGGGCGGGAATTTACTATATTCTTCCCGAGGGCAGGGATTTGGATCTAGGTGTTGAAGACGAGAGGTTTAATGTTTGGCTTAGGAGGAAAGGGTATAAGGGTACTGAGGGTGCAGAAGAGTGAGGAAGTTTGTCTTAAGAGACGAGTAATTTTGTAGAAGAAGAATCATGTGTACGAATTGCGAAATTGAAATCAAAACCCATCAAGGCTCGTCAAGCTAACATGCGCTTCGAAAGAAGATGCTTGGGCTTTTCATGGGTCGTTCTGTTGCCCTTGTTTGATGATGATTCAGGTCCAGAAAGAATCCATGGAAAGCATTCTCGCTACACAAACAAAGAAAGAGTGTAATATGCTTCGGGATAGGGAGATGTCGTTAGAACTCAGGTCCCGTTGAGGACCTTACAGATGATGCACGTCGTAGTGCACGGACAAGTCATGATTGGTCACCTTTACGACAAACAGTTTGTCTTGGAAAAGAACGTGCGTGGTCTTGGCCAAGGAAACCACAATTTATCTTGAACGTTGACAACTCTGCTTGTCCTCGAATATGTGAAACTTGATATATAGTGACGGGAAGGGCGTTTTCAAAAGTGCGCAAACTTGCGCAAAGTCGCACCCTTCATGGTGAAGAACAGTTGAAGGTTTATTCCAGATACTAGGCGGAGAAAGTCGAACGTCCTTGGACCTGCAGATGGAAGGCTGGCTGGGCGTAGTCTTGTGTCCCCGCGATGGAATATAAACAGCGATGGAATATAAACAGCGATGCCAATCACTCTGTATAGCTGTCATCTTGAACTGACAAACTCCACTTTCCGTCTTTTTTTACTAGGCGTTCTCCATTGTTCCCATCAACAATAATTCATTCTTAGCTCTTGCAACAATGGCAGAACTCACAGTAGGCCTACTCCTCTACCCCGAGTTCGAAATCCTGGATATGGCCGGTCCTCTCGAATGTCTGAATATTCTCTCCGTCTACATGGGCAAGAAACTCGATCTCCACATCATCAGCGATACCATGGATCCTGTAGGGCCAGGCACCCGAGAAGATGGCTCGTCTACTTTTGCGGGGAAACAGCTTTATGTACCTACTTGCACGGTGCATGATGCACCTTCCATTGACTTGCTCATTGTCCCCGGCGGCCCTGGATCAGTCAAGAAAGACGTCATGAAGCCTTTTGTAGAGTATATCCGCAAACTCCACACGGATGCAAAGCCACCGAAATACTTTTTCAGTATTTGCAGTGGCAGTTTGCTTTTTGCTCAAGCGGGTATTCTGGATGAGCAGTCTGCTACCACGAACAAGGCTTTCTGGACCAACATTACTGCTCAAGGACCTCGCACCAAATGGATAGCAAAGGCTAGATGGGTGGTCAGTGGCAACATTTGGACGACTTCAGGTGTTACGGCGGGGATTGATGGTATGTTGGCGCTGATGGCGAGGATTTGGGGAGACGAGACTGCGGATGGTGTGGAAGCTACCATGGAGCATAATAGAGCCAGAGAGGCTGGAGAAGATCCATGGGCTGAAAAGTATGGGTGTGAAGATGTTTTGCCTGTTGATAAGTGATGGGGACTTTTGATTTGTTTAGGCATCGACGGGTTGAGGACTTGATGGCAGTTTCGATAAGTTTGGAAGTTCGAGAGCTCGGTGTATCCATCCATTTCGTTTCGTTTCCTTGACAATGTGGTCGCATCACGTTTGTGCGCGTGATTTCGAGGTGGTGGTCAAGACAAAGTCAACGACTAGGAGATCTTCTGCGATGGGAATAAAACTGTCGCCAGAAAATACGAGTGGATTAATGCAGTCCTCCGTCTCGGATATCTGTGCAACAAGGACTGACTCCAGTGCACAGACGAGGGCTGCGACAAGCAGCCACCGGAGAATTGCTAGCGGCCAGTTCATGTCGCAGAATCCGTCAGGAGTCCTCTTGCCTCCGTCATCGATATCTCCAAGAAATAATCTAGCATGTGCACCTATTATGCTACTCTTTCTCAGATCATCGATGGTTGTGCATGAGAGACGAGATTCCATTTCTTGAAAAGCACTGTTACGGTTAAACTTCGGGTCATAGTCAAAGCTGCAAATGGGGTGACCCTACCATGTCGAGCAATCCATCATATGTCACGCTATCGACGTCTTGGATGGTACAAATCAACCTGAACTAGCTTGAATAATGCTCCAAGAAGGATTTGAAGTCGAGTATGCCAGACTGGTCGACGGTGGTTGCTCATCAGTGTTGAGTCTTCTCAAGATTGAATTATACAGTCATTCACCTGGTCACCTGCGATTCTCACCACACTTAAGATCTCGTCGAGCTTGACACCCTATGGGATTCGCTCCCCGAGACTCTCCGATGTGTGCGTACGACATGCCTTCGTAACGATATCGCTGTAACATGGTAGATGTCATCGCTGTCTCTGTTTACCGACTCGAACTCGATGCCAAGATTATGAGATGCCGGTTGTCTGTGTGCCGTCGTTGGTCTGTGTTCTCCGCAGCAGTTTTCCGCAATCCCGCCAACGACCCGCCAAACCCCGCTCTCAAGGTTTCATCTCCACATGGAGGGGAGGCTGGGAACTTTTCTTCGCACACGTCACGTCACTTTGTCTTACCTTCGACCTGCCGCTTTGAGGTGCGCTTCCTGGTATGCATGCGCCCGCATCTCTTGCAGTAATGCGGTCCAGGGTAGCTGTCGTGACGAGCCATGGAGTGTATGGAGTTGTCGAAAGGCTTCACCGACGTCCGACATGTTAGGCCGTGTGATCAATTCCCTCCCTAGCGGAAGCTCGGTAAGTTGAGCTGAACAAGCAGATCTTGTCATAACAATAGGTGAGGTCTGTATGTGCCACTCGGACCGATTGATCACAGCGCCGTATCCGGAATGTTCGTCTTCTACAGTGCATCATGCCATGTGCGCGGCAACAAGGTACCGCAAGGAAGAGATTATCCACCACTTGGTTCCCCTCTTGCACCAAACTTACCCCACATCCCATGTCGATCTCCAGCTTTTTCTTCAAATCGATGATCAACATGCACAGCCAAGCTTGACACGGTTCCTGTATTCTACCGGGAGGTCAAGTCATACTTAAGAAGCTTGTGCCCCTCTCATCTTGCGACACATCCACCCCAGGTACAATAAGATGCGTTCCATCAATTGCTTATCTCATCTGTCGCTTATTGCCGGGTTGGCCGCCTGTGTTAATGGAGGTAATTCGAACATTCAAACCTGGTTGATCTCCAGACCGCTGACTTGACTTAGACATTACCGCATCAGGCTCAAATTTCTCATTGAGTGGTGCTGGTGTCTCATACCGCTTCCATGTAGATCCTCGCTCTGGTGATCTGATCTCTGACCATTTTGGCGGACCAATCGACGACTTCACCGACCCAGCGACGATATCTAACAGCGGCTGGTCAACTGGTCTAGACAATGTTGGCACACCTGGCTTGACCAATATTCGTCGCGAGTTCCCGGACATTGGTCGTAGCGACTTTCGCCTTCCAGCTATCCATATCAGTCATGCTAATGGCGATACTGTCTCTGCCTTTACTTACCAAAGTCATGAAGTTGTACAAGGCAAACCATCACTAATCGGCCTTCCGGCAACATTCGGCAAGGAGGGAGAAGTCACCACCTTGATCGTCAGACTATACGACAACTACTCCGATGTCTCCGCTGCACTGTCATACTCGGTCTTTCCCGAGTATAATGCGATCGCCAGAAGTTTCCAAATTACCAATAACGGCACCAACAACATCTCTATTGAGCGGGCGGCGAGTTTCAGCACTGACTTGCCCAATCTTGATCTTAAGATGCTCGAGTTGCAGGGGGACTGGTCGCACGAAGCCAACAGGGTCATCAGAAATGTCGACTTTGGTGAGACGGGCTTCAGAAGTACCGAAGGTTACTCGTCTCATGTGCATAACCCATTCTTCGCCCTCCACGATCCTACCACGACTGAGACTACTGGTGAAGCTTGGGGTTTCAATCTTGTATATACTGGTAGTTTTGCTGCCACAGCTGAGAGGTTCTCACATGGCTTTGTACGCGTCTTGCTCGGCTTAAACCCTCTCCATGCTAGCATCCCCGTCGGACCCGGCCGTACATTCCAGTCTCCGGAGGCTGTTGCTGTGTACTCGTCTCATGGTCTCGGAGGCATGTCAAGATCCTTCCACGATCTTTATCGCAAACATCTCTCCAGATCCAACCACACATTCGAGACAAGACCGATTCTGTTGAACTCCTGGGAGGGTCTGGGAGCCAACATCAACGAATCTTCGCTTGAGAATCTCGCTCAGGAGACCGCCGAGCTTGGAATTAAGCTATTTGTCATGGACGATGGATGGTTCGGTACTGCACCCTACGCCCGCACCAACGATACTGCTGGCCTCGGAGACTGGACACCCAACCCTGCTCGCTTCCCCAACGGTCTTGGTCCCTATGTTGACACTGTTGATAGCTATTCCGTTGCAAACTCAACCAACGATCTCGCCTTTGGTATTTGGATCGAGCCTGAAATGGTCAATCCAAACTCTACTCTGTATCACGAACATCCTGAGTGGGTCATGCATGCTGGTAACCACGTTCGTACACTTACTCGCACGCAATTGGTTCTGAATCTTGGTCTCCCCGAAGTTCAGGACTATATCATCAACGCCATCTCTAACATCATCGATTCTGCCAACATATCGTACATCAAGTGGGACAACAACAGAGGTATTCACGAGATGTCTTCTCCCGCTGCCGATTATGCATATACTCTTGGGATGTACCGCGTCATGGACAACCTTACTGGCTCGTATCCTGAGATCCTTTGGGAAGGCTGTGCCTCTGGCGGTGGTCGCTTTGACGCTGGTATCCTTCACTACTACCCTCAATCTTGGACTTCCGACAACACCGATGCCTCTGATCGTCTGACAATCCAGCTCGGAACATCCCTTGCCTACCCTCTATCATCAATGGCTTGTCACGTCTCGAAAGTGCCCAATGGTTTGAATATGCGCAACATCTCCATCGAGTACCGCGCTCACGTCGCCCTGATGTGTGGCTCTTTCGGCTTCGAACTCAACCCTTCTGAACTCAGCGATGAGGAACGTTCCGCCATTCCCTCAATTCTCTCGACTTGGGAGAAGATCAATCCTATCGTCATCTCTGGCTCGTTTTACCGTATCGCATGGCCTGGAGACACCAACTGGCCTGCTGTACAATTCGTCTCCGAGGATACGAATACAGCTGCTGTGTTCGCGTTCCAGCAAGGAGCCATCATTAAGCCTGCTGCGCCTCCGTTGAGGATGCAAGGACTGAATGCGACAGCGAGGTATACGAGTAATGCGTTCAATGGCACATTATCTGGAAACACTTTGATGAACGGCGGCTTGAATCTGCCGTGGAAGTTGGCCGATTACCAGAGCATGTTGGTTTGGTTGTACAAGGAGTAGAGAGAAGTGACCAACTCGCGATGTAGGGCAATAATAGAGATATACACAGATCTCCGAGTCTCGGAAAACTACCTCAGATCTCAGAATCCATTGTTCATCAAGTCAACAACAAATTTGACAACGTTCATGGGGAGGTCCGATCTTCGGAATCAATGTGTGCTATATCTTGACACGCAGATATTATCTTAGATGCTGTATCTGTGATGGGCTATAAGAAGTCACAATCGAATCTCGGGTTACAATAATGATACCGAGAGCCGACAAAAATGTCTTTTTGGACCTCATCGCTTCGGATTGTTGATGTTGATTGTGCATCTGGTCTGTTGCGGAACCGACATTCCGTAGAGTAGGAGTGACACGCAAACACAATACGTGAGTCCTTCTACAGAAGTTGGTATACAGTAGTCAATTGATGGTTTGGATGATCAATGTGGATTAGGACTAAACGAAGGGAAAGCTCAAGAGAATAGCCGGGCCAAGATTGGCGAAGACCCTGTCTTGTGACAACCATCTTGCTTGCCTCCGACCCACTTGTCTAGCTTTGCAAGTTTCTTCGGCCGAAAAACACGGAGGCACTTTGTTATCAGCGTGATGGCCGGAACCAGCGGACAACGACAAGTCTGTACACATGTGGATAGGTCAGTTGCTGCAATCTTGTGAACGATTGTCCATTGCTTGACTGTCTACCGTAAGTACTAGTCAAGATGGTCATCGTTGCATTGGCTGGTTGGAATAGCGGACTCGGCAGGGTAATCTGGGACGCATTGCAACAGTCAGAAAAACACAAAGGCTTTATCTTGACACGAAAGGTGTGTACTCTCCAAATTCGTTCCATGAGCCTCTAAGCTAAATTCGCCAAGGTGCCGGAAGCAGTAGACACTAAGCGTTTTGCACCAAGTGCTTTCGCTATACCGTACCCTTGGGGGTGAGCAAGCTCTTGCCCCATCATTAACTACTATTCTCTGACTCCACATCAGATCTGTTGATGTTCTTCCTCCATTGAAGTATTACTTCGAAGCCATAGAGACCCTTGAAAAATCTGATCTTGAGTGGACCGTATTCCTAAATGGTGTTTTCCTCGACTACCATGGCATGCTGCAGATTAAAGCCCATCTGGCTCCAAATGTCTTTGCTATAGACATGGTGAACAAAGTAGCTGCGAAATCTGGAGATTGGCAACATCCCAGTCACGTTCACATGGTCCATGGACCTCGCCAAGTTTATCGTCGCGGCGCTCGATCTGCCAACCTGGGAAGAAGAGAGTCGCGTCATTGGTGATGAAGTAACCTTCAATAATTTTGTCGATGTGGCAGAGAGAATTATAGGTAAGCATGAAGCTTCGTACCACATCTTGCACCAGTACTGACAAAAGATAAGTGTCCGTACCCGGCCGTCAAGGTATGCATACTGGGAGCATACATCATGGACGTGCGATGACCCACATTATATTCATCCGGATCATTCCCCCTCACAGCTTGTGTAACCAGGTTGGCGCGGCCAGATTGAGATTCTCCACAGTGCCTACGTTGGATCAACCAAAATAAGGCTTCCCGCGATGGTCCCCGCGAAACCCACCCGGGAGAGTCACAAATCCGACCAATCACCATATTTGCACCTGCAATTACTTTGGCTAGGATGCTTCCCCGGGCCGCTCTTTCCTAGTAAGGTAACGACGTGATCTGACCGCCTCAATTACATCTTGGAGAAATAAGACCTAACCTCACACACGTTTTCAATGATAGACTGGATTCATCTCACGTTGGCTCGCACGGAAGCAGAGAACTCCATCGCTCCAAGAAAGCACTTACAATACCTCATACAAGCAGTCCTCCTCAGATCTGCACGCCGAGACAGGAACAGGTATCTTCGCGACAACCAAGTCGACCATTGAGTAATACCCGAGATGGTCGGGAACTCTGCGAGTATGCCTTTTGATAAGGTTCCCACTCAAGAGTGCCAGATATCCGAGGAGCATCTTCAAGGAGAGTCAAAGACTGGAGATACACTCGGCCGTCGGTCCAAAGCCAAAGTGTCCTTGATCATGCTTGCATGCATGGCTGTCTTTCTCGGGACTCTCGATGGTACTATCGTCGCAACAGCTCTACCGACCATCACCGAGCACTTCGAATCGGCATCAGGGTACACATGGATCGGATCAGCGTTCTTGCTTGCCAACGCATCAACCATTCCGTCGTGGGGAAAGGCTAGCGATATTTTCGGTCGCAAACCTATGCTTCTGTTCGCGAACATAATCTTCATGTTCGGTTCTCTCGTGGCAGCTCTATCAAACAGTATTGGCATGCTTATCGTCGCTCGTGCCGTGCAAGGCCTAGGAAGTGGAGGCCTTGTCATCGTCAATATTGCTGTCGGAGACCTGTTCAGTATTCGCACGCGTGGAGCTTGTTACGATCTTCTCGGTGCTATCTGGGCTATCGCTTCTTCCGTTGGGCCTATGATCGGTGGTATTCTAACTCAAGGTGCAGGATGGAGATGGTGCTTCTGGATCAATCTCCCTCTGGATGGTCTCGCGTTCATCTTGCTTTACCTCTTTCTGGACATCTAATCACCAAAATCATCCGTCCGAGAAGGCATGATGGTTCTTGACTGGATCGGATCATCGCTAGTCATTGGCGCCACAGTCATGTTCCTTCTGGGTATCCAAGTTGGCGGAGAGACTTTTTCATGGAGTTCACCAATCGTGATTTGCCTCATCGTCTTTAGTCTACTGACCTTCGTCCTATTCGTTCTGTACGAGTGGAAATTTCCAAGATATCCCGTGATGCCACTCAGGTTGTTCAAGTCCCGCAACAATATCGCCACCCTCTTTGTGGCCTTCATCCAGGTAATCGTCTTCATCTCTGGTAACTACTATTTACCTTTGTTCTTCCAGACTGTAAGGGGTGTATCGCCAATCCTCTCTGGAGTCTATCTATTGCCTACTGCTCTCGCACTGTCCGTCAGCTGCGTTGGTACGGGTATATTCTTGCGCAAGACTGGTACTCCCCTACCGCCCACATGGTTTGGATTGTCAATGATGACACTGGGCTATGGTTTGTTCATCAATCTCGAAGCGAGCTCGAATTGGTCCAAACTCGTTACATATCAGATCGTCGCTGGCGTTGGCTGCGGCCCCTTGTTCCAGACTTTGACCATTATATTACAAAGTCACCACGATCCTGACGATATTGCCACAGGGACAGCAACGCTGGGATTCATACGACAAATGGCTACTTCAGTCTCAGTGGTGCTTGGCCAAGTCGTATTTCAAAACAGCACGAGCGCCAGAGATGGCAGGTTAGTTGCCTCATTGGGATCTGAAGGAGCGGCAAGGATATCTTGTGGCGCGGCTGGCGCCAATGCGCGACTTATAAATACACTTTCGAAATCGCAGAAGTATGTAGTCCGCGTTGTTCTGTCGGAAAGTCTGCGACAGATGTGGATCATGTACGCCATATTCGCAGCTATCGGTCTTCTTGCTGTCCTCTTGATCAGGAGCTCGTCAGAGGATAGTCTGGCAGAGAGTAGTTTAGAAGAAGGCTTGAAGAGAAGACTAGGAAAACAGAGCGTGGGCGGGCCCAAGAGATACGCAGCTGACAGATACGAGTGGAAAGTCCAGTCCAATCCCGCCTGCGGGATTGGCAACTGAAGCAAAACACATTCCTGGCAAGTAGACTCACGATCTGAAGAAAGGTCTATAGACGGTGATCGAATATCATATCATTTGCCCAGATTATTGGTTCGATGAAATGTTATATCGACGTCGAGTCTCCGTCTTCGAGCCAAAGCGTGCCGTATCTCCGTCGGACCATATCGATGTGCTGTTATTCAAGTTCGCGTGCGGAGAGGGTCGCGAAGGCCATGCTCCAAATAGCCCGGGCCTCGTAAGGTTTGGTTCCCCGGACCGAGTTGCTTCCTGTTGACACAGCTAAGATCAGGCTAGAGAGGTCAATGACGGCCAACTTACCCAAATATTGTATCATAACAGGATACTGCGCATAGAGTGCGAGACCTTCATCCTTCGCTATGTCTTTCAGGATCAAATCAACTTGACCGCTACCTCGGTCTCTCAAGCTCTCTACGACACACGGCACCATATCTCTCGGGAACACGAGTCCTTGAGAACAGCAACCGAAAGCCTCTTGGCGGATACCAGGTTGAGGCGGAAGCAGTGAGACCTTTCCTGCTTGGAAGAATAACATGAAAAATGCCGGGACAACAATCAGGCACACGATCATCAATGTTCAGTTGTCGAATAATCCCCCGGCTCTGCGAAAGCGTCTCCTGAGTGTGAGAAGTGCAGCGACAAGAGGCGTGGCAATCACCAGTGAGATCAAGCCTTCGTGGTTGCCACCAATCTTCTTCGATGCTCATTCAGTTGATCGTTCGCTCTTGATTGAAGAGTCTTAGAAAAAGCAATTCATGAGGTCCCGACGTCTTCGACTTGATCTTGGCCTCGAAATCAGCCAGGGTGCTCAAAGTGTATGCCAACCAGCCATCTGCAAAGATGATGTCGTCCTCGAACATCGCAATCCATGGTGCTTGAGTTTCGTTGAGACAATGCTCCAAACCATAGATGTAGTCGGAAACACCCTTTCGCTCGTAGTTGTGTGTCTTCTCATACACTTGGATCGTTTCAAGTTGCGTGGAAGATGAATTGTACGAGTGGAAGTCATCTAAAAGTCCGTGAAGTGTCTTATTGTGCCAACTAGGGTGCTCTTCTGGGATCGTGTAAGCGATGAAGGCGGAGACATAGATGTCTGCTCTCTCTTGGAGTGATAAACCTTCAAGAGCGCTGAGAATGGCCAACTAGAGAGTTATTAGTCACTTAATTGAAATCAAGAATCTTAACGCATGCTTGACTGCAGATGGATGATGGCAGTGACTCGCGTCCAGCGGTTGTTGGCCTTCCCTTCGTACGCTCTGAAACGACGCACAGAGACTGGCGGATTTCGAAGCTTTCGTCAACCCAGCAGGAACCTCCAAGAACACGTTCGCTTGATTCTCTCTCACAGAACTATAGAACCGGGTGAACGCTCGACCTTCGTCGTAGAACGCACTGCCTGGGTCTCGATAGAAGTGTGTTTTGCAATACCAAAATGTTGTTGTCCAAAGAAAGGATGCCGTTACGAAGACGAGTACAGCAGCGAATTTGGTTGTCAGCATCTCGGCAAGTCGGATGTGGCAGTCCTAAGGCCATCCACAAGGCGGGATTCTGACTCTTGTGACGGCTGGGATGCGAAGATGTCCAGGCAGCATGTTAAGAGTACAGGCTGATCTCATCCTACCAGAGTTTCGGCTTCTGACTCCGTTACTAAGAGCTGACGAGTACAGACCTTGAATGACGACCTTTAAGACGATAAGATAGTGGCTGTGTCATCCAAGCAACGTCAGCTTTTGTACAGAGGTGTTGGCTGTGACTTTCATACAGCAGCACGGTTGAAGTATATAAGCTACCCGCCTGTCTGGGCGCGCTAAGCATTTAGGATCTGCCAGCCCCATGCCCCGGCGTCTTGATCTGAACTCTAAGTTGTCATCCCCGATTGGTCAGAATAACGAGCAAACGGTCCTTGGTCTAAACATTCTTTTTTTGGCCAGATCCCAACGAGCAGACCTTTCAGAAACCAAAACCCAATGGAAATTTGCCGAGCGTTGCATTGTTGCCTTGCTCCTATGACTCCTTCTCGAACTTCACAACGTGCGGAACCTCACAAAAATCCAGCCAACAGGCCATTGGACTTTTTTACGAACTCTCAATTTCTGCTTCTAATTCTTGCTCGTATACATGTACTAGACTGAATATGATGGCTCGCGTCAGATGGAAACGTGCATCGCACTCTAAAAGTCATGGCGGTTGTGCGACCTGCCGGTAAGCCCTACCAACCGAGTCATGTTTCGTGAGCGACTTTGTTGACGTCGAAGTATAGTGCGCGTCGTGTCAAATGTGACGAGACGCAGCCGATTTGCCATCGTTGTGTCAAGGCTGGTCGCATCTGTGAAGGCTACAAGCCACCGCCTCGACCTGCCGGACAGCTTCGCAGTATCTGCCCGCGGCCTCTGAACCCTATCAGTCACTTGAGCGACATCGAGGGCAATGCGTTGGATTTCTTCCGTCGCGTTACTATATTTCAGCTTCCTTGTGCTTCGGTAAGCGAGACACCATGGGAGAAAGTGGCTCTGGATCTGGTTTATCGACAGCCATCTATCGCAGCCGCTGCTTCAGCGTGTGCAGGTATACACCGTGCGATCACGGACGCACAAGACCACAATCAATGGCAACTCGCTATGCAGCAGTACAACAAATCGTTAGCTTCGGTCAGCAAGTACATTGGTGACCTGGGTGCCGAAAAGTCTGATGACGACGTGCTTGTTGTACTTGTGGCTTGTCTACTTCTCTTTACGTACGAGGTTTTCTCTGGACAAGACGAAAAGGCTTCACTTCATCTGAAGACTGGACTACGCATTATACACGAACGCCGATGTCCAAATGACAATCCGCGGACGCCGAACGACCGGCACATCATAGTCGTGAAGCCACATCCAACATCAGTATTTGATGTGCTATTGCAAATATTCGTTCGACTTGATTCAGATTACACATTGACAGGCCACGATGACCCGTAGGTGTTTCTCATCCTTCACATCCTTTGTTCGACAAGCTGACTTCACAAGTTATCTCTATCCCATCTGCGACGAACCCTTGCCAGCGAGCTTTACCGATCCTGATCAAGCTGGCGTCCACCTTGAAGTCGTAGCGGCAGGCATCTACGATACATTCGATACCTTGTGGTTACATGCACAAAGTGTCTTGGATGCACAAACAGATACCGAAGCCCTGACCTTGGATCAATGCAATTGTCTCATACGTGCATCTCTACGCACTGTTGACTTGGATGATTCTCTGCAAAAAGGCATTGAAGAGTGCCGCGAGTCACTAAAAGCCTGGAATTCCGCATTCGCAGACACCAAACAAACCAAGGAGAATTTGATGTCACACATGACGACACAAATTTACTTCTTCTGCGTATGCTTTTGGGTTGATACATGGCGCGATGCAAGCCCCATGGAGGTCGATCGCTTTGAGAGTCAATTTGAGTACTTCACCAGTCTGTGTGAGAAATATCTCGAATTGCACGTTGCAAAGACGCCATTCCGAAGCAGCTTCACCACTAATCAAGACAAGACCGCGAGGATAGACACACCTCCAGCCTTCTCACTCGGTACTGGTGTTGTCACTTGTCTGGTTGCCATTGTTGAGAGATGTCGTAATTCATCCATTCGGCGGCGTTGTATCGCCACACTGCGCAGAATCAATCTCAGGGGAGTTTTTGACACTGACTACTTGATCGCGTACCTGGAAGCTATTGTCGAAAAGGAAGAAGAACTCGCACGCTTTTGTAACCTGGAACTTGACCTTGGCCCTGATCTGCAAGCTTGTGATATTCCGGAAGCTGCCAGATTCCTCGAGGTCGTCATGTCTCCCTCGTATCATGCTTCGAACTTCGAGTTTTACAAGACGAAGCGTGTTGGAATTGTGTACGTGACTGGAGGGCATGGTGTTGGGGGCAAAGGGCTTCAAATAGGAGAGACGATGATCAAGATGGCTTGAGTGGAGGAATTGGTTTGAACGACTCGACGATGAGATTTAGTTGCTGGCTACTAGAAAAAGTTGGTACATAGTGTTGCATGACGAACATACCATCGGTAATTCGAGATGGAATTGATCAGCTGTTCATTGGTGGAGCATACGGGGTCTCATCGGGAATTTGAGCCGCAGAGTCAGACTTTGAGCCTGGAGTAGCCGATCGTGTCAATAGCCAATGAATGCCATGGGATGTGAGAAAGGTTGAGACCGTAGGCCTAGCATGACTCACTGGCTGTCGTCTATCATTACAGGTCTCACTATAACAGTCATTCTTGTAATACTCCATATCCCCGTGTAGATCTTAAGACATTTTGTCGGTCGTTCAGGACTTCGATCTCGCTCTCCTCGTAGGATCGGCTTCTCACACTTATAAGCACGATGGCTAATGAGAATACTCATGCACCACCTCCGAGAACCTCCGGTATATCTCAACGCGAGTTCACGGAAGACATCTGGCGCGTGGTTGCGAATCTCAAAACATCTCCTGAACAAGCAGGTAACCTCACCTCGAACCCGATGTCCATGGTGGAGGACCATTATTCCGAAGACGACTGGATGCGTGCCGTATATGCAAACGAAACCATTGTCGGCTTCCTGATAATGGCGCTCTGGCCTCCCACTGACGGCTACTATATTTGGCGCTTGATGATTGATCAGAAGTACCAAGGTCAAGGGTTCGAGAAGCAAGTCGTAGAGTTGGCGATACAGCATGTGAAGTCGACATATCCGAGGGCTGTGAGAGTGGGCGTCATGTCCACACCGGACGAAGGAGCGGCAGACAAAAAAGTTTTGGCAGGAGACTCGCCCTATCACTTCTACACGCAAACAGACCGCAGAGCCTGATGAAGAAGGGGAAGTCATGATGGAGATCAAGCTGTAAAGTAAGTTCTAGTCCGGACCTAGGGACAGGAATTGTGAGATATCACGGTGATCACAAACGATGTAAGCAAGAAGGGCATTAATACTTAGTAGGGAACAAAAAGTTGGGGCAAAGATTATTGTATATGGTAGTTGATGAATGGATCCGGGGAAGACCAGCTGGACCAGTGAAGATCAACTTGCACACATTGAACTCTTCGACAAATTGCCCACCTTAAGCTCTCGAGAAACCTACATGTAATGACCACAAACTTTGCAAACGAATCTCTCTTGCTCAGGATTCCAGGTAGAGGAAATGCACTTGTCGCAAACTTGACCCACAGGGTGATGCTCAAGTCTAGGTGTGTTCCAGAATTCGCGACTGACACAGAATATAATGGTGTTAACGCCTATGATGGAGATTGACACGCCGACTTCCATGATAGTCCAGAGGGCATACGTGAAGAGGTCACTGACATAGCTGGTGATGCGACTGAAAGTGAAGAACCAAGGCTTTATGGTAGCTAAGCTTTGTGCATGACTTCCCAATTGTCCTTGACCTGAGTTCTGTTGATGAGCTCAGTCCCGTCTTCGCTCTGAAGTCTTGACCGCATCTTTGGTGGAATGGTCTCGAAAGTGAGTTTGCTCGTCGAATTGTCGCGCACAGAATTCATGAATGACTGATCCCACTCTTTGTCGTTCAGAACACGGAGGGGTGGTGGTAGCCTTTGTTCGGTTGTATCTCAAAGCTACCTACAGCGCTGGGAATCCCATCGACATTGCTATTGCGGGCAAGGATCGTAATTGTGGTATGCTCGCATTGATTTGTGGAGCTCAGACTTTCGGTATGGTCGGACTTGTCTTCCAGCTAGGGACATATGCTGAGCAATTTGTCGCAAATGGGAGATCCGTGACAGTCGCCGGCGATCTGACGCAATCGGTCCAAGACAACGCAGACATATACCAGCAAAATCACGATGGATTCAAATATGTCCGCGGACTAGAACGGAGATGAGAGCGCCTCGAGGTGAGGGCACGAGCTCGACGGGGCTGCACGATTGTCAAGATACGACAGACTCTAAACTGTGGAAGATGGCTCGACATGTTATCTCAAGTATTCTTCGCGCACGATTCAGCATAAATCTTAGCGAGGCAGGCGGCTAACAAGAGCAAATGGCAGCATCATGGCAATTGATCAATTGGGGTGAGTTCCTGTGGAGCAGGGTTCATGCGAAAGCCAAATCGAGAGTGAGAATCTCGTGTTTTGAGCCAATCAGAGCGGTGCGTATTCGGGCGTAAGATGGTTGCCTGGACCGGTGGAAGTCTTGACTCACCATCCTTGGCACTCGGAATGACACGCGGCCTGCGCTCTGGCAAAACGACTTACTTTCTGATCAATGTCAGCCGTTGATAGCACGTCCTGGCGGTGTCCCCTTGGAGTCGTGGCACACGGTAGAGTACTCGAATACACTCACATAATGTGCGAACACAAATATGAGGTGACAGCAATCTCAAGATTAAGCAAACATTCAGGACAAGTCGTTGTCGATAATTTGTTACCTCCGGCGATGTATTCGAAGCGCCATACCATTGCTCGAGAAATCTGCTAATCTGAACTTCTACACATGGATACACAGCTACAAACTGGTCTCGGACGGCGATTTCACGCTCTTCCGTCTGAATTGCGCGCTTATATATTCTCATTTCTGCTTGTCCGTCCAGTGAAATGGGATTTGAGACACTTGGAGAGCTGCGAGAAGTACTGTGCCAGAACAACAAGCGGGTACGAACGGCCAACACACCATACCATCCCGGGGTTGGAAAGTCGCTACGTCTGTGCGAGCTGTGGACCTTGGACACACGAGCGCAATTGGCGACATGCCTTTGGGCGAGGATTTGAGGTATATGTATCACCGTGGAGGAGTAAATGGGCACCACCTCAGGGTAATTCATACATCTGTTCAAACTGTTACGACGATCGAATGCGGACTCGACCATTCCCGGAGCCAACGAATCTTCCATGCTTGTGCGCTCGACGCCAAAGTTTAGAGATGCGTCTTGTATGTCGACAATGGCACGATGAAGCCAGCCTGGTATTTTTCTCGGAGAACACATTTGCTTTCGACGACGTTGTCTCGATGGGCCACTTCTTTACTGCAATATCTGGTCCATGGGCGAGAGTGATCTCGAAACTCAGCCTTCTTTTCCCTCTGTGGACTCCAGAAGACGGTCCATCGAAAGTCAGTGAGATCGTTAGCTTTCTGTCGATATTGAATGAGCTTCCATGGCTAAAGTCCCTTGAATTGGACGCAAAATTGCTGAATGAGGAATCGGCGGTGTCCGCACTTCTCAGATGCCAATTCACGAGCCTCAGGAGTGTGAGCTTCGTCGTTCAATGCCCGCTCCAAGAAGTACTCTGGCGTCCGATGAAGTCGCCGACAAACATTTGGAACGAACTGGAGGGACGGATAGTTCTTTTGGGAGGCTTTCCCGAGGTGGTGGCAAGGTCAATGAAAACCCGGAAGGACATCGCTACTCCCGTGATGGAGTCACATGAATTCATTCAACAGAAGCGTTTATACGAAGCTATCCAGGACGATCGGCACCTCTGGAAGAAGGAGAAGGTCGTAGGGACAAGTATACGTAGAGTTCTGCTACTCGGCGCAATGGACCTGCAGTAAAGATGACTGTACAAATGACAATCTTCGACATGCTGAACCTTTGACATTGGTCTAGCTTCCACCGTTTTCACTAATTGATTCCCACGTCGACTTTTTACCAGGCAGGCTCGATTGTGACCACAACCTTCTGTCCTCCTTGCAACCAAGGATCTCGAACGTCATCTCACGATCCATGTTCCTCTGCGCCTCCATATACATCACGGTACTAACTTCCTGGAGAAACCGAACGATATGTCGTGGCTCGTACGGTGCCTTGCATGACAAATCGAACTACATATGTTCAATTGGACGGTGGTCTGGCAGCGAGCGGAATGCTTTACGCCAGCACTGTATGATGGGATGTATGGTAGGACTATCCACTCCTCCGTTCGATTCCGTAGCATCGAGGTCGCCAGGCATGACAGATCCAAGGATCTCCACGCGCAACGCCTGTACCGAAGGACTCTTCGTGACGGGCTCAACTTCTCCTGCAGCTAACAAATCAACACTGCTGAATGTGCCGTTTCCCGATGTGCAGTCCTTTGCGAAAGCATGCAGCATAGCAGGAACTTTGAAGACCAGAATTCCAGGACGGTCAACAATTATACCCTCATGCTGCTGCAAGGGATCGGGCTCGACGGGATCTGTCAGCGAGAAAGAGACACCCGAAGGCAGCATTGCTTCGAACTGTTGACAGTAGGGCAAAGGCTCGATCCATCTGAGACGCCGAGATGTGTAGATTTCGATAATTGGCAGTTGGTCGTGCATAATCTCTTGATCTTCAAATGTGCCAGCTCTCAACACAATGGCATCCAGCTTTTCATCTGGTGATAGGCTTCCTCCATACAGAGGTGTACCTGTCAGATGTCAGATCGGTCACCGGTCACTATACAAGTGATGCCCGACTCACCGCAGTCTGGGCAAAAGTAGTTGGCTACGGTGTTGTTGCTTTCTGCAGTCTTGGTTATCTCTTTCGGAGTGCCAGTGACCTTAATTCCATAATAGCAAGGGCGTAGTTGAGGGTATAGGGCGAGCCGCTCAATCTGCGACAATCAAGACAATGACACAAAGCCATGCACGATATCTTGCACAAAAAGACTCCCGGCATTGATGGACCCGGCGGTGTACTTGATCTTGATCCTTCCGCAAAAGCAACTTCCGGCAAGCATGTTTGGCGTGGTAATGCATTAAATTTCGTTGAGTACGCAGTTCAATCCTCTGACCTCAACTGTGCTATCGACGCGTTTTACACAAGACGTACGCCCGATATATCGTCGTATACAGCATACAGACTCTAGAGCACAGTCTCAACGCTCATTGGCTCAAGACACGATGGACCGCATTTCTTGGGACCCAAGCTAACTTTCGGTCCAGTACGGATGAGTTGCTCCTGCAGACGCGAACCTTAAATCGAGCTGATCGAAGTTCCGTGACGTGGCTGCCTCACTTGGAGTACGCTTGGACGTGACACAATCATCTCTTTTGAGGTCCTCAAGTCTGTGGCTATCTCAACGATCAGACAACCAGACTCCGACCTTTTAGACTCCAAAGCGAAGACCGCCGTTACTCGGACCCAGGCCATTACATCTGCATCATCAAGCGACAGACCTTTAATTCCACAAAGTACGATTGCCATTCACCACACCTCGGAAGCTATGCAGACTGGAAAACCTTCCATTGGCGCCTCTGCTGAATCCAGTCAAGCCTCAAATATGGACGAAGCTTTGGCTTATCTCGAGAAGATTCAGACTCGATATGCGACTCAACCTGAAATCTACGAAGCTTTTCTTGACATCATGAAGGACTTGAAGAAGGGTGCCATCAGCCCGCCAGACGCCGTAGCGCATGTCAACATGCTCTTCGAGGACGACGCGGAATTGACGAAAGACTTTCAGCAATTTGCCATGCAGCAATCAGGACCATTCCCCGACATCACCTCGTCAGCTGAAACGAGGAAAACCCCTTCGCTGGATCAGGTCACGGAGTCAAATATGAATGATGCATTTGCCTACCTCGACAAGGTCAAAGCTCATTGCGCGACAAACCCTAAGACACACGATAGCTTCCTTCTCATCATGAGGGACTTACACAAGGGCACAATTGACCAGGCTGATGCGACTCTGCTGGTCAACAAGCTCTTTGAGGGAGACGCGGAGATCAGGAAAGGCTTTGAGACATTCGTCTCGTAAAAGCTTCCCTTGCGATGCCGTCTTGGCTCGTCTGGTCAGTCTCTACTGTTCTCCATGCTTACATAAGGGAGGACGAATTGGGGGATTAGACACTACCGTCGAAAGACAGATAGTCTGCATGCATCTTGACCTCGAATCTCTTCTATAGCAGATGCTAATTGCCAACCTGGTTTTGATTCTTGTCACAGCCATTCCGAGGCCGACTTCGTCCGGCGAATCGTCATGGGAGTTTGATCTGTTAGATATTTACAGTCCAGATAAATAAAAGTCTGGTTTCCGATTAGGATTTGCTAAACACTCAATACGAATCAATCCTTCTTGTTCATCGAATCGTCGTGCAATTTACCGTGTGATTGTGTTATCGTTGCCCATCGAGTCTCTTTATGTAAGGGTGATGACCTTCGTAAGGTATCAGGGTGTGCTGTGACGTTGGGTCAGCTAGCTCGCTAAACACTTCTTTTTCTGTTAAAGGTGTCATCTGTGACCACGGAGCCAACATTAGAGAAGGACGTCCTGAGTGGCCCAACTTGGATCGATGAGGAATGAAGGACTACAAGTGGTAGCAGAAGAGAGGTCTGTCGTCGTTCGTGCCTACCAAGACCGTTCATAAAGATTGACCATTAGTTAGGTCATCAATCAGGGCAAACACCATAAGTCTCTGACGAATTTTGCGACGGTCAAAGACGTGCTTTGCTGTAAAACTTCCTGGGCCTGGAGGTTAACCCTAAAGCTAAACTCTCGAGACTTGCTAATGACGCAGCTTTAGCTTGGGTGAGACGACGTTTAGTCTGAGTCAAGCAATTGAGAAGCACTGAAGTAGAAATTTTAGATACATCACGCAAATTATCGTCATCCTTGTGTTCGATAACCAATGTGCTTCTGCTCATATAGTACTACCTATGCTCATCATGACCATTCGCTCACTTCATGGTGTAATCGCATTACCTAAGAGTCTTCCGATCTCCTCAGCGATGGCCATGGTCTTTTCTTCGGTCAGTCTTCTTCCAACAATCTGTACCGCAACTGGTGCACCATGGTAGGCTTCGGCATTATCTGTGCCTTGTCAGCTTTGGTACTCATCGTTGTGTCTCAGCTCAACTTACATTCTTCCTGCACCTGCTTGTCCATGTCATTCATCGGCGTGAAGCCTTCGACCTTCTTGTCCTTATCCTTGTCGGCAAATGTGACAGGTACGACGACACTCGTGAAGTCAAGCAAGTTGATCGCACTGGCGTATCCGTAATATCTGAATTGGTTGTGTCGAATAGCAGCAGTGGGCGTAATGGGCATGATGAAGGCATCCATCTCTTTGCCTAGCTGTTCATCCATCTCGTTCCACTTCTCAATGTACTCCATTTGGAAGTTCCACTTCTGCGACTGTACGTCCCAAAGCGTGGTGATGTCGACTCCAGAGCGTGAAGGGTCGACTAGATCATTGATGTTTGGGATGGCTGGCTCGCCTGATGCAGAGAGGACAGCATGAATGTCTTTACCGGCGTCGGACGCATAGATACCTTGTATCAGGTCGACAGCGAAGTCATGCTTGTAAGGCTTCCAGTCGACAAGGGTGTGTCCGCAATCTCGTAGAGTCGAGACGACTTGCTCCATGCCACGAAGGATAGGAGGGTGAGGCATCACGACACCATCGTTGTTGAAGAAGCCAAGAGTTAGCTTTTCGCTTGAGATTCTCTTGACCGCAGCATCGTGCTCGGACTGTCGCCATGGCATTGGGATGGTTTTCGAATCATGCTTCCAAGGTTCTTGGTCCAGGACTGACTTGACGAACAATCGTAGGTCAGGTACAGAGTGCGCGATGGGTCCTACGACACTGTGAACAGTCTCTTGGCCTTCCATACTGTTTGCCATCTTGCCATATGGAAGTCGACCATGACTTGGTCGCAATCCGTACAAGAAATTGAATGCGGAAGGAACACGAATAGAGCCTCCAATGTCAGTGCCGACACCAATTATACCGCCTCTGATGCCAACGTTCGCACCTTCACCACCCGAGGATCCACCAGGAGACCAATGCTTGTTGCGAGGATTGACACTACGACCGCTAATGTTGTTGACAGTCTCGCAAACCATGAGACTTTGTGGGACAGAGGTTTTGATGTAGAAAACCGCACCAGCTTTCCTGAGCATGGCAGTAAGTACAGAGTCCTCGGAGTCGTACTTGTCGATCCACGCTACGTAGCCCATGGTCGTTTCGAGGCCCTTGACGCGCAACTGGTCTTTGAGTGAAATTGGCAGACCATGCAAAGGTCCGACAGTCTTTCCATTCTTCTCGTAGTAGGCGTCCAGTTCCTTGGCTTGCTCAAGTGCCATCTCGGGGAAGAATTCTAGAGCGCAATTTGTGACCTGATGCGAGATTGCTGCTCGCTTGCAGAAAGCAGTCGTGACATCCACAGATCTGAGGCTGCCGTTTGCCAGTTGAGCGACCAGGTCCGTAGCAGAGGAGTTGGTGATGCCCAGTTCCGATTTGGTTAGAAGTCCGCAAGTTGCGGGGATGTCCATGACGTTGTCGTTGAGAGATGAAGTGTCAATCCGCCATTCTTCCGGGATGGAGTTGGTGATGCGCTGCTGTTTCGCCGCAGCAATTTTTTTCCAGTCTTCAGGCATGTCTGCTATCACGAGTGTTACTGCTCAGAGAGGAATGAGTATGTCGCGAAGTCGAAGGAGAGCCGGAGAAGTAGCTGTAGATACACGGGTCGGCTTATCGGTAGATAAGAAATGATCATTATTACCCCACCTGCGGGGTCATCAACATGTCATCGGTATAGCGGAGTTACGTGAGTACCTTATGTCCCCTTATCAGCACTCGGAACAATGGGTATCTAATTTGAGCGAATAAAAGAGTAGCGAAAGTCTAGAAGTGCAATGAAAAGACGCCGACAGCTCCTTCTAACACAACTCCAACACTAGCTTCTGCCCAGATACCTTGCCGCTCTTCAACAGTGCAAGACCCTCTTCGATCTTATCAAACCCGGTACCTCTGTGTTTGATTGGAGGTGCCTTCAGTTTCCCGTCCTCTACCAGCTTCGGAAGCATCTCGTAGAACTTCGCCAACCCAGCCCGGTCATCAGGTTTGGTGGGGAATTTTGGTCCAATCGGTGGGACCAACTGGAAAGCACGACCAAACACCGTGTACATGATCATAGTCTCGAACTCGACATTCTTGACGCTGCTCTTTGCGGTAGGATCAAGGGAAACGACCTTTCCACCCTTGACAACCACGTTGCAGCAGAACTCATTGCTTCCTGCTCCGCTGAAACCATCGAATGCAATGGCGATATTGGGATGTGCGACTTTTATCTTGTCCAGACTGGTCTTTTCCTTGTAGTTGTAGACTTCGTCCGCACCAAATGACTTGACGAGATCGTTCGAGTGGGGCGAGCAAGTTGTGATGACACGCAGACCAGCCAGCTTGGCAATTTGGATAGCGAAGAGACTGGCAGAAGTACTGCCTCCGTAGATGAAGATCTCCTTCCCAGCATTCACTGGTTTCTCGCCTGGCCATGGTAGTCCGAGGACGAGATTTAGCGCCTGCATGGCTGATACAGCGGAAACACCGTACACAGACGCTGTCGCGAAAGACACAGAGTCTGGGATCTTCCAGGCCAGGTCACCGTCGATGGTGAGGTATTCGGCGTAAGAGCCGCGATTGCTGTAGATACCGCCGTGCGTGACTCCTGCGATGCGGTCGCCGACTTTCCAGTTCCCCTTCGCTGAAGCACCAACGGATTCCACGGTACCGGCATAATCACACCCGAGAATACTGTTGGGTTGTCCGAGAAGATCAATGTGTTTGTGGTCTGTAGGCTGTGCTAAAGTCAGCTGTGTACACCAGAACAAGCGTTTACATTTCCTTTTCCAGGCACGAACATTTTGTGCTACTGCTTTGACGTTGACAAGAACTTCGGTCGCAGTAGGTATTGGTGTTGGCATTTGTCGAACCGACACATCGTGCGCGACGCTGAACTTCGTCGCGGCTTTATAAACAAGGCCTGCCATCGATCTTTGGTTCGTCGCGAAAGCTTTCATTGTTGTGGGTGCCATATTGGTGTCGATGATCGTGATTCTGTCCAGGGTATTTTGTAGCAAGCTGGGAGTAATGCTGCAACATCTGCGACAAGAGTGGATGTTTTGTTTTGCTTCATCATCGCTTTTGTTGACTCATCAAGGTGGATGATGACAAGCTGGAGCAACTTGTGCTGCGTCAACTACAACGGCCGTTGCTTGGGATCGGGGCAACTTGCGGGCCGACGGTGTATATAGATGCCCCGGACGTTCATAATAATCCCTTCGAGATAAGCTTCCATTTGCAGGTAGTCACCGGAGAAGTGTTTTCAACAAGCTGCATATTAAGCACGGTGTTTTGCAAGCAGACGAGCGTCGCAAGGGTATTTCGCCCGATCGCAGCGAACTTCCGAATGATTCAGATTCCCCAGACAGCAATGTGAATGAATACATGAAACGTGTAGTTATGTCTATCTGTTAACATCTAAGCAAGTGTAGGTGCCAGCTCAAGCTACACTCGAATCACTGTCGCTGCGCTTCGAGACCCAGCTCTTGACCGAGAATCCCTTCTTCTCGTTTCTGTGCCAGGTCTTGCCTTTTCTCTCGTCGTTGGCGATCAAGATCTCTTCACCCGTGACTTGATGGTCCATCCTACTTCCTTGCTCTGGGATGAATCGCATCAGCGCCCAATAACAGAGACCCGCAGCGGCAAAGGAGTAAGGGTATCCGATGGCGAAGCTATGGAGATGTCAGTACCGATAAAGTCTGGGAGTCATAAGGGAAACATACATATGCTGACCAGCGAGCGATATGCCGAGCTGGCCCTGATCGATGCTGTCTGCAAAGCCAGGAAGTGGAGGTGCAAATCCAACAAAAAGTGCGACGACCGAGCGCCAGTTGGTTGCGAACTTCGGGGAATAGCGATAGATGCCGTCGAAATTGTACATGTCTGGTACTGATACATTGCCACGGCGAGTGATGTAGTAGCTACCATAAAATTAGCGATGGATCGAGATGTAACAAAAGAAGCCACTCACTCCACCATGATGATAGCGGTCATGGGGCCGAGGAAGATGGTGTAGCCACTCAGGAAAGCCAAAAACTTCTGAGCAGAAGCAAGGATTTTCCACTACACATACAGTCAGTGAGGAGGTCCGGGAAGAGTGTTGCTGTGAGAAACATACCGGCACACATGCCCAAGCACCGATGATCGCGGCCAAGATCTGACCACGACGGATGTTGATGTACTTGGGGAAAAAGGACACAAGATCGTTGGCTGCACTGATTGAGTTGGCCGAGATGTTGATACCAAGAGTGACAATGATTAAGCCGATCGCTCCAAAGGCTGAAGCAGCACGTCCAGCATGAGAGCCAGAGGCACTCCAAAGGCCGACGATGGTGACCGGATTCCAAAGAGGAGTTCCCTCAGCGGCAACTTCATCAGGATATGCGACAGTTGAAGCAGCAGCGGTAAAGATACCGAGAAGACCAACGATGGTGAAGATGAAGGGGATGACGAAAGCTTGACAATTCTGTGCGCTCTTGTTGTTGGCATATCTTGCAAAGTCGGCAATGTTGAGACCAAGAGTAGAGTAGTTGCCCAAGACCGAGTTGAGGTTGGAGAAGAAAGCCCAGGCCAGAACTGATCCTTTCACGGTGGGTCCTTGAGTGATGACTGTGCTGTTACTAATAGTGCCGCCTGCCTTGTGGAGAGTGTGTCCAAAGACGGCAAGGAAGATAATAGGTGCAATGATTGACTTGAATCCAAAGAAGTACTGGACTTTGGTGTAAGGGATACACAAGAAGGGCAATTGCAGCAGGAAGTAGAGGAAGAAGGAAACCATGCCCTTGGTATCAATACCCTGACCAGCGGAGATGCTGTTGGGGATGTTCGCGTAGCTCGGCCAGATGGCAGTGAGCAGGACTTCCATGCATTGGCCTCCGGTAACAGTCTGTACCCCGAGCCAGATGATGGCAAGGGCGCAGCGGGACACAACGACGAAGTAGCTGAAGTAGTAGCCGAAAGATACGCGCGCAATGATGGGGAAGGGGACATGGAGATGTGCTCCAATCCTGCCGTTCATGGTAATAACAGCACCCATGATGAAGTTTCCGAGAACGCAAGCACCGATGGCCATCCTCCAACTGAGGCCGCCAGCAATCATCGAAGATGCGACTTCCCAGTTAGACACAGCCCAAGCATCAGCCATCCAGTATGCGACGTAGGCCTTCCAGGTCCAGGTACGGTTGGATGGCGGGATGGGATCGAAATCAGCATTGGATGCGTTTGGGTTGGTTGCGAAACTGCTGGGCTCTTGGTCGACAGCTAGTTTGAAGGCGGGGAAGCGGCGCTTGTGGACAGAAGATTCACCCATCTGGATGGGCTCCACACTATGAGAGACTTCGCCAGAGGCATCGCCCTTGATGTCGTTGTAGAGCATAGTGGAGGGAGCACTATGTGTCGATGTATTGTTGACAAGCGGCGACGAACGGTAGACGGAGAAACGTGTGTTGCAAGGCCGTCTATATATAATGCGATGGTGAAAGAATAGTCTCTCCCAAGACTTAGCTTATCACGGAGGATTTGCCCTGTCGCAAAAGAAACAGGAGGAGAAAGGGCCAGATTCGAATATTTTGCATGAAGCTGAGAAGCTTACGCGCGCCACAGTACATGCTGCTATCATTGTTTCTTCGAGACTTGTCTGGGTCGGCGAAGAATTGCGCAAGATGATTGGTCGCGATATGGTGATAGCACAAGCGCGGACACCAAGCCATAGATAGCAGGGGTCTTATACGTAGACGCGTTGGAAGTATAGATAAGGACTTTCGCGCCTTGAAAGTGTCGCCACAAGAGCGTAGTTTCGACCAGTTCACTGCATCTTGTCAATTAAAGGTTTCAGGAATCAAGCATGATCGCCATGTCACAGCCTTTGAAAGATCCCATGATTGTTTGAGCCTTGCTCTCGTAAACATCGAGTCGTTGCAACGCGATGTGGCAGGCAGTTTTGAAGTCGAGCGCCCATCGTCTCTTTTCGTCAACGGTTTTCGAGGCGTGGTTGCCGGTACCCTAGTCGCTTGAGCAATATGATTAGGCGTTCGCCGCAGGTCATACGAGGCGCATGGAGACACTTATACTGGGAAGAATGCGTGTTGGACTTTCGGATGTCCCGATGATAAAGGCGTTTCTCTGCATTTCCGCGCACGCGACAGAATTTGTGCCGACTATCGGAGCGCATTGCCGGCATCGGCGATGGACGCGACACCAAGGTCGAACATCCCTCTTCGCCATTTCTGACTTCCTGGACCCGGAAGACTTCTATAAGGATTCGATATACGCAAGTCATCCCAAGATCGTTTTGAACAAGTGCTCCTGCTCGAGAGTGTTTACGCGATAATGGAAGCAATTGCCGTATCGGGACAGTCCTTCCCCAGAATATTGCGACACCGAATTGCGGTAGTAGAGTCCGACATGTTCTGATTGTTGTAGGTATTTGAAGAAGATTTCATCCTGCTCGTCTTTTTGCTCTGATATACTTTGCTTCTCAAACAACACTAGCAATCAGTAGGTACTCTCTGGAAGCCGGACAATTTGTTGGAGCTTGCGAACTCGAACAACAACTAATTGTTTGTTCACAGTGTCATCAGATCTTGTCCCTCTTACAATCATCAAGGGCGCAAGCCATGAGTTTATCCCTTTTCCAGCAGGGGAGAATGCCACTGTCGCCGACTTCCACTCGTAAGTCTCCCTCGTTCTGGTTCTGAACTTGCCTCGTAAGGATGATTGACTCTCCGAAGCATCCGCACAAACACTACCGACTCGCCTTCATATCTGACATCGGGCTTCTACAAGATCGAGAAGGGCAAGGCGTATCCCCTACACTATTCCTGCGAGGAAACAAAATACGTCATAAGTGGACAGATCGATGTCTTGGACGAGGCCACTGGAGTGACGCATCATCTGGTACCTGGAGATTTCGCTTTCTTCTACGTCAACAGCAAAGTGCAGTTCTCGACCAAGTCTACTGGTTTGGCTTTCTATGCTGTGACGAGACCCGTGAAGGCGGCGCATCCCAATCTTGCTGGCAGAGAGGAGGATGTCAAGTCAAAGTCGAAGCTGTGATATGGCAGATCTAGTATCGCGACAAAGGTACACATAACCACGCAAATTAAAATGGAACATCAGATCATCCTTGTTCGGTCTTGTCAGTCCTTCACTTACGAGAATACATGATTGTGATGTGCAAACGGTCCGGACGCAAAAGCGGCCATGACGCCAGTGGAGAGAGCTCCGATCCAGCCGCCGTCGTGTGGAGTCGAAGATGTGACTCTGTCTTCGCGCGACTCTGTCTTCTTGTGCTTCACTAAGTCTCAAATTTGTTTGCCACATGATTCTAGTCCGTCATTCTGGAAGAGAGAAAGTATGACAGACCGCAAGTCAAAATATCTCTTTGAGAGTTCCCTCATTCCCGACTCAATCTCTGCCAAAGTTCGACCTTTGCAACGATCAGATTATGCGCGTGGCTTCTTGACATGTCTGAGCGACTTGACTTGGATCGGTGAAGTAGACCAGAAATCATTCGAGGAACGCTTCGACTGGTTGGCAACTGTGGGAAGAGGCTGGAACTACTGTATCGTCATTGATGATGGCGATAAGATAGTAGCGACCGCGACCATGATTGTCGACCGCAAATTGTGAGTAAGATGAAACATCTACGTAAAGTTCCGCGGGCTGATGATGGCTTAGCATACAGAACCTGACTACCGTCGCGCATGTCGAGGACGTCAGCGTTTTGGCGACTCATCAGAGAAAAGGACTAGGTTTATTGCTTCTTAAAGCCTTAGAAGGGACGGCAAAGAATCTTGGAGTCAAGAAGTTGATTTTGGACTGCGGCGACAGAAATGTCGGATTTTATGAAAGATGTGGCTACACGGAATCGGGGCATCACATGTCGCTGGATTGTAAAGACTGAGATTCTCTTCCAAACGTAATTCCGCAGGCAGGTGGCTCGCCGTGAGGGCACGGTTGGAAAACAGTTGGAGGAATATCCACCAAGCGTCGCGTATAATAAACACTTCAAGGGGACCAGACTTTCTCCCACGAGTGATCGTAAGCTTGCTACACGACTACGAGAAACCCAGTGATCAAGGTCTATTCCGTTCCAATAGTTCTGGTCGACAATACTGTGCACAGTGTACTCGTGACTGGGAAATTCAAGCGGTGATTGATGCGACAGGGTGCTACTGTAAGCAAGCGATTTTGGGGTAGCCGCGAGCTCCGGAGTAAGAAGCGGGGAAGCTTCCTCGTTGCCGAACAAAGCCGAGCTTTCGGCCTGCCCCAACGAGAAGCGCGCCCCTCTTTCGCTGCCCATCGTCTCCACCAGACTCCAAATACGAGCAACGATAGCAAATGTCAGACCTTCCAGAGACCCCAGCCTCCACAAACAAGCGGCGGAGAGTGGACGTGACTGGTAAGACCGGTGCTGTACGTCAGTGCCCACACTGTCAGAGGACATTCAAGAGGACGGAGCATCTGTCGCGACATGTGCGGACCCGTAAGTCTCTCTCGACCATGCTCGCATAAGCCGCTCTGCTCATAGCCTTGCCATTTAGATACCAAGGAAAAGCCTTTCTCTTGCACGTGTGGTGCTTCATTCGGACGTCGTGACTTGCTCACACGGCATCAGAGAGTAAACCACCACAAGGCAGCCGACCAGTCGCAGGCAGACACTGTGACCGTCGTTGATTTGAATGAGGCTGTGCAAGAGGACCCCGGCGAAGTTGACGAGTCGACGCAAACCATCACGGCGGAGCTCGACACCCGGGTTGATTCATGGTTTGACCCTTCTACTGTAGGAACAGACTCCACGTCCCAGCAGCCCATCGCGACCGGCGAGAGTCTGCGGCCGACCCGTGTCAACACACATGACGAGGTCTTCGCACCAGCACTTGTTCCAGGTGGTGGCGGGATCTCTGAGTTGAACAACGCATTGCCTTCAATGACCCCTTCAGGTGTCGATGTCGACATGCACTTTCGCGACTTTGCTAGCTTTCTCGATGGTGTTGGCTTATGCGTGGAATGGAGTCCAATATTCTCGAGCATCGCAAGGGAAGAGGACTTACACGTTGGCGGGACAAATGGGGCAGCCAACGGTCACACACCCGCCAACGGAGACCTGCGAACGCGTGCCGGCTCACCCTTCAGCTCATGGTTACCGTCTGCACCTTCCAAGAACAACACAAGCAATAGCGTCTGTAACATATCAAGTAAGTGCTATGCTCTCAGATCTTCAATCGTGTCGTTTCTCACGCAAAGCAGATCCTCGTGGTGTAGATCCTGAAGCTCGACGATTCGATGTGTCTGAAGAGCAGCGCCTCAGGTTCGAACATGCGATTGGACTGTTGTTGCATATTCTGGACCCAACATTCAGACTGCCTTCACGTCATTCTCTGACCAGATATATCAAGTCGTTTTTCGGCGGCTTCCATCTCCACATGCCGTTTATTCATGTGCCGACATGGCAGATGGAAGAACACCCGGTCGAGGTCATTTTTGGGATAGCTGCCATTGGTGCGCAATACTGCTTTGAAAAACGAATCGCAAAGCAACTGTTCTTCGCAGGCAAAGCACTTGTCATGCACAAGATCGCTGGACCAGCTGGACCAGATGGGGCTTATGTGGACATGCCGGTATCGGCCCATGAACATGGTTTTCGCAGAAGCGAAAGCACTTCGTCCATCGAGATCATCAGAGCACTGCTCACGCTGATGGGATACGCGACATGGGATCCCGAACCAGCAATGGTGCGCCAGTCATTTGCGCTGCGAGAGACACTCACCCAGTTCCTCAGGAGCGAGGGCCTACAAGATATGACGTCTTCCGCGTCACAGATCATACCTACTCACGACACAGTCGCGTCGCAAAATCATGAATGGCGCTCCTGGATCGTTGAAGAGTCTTCTCGACGCACAAAGCTGGTCTCGTTCTCGTTCTTGCATACACACAGCATCGCGTATGACGTGTATCCTCCCATCAGGAGCAATGAGGTTGGACTTCGCTTGCCTTGCTCGACAGTGGAATGGAGTGCGCCTAATTCGACGTCATGGATTGTTGCGAGAAAGGCCGTTGCTAAGCCACAGTTGTACTTCAAGGAAGCCCTATCTTTCCTGCTGGACCACAAGCATGAACCCGCCAGACTTGACCCGATACCGACACCGCTCGGCAATTATGTCTTACTGCATGGTATGATACAGAGAATTCACATTGTCAGAGATCTGAGTCTACCTGTGATGAGTGATATGGCAGCTTTGCCATCAGAAGAAGTGGAGAAGCTCGAGTGAGTCCAACGATCTCATGCGTTAGAAAGTGATTGTGCTGACTACTCAGGCGAGGGCTACGGTGCTGGACATCAGGTTGGCAGCAAGCTCCCGAATCTTCTCTTGACCCCAACAACGAGAACGGTCCCATACCCTTCACCTCGAGTTCGCTTCTTGCCTTGGCATACGCCCGTATTTATCTGAATCTTGGTCCCTATCGACAACTCCAAACCCGAGACCCGCAGCGTATCGCACGAGCTCTAGCGAAATGTCCGGAAATTGAACGTAGCGAGGGTGTCATCGCAGCACTTCTTTATTCCACCCATATGCTCGGTATCCCTGTCAGACTTGGAGTCGACCGTGTTGCAAAAAGCCAGGCCTTCTTCTGGAGCGTTAGGCATTCTTTGGCCAGCCTCGATTGCGCCATATTGCTCAGCAAATGGCTCAGTAATCTGTCTCGTACCGCGCCACTACAGCCGCTCAATGGTAAGCATCCTTTTCAAACCAGGGCAGACGGGACATACTGACAGTCAAACAGACAGCGAAGAAAGAATCCTCTATTGGGTAAAGTGTATCGTCGAAGAGGCTTACGCAGTCGTAGACTTTGACAATGACCCTCCTGGGGTTTTGGACTTGCGTAGCCCCCTGCATCTGGCTTCGGCGGTGTTGAGGATCTGGGCGCACTTTTTCAGCAGCAATTCACAATGGCCCTTCATCAATATCATTGGTGGAGGCTTGGACATCTACTGCAGAACGATGACGCAGACGGAAGGGTGAGAGACGACGGAAGATACGAAGGTGACGGGATGGGCTGGGAAGCGCGAGTTGAGCGGCGATTTGCTCGACCTCTGCAAGTCTGTTCTTTGTGGCTGCATGATCACTCTTGGCGACTCTGTTGTGGAACTCGGCCGCCGTCCTGTATTCGTGGAACTGGCGCACCTCTTCTGCAAAATTGTTCTCGGCCTGAACCTGGGCAAGACGGTGGGTCTCGAGGTTCATCCGAGCGTCGTCACGGGCGGTATGCGAGTTTGCGAGGCTGTGACGAAAGTTGGTGAGCATGGTTCCGCGGACAGCAAACTGTTGACGAAGCTCGGCGAGCTGTTCCTGTGTGATACCATGGGCAGTTTGCTCATTCAGGACTTGCTCTTGCGCTATGTTACGCGCCACTCGCTCATCGACCAGCTGGTTTCGGGTGGCGTCATGAGCGTCCTGCTCGTTGACGAGTCGTTCTCGCGCTGCGCCATGTGCAATTCACTCGTTGACCAGCTGTCCTTGGGCGACGTCAGGATGCATTGGCTTACCGCGGAGTTCGCCACGAGTCTCGCCATGAGTGACTTGCTCGTTAATCAGCTGTTCCTGTGTGAAACTGTGGTCGTTCTCCTCGCCGCGGTGCAGTTCGCGTGTGACTTCTTGGGTGGCTTGCTCGCGGTGTAGCCGAGTCTGTGTGGTCTCGTGACGGATGCGCTCGACGATCAACTGCTCTCTGGTGGCGATATGAGCATTGCGTTCAGCGCTAAGTCGTTCCTGGTTGTCGAGATGAGCGGTGCGTTCGGCAGCGAACTGTCCCTGAGTGACAGCATGAGCGTCTCGTTCAGCGGCGAGCTGTCCGTTCGCAATTGCCAGCTCGACCACCAGTTCCTCGCGCAACATGTCAGTCATCGGCTTGGGGTTGTCTGAGCTGTGCATATTTGCTGATGAAGTGGTATGATGTTTGTTTTAGGGCTTTTCTTTGATGATGAGATGAAGCGGTTCGGGAGGAAGTTCGCGACGCCGGGAGTAGAAGATGCTTTGCGCGGAGGTGGACCTTTTTGCAGGAGACCGGAAAGACAAGAAGTGACTGAGAAAGCTGGTCTTTTGCGATGACACGCCCAATCTGGTCGCCGAGGCAAGCTCTGAACGCATCCTGTTTGCTCAGGGTCCGTCAGGTCCTTAACTACAGGTCTAAAGAGACCCACATGACCTACTGAATACCGGCCTGCTTTATATTCAACAGCGTAGATGAATTCCTGGCAAGGCCGACTTGCTCCCAGATTGCCTTATAGTAGTCTGTCATGGATGACTCTAGCACGACTATGGCAAACGACATGAAGCAAACAAGGAAGAAACAATGATTCATCTTCGAACATCCGTGTGTTTGCTTCAAGAGCTTGCATAGATCGATCTGACTGACTGTGAAGACGCGAAGTCAGGCAGGCACGCATGTCGAGACATCGGGCAAGAGGCCTCTCTGAGATACCCTCGACATGAATAATATCTGCTAATGAAGAATCGTATCTAGGCTGCATTTCCCTGGTCTTGAGTGCTTTGTCTGGTTACCACAATGCAAACATAGCGGAAGTCCCCGATACATGGTTCGTGGTTCCAACTTGGACGTGGTGTCAACAAGACCTGAGGCCTCCACGGCCTTCAACAATCCACAACTGACGGCTCTGATTGCCCCAGATCAGACTGTGAGAAATCACGTGTGGGGAAGACAGACACGTGCAAGAGGAGCCACGAAGTAGCGGTGTCATCTCTTTTACAACATCAGCGTCGCCCACAGCCGATATTGAAGCACGACTTGCCTGGAGACGAAGGGAGAATGAATTGACTCGACCAACGAGCGTCGCAATGTCGACTACTCGAAGAGTCGAAGATGGCCTGAAATCTCGCTTGCAGATGGATGTGGCTAGTCGAAGATTTGGTGGGCCATGCTGTCAAACGTTCTCTCTTGTTCTGCCAGACCATGGGGCCGAGAGTTCTTCGCCTACTTGCACACCTACCGCTTTTGGTATAGTTGTCTTCCCCGCCATCCCCACAGTTCTCAAAGCGGCTCGATTTTGCTTCAGCAAATGCGCAACACGTCTTGCTGCCGAGGTCAAGACCACCGGCTGCTGGTGCAACGTAGCGAAAACACTGCGCGTGACTAGGGCTTGCATCGAAGCCAAGTCTCCTACATATCGTATCTGTCCTGACCGCTTCCATGCTGGTATGCAATCATGCCGAGGTGTAAAATATAAGCCTCAGGATTAGATTAATATCACAGCAGAGGATCGGCCGGGAGTGCGGGGCAGACGTTTCAGCGCCTTCGCGTGCTTGGGGGTCGGTAAACTTGCAGTTGAACAACCACAAAGGTCCAATAGTTTTGCCGAGCACCGAGACTGAGATCTCGAAGCGAAGGTCATACGTACGAAACCATCGCCGAACATTCAACGAACTTCTAACGGCCTGCATTGCTGTGCATACAGTTTCTCGCTTCGATCGCAGCATGATCAGTTTGATCGTGTTTCTTGTTAATTTCGAGACTACAAAGGCCTCACAGACCACATTCAGGAGTCCGAAGGGACGTATAAATGGCACCTTCCCTGGTCCGACATCTGGAGCAATCCGCTTTCATTGATTGTAAGTCTTTCATACTGCTTGACTTTAGCCTTCGCATTTTCGAACATGTCTTCTATCATCTCCTGGACCAAGGCTGCCTGCCTTGCGCTTCTTGCTACTGAAGCTCTTGCTGGCCCGATCGAGAATGTCGAAGTCTTGGAGAAGCGTGCAGTCTGTACAGCATACAGTAAGTCTGTAAATGGTCGCTGCCCATCCCAGGCTCTAACAAACCTTACAGCACTCATCGAGACTCGCGGAACTGGAGAGCCTCAGGGCCCGTCCAACAGTTTCAAAACCATGGATGCTGCTATCATTGCCCAAGTCGCAGGCGGTAGCGAGGTTCGTGTCGGATCTATGCATTCTGCCGGGTGCCAGCTAACAAAGCACAGTACAACACCGTCTATCCCGCCAGTATTGATCAGAACTCTGCTTCGGGTACCACCGACGTGAGCTTCCTGACACACATTTGCAACGTGCTATACTGACAAACATAGATCGTCAACCAGATCAACGCTGGCTTGAAAGCCAACCCAAACAGATGCTACATTCTTGAGGGCTATTCGCAAGGTGCTGCCGCTACTGTTGATGCTATGCCAAAGCTCACTGGTGCTGCGTTTAATGCTGTCAAGGGTGTCTTCCTCATCGGTAACCCTCACCACAAGGCTGGTCTGGCTTGCAATGTCGACTCAAAGGGTGGATCTACCACTAGAGACGTCAACGGCTTGACTGTCTTCGTTGGTAGCATTCCTACCAACTGGGTCAGCAAGACTCTGGATGTTTGTGCTTATGTAAGTTTGGCAGAGGAGGGCAATTCAGCAGAGACATGTGCTGACTTTTTGGGCAGGGAGATGGTGTCTGTGACACTGCTCATGGCTTCGGCATCACTGCTGCGCATCTGTCTTACAAGTCCGATGCAAATGTGCAAAACCAAGGCGTCAAGTTCGTGGTTGGAAAGCTTCGCGGCACTAGCTAGATGGTGACAGACCTTGTTGGACCAAACGTACGCACGTGGTAAAGAAGATGTTGTCTTTGTCTTTATGACACGGCCGCTATGCTGTTTCTGTGGAATTATCATCGATTATGCGTCACGAATTAACGCAAAGGCAATAGGGCGTTGGAATCTATCAATCAATGAAGCATCCCAAGGCTTCAACCTCTCCATCATTACCTTGACCCATGTGGACCATGTGAGCGTCGAGACACACAGTCTTCTCAAGTTTCCGACCTTGCGTTCGACGCGCACCGTCACTCCTGCTTTTCTGTTGCAGCAATCTATCCGCGCCTCCAAGACTCCGTACGTGATGTCAAGTCCTAATAAGTGCCTGCGATATTCTGCTCGGCACGGCTGCGAGTGAGAATATCCCGCCCATGCACACCGTGCGCGCCGCGAAGAAAGTTCACATGCGAACGTCAAGAATTGATGAATGCTCCCAACATGCTGACTCGGATTGTCGAGTTTGAAATTGTGCGCGATGTCTAGGGAAGAGCGTACACTGGGAACAGTATACACCAACTCCTACACTGGACCATATAGGAGCAAATGTATCTTTCCAGTCGCTTGCCCTTACTCGGGGCCCTTCACTAGGGCCCCACCCTTCCTCCCTCGCGGCGGGAAACTTGAGGACGCTGTTCAAAAAGAATCATCCTAGTCCTCTGGGGGAGAGTGCAAGGTAGAGATGTGCCTCTTGCCTACAATGTGTAGGTGGGGACTTGACGTACACTGCTCCCTCGTACGGACCGTGTATACTTTTCCCTAGACCTTGCGGAAATTGTGGAGTCGGCATTCCAGCACGGTCGTGATGCATTTACCAGAAATGGAAAGAGTAGCCTCCTCCAAGTGTGAATCTCGCTAGCACACGAGAAATGGTGAGATGCCGAAGTTCAATCAGCTAACAAGTTCGGCAACGCATGATGACCGGCGATCTGACATCTCAAAGACAATCACCACCAGATATCTATCATCAGACGCAGCAATTCCTGTGCTTATCAAGAGTTCAATCGTGTGCTGTACAAGGGACCAAACTCATTAGCGCGGCTCCAAAGAAGCATGAGCACCGACCCCTAACTTCACGATTGACACTCAACCATCGTTGCGGTGATCGTGAGAGCTCTGATGCAGAGATCCGTAATCAAAGCCTTGTCGATTTCCAAAAATCCGATGAACTTGACATTAGCTTGTAAAGATTGGTCAAGTTGACTGGACACAACCATAGCTACATTCATCTTGAAATGGAAATGTACGGCGCATGACTGGAGATGCTTCCTTCCGTGCACCTCGGCCGATGGCGATACAGCTTCAGACCCTACGCAGGGTATCAAGAGGTGTATCGATCTGGCGACGATGGGCAAAGAGCTCCAGCCTTCTACTTATCAGCGTTCTTCCATGCTCGATGACGAGAAGGATATCGTCGAAAACGAGTAACAAAACTTCCACGAGATAAGTATCGAGCCGCTGAATCGATGTCCTTGTGTTGTGATGTAGCGCCACAGGAAATCATGCTCTATGTGGTTGACGCAAGATCTGGTTGAAACAAAGCAAAGATCTCGGTCAAGGTGCGGCTCCACAAGTTTGACTTTGTCCCTGATCTGCCGTCTCCACATGGCAGATCATGATCCAAGATCAGGATATGACGTCCGCAGTTGTGTTCAAGTGTTCAGCGTAGCTGATGCCACAGACAATCAGAGATAATCAGTGCCTTGGTTGTCCGATTGTGTTGGACCTTCATCTACTATTTTACCTTCGTAGGCATCATCATACTCAGACAGTGCTCTCGCCAGCACAACTCCTCATTGTTGTTGGAGGTCTTATCATCTTCTACCACCTTCTCAATCTCATCGTAACCGCCATACAGAGTCGCCACTATGCCCGAAGCCAACACTGTGGCCAGATCCCTGTTCAATCTACAAGCATGCTGGGTCTGTCCACAATCTTGAAAGTCGTCAAAATTAGCCAACCTGGTAAACTGCTAGAGGCAAACGCTTCCTGCTTCAAGAAGATGCAAACAAAGACCTTCGCCATGAACTTGATCAAAGCTATCCGCATGAGACAGCACCAAGACTCCATAGATATTGGAGACTTGTTCTTCCGCATGACCACCGACTTTGCGACGGGGTGTCTTTACAGCGAGGCAACAGAGTCACTTGAGAGAGGTCCCGATCATGGCTTCTGTGAAGCGTTCACCGGGGGTCTTAGGTATGTTGGAAAGCTCTCCAGAACTGGCCGCCTCGGGTTGCCGTCAGGGTATACGAAGTTTCGACATGAGAGCAAATATCTCTACGACTTCATCGACCGTTATGTCGATAGGACTTTGGAAAACGTGCATGACCAAGAAAAGTCGGGGCAACGCCACACTTCCTTGCATGAGCTCTCCCAGCAAACTACCGACGTCGTCAGGATCCGTACAGGCTGTTGAATATCATGATCGCAGGCCGTGATACAACCGTAAGCTTGCTGACCAACACATGGCACGCACTCTCTCATCGACCAGATATCATTGCTCGGCTTCGAGAGGGATTATTTACACAGCTGCAACTGGAACAACGACGACCGACTTATGAAGACTTGAAGAGCCTGCCGTACCTGTCTGCAGTTTTCAAGGAGTCTCTGCGCATACACCCGGTCACTCGCGAAGCTATGATACCAACAACGCTCCCCAGAGGCGGAGGGCCAGACGGTCTTCAGCCGGTATTTGTGGCGAAAGGTCAAGCAGTCATTTACTCGTTATATGCCACGCAGCGAGATGTGGATGTTCTCGGCAAGGACGCAGATGAGTTCCGACCGGAGCGGTGGCTGGATATGGAGAGCGAGAAGGGCTTGAGACCTGGTTGTTCGTACATACCTTTCAATGCTGGACCGAGCATATGCCTTGGCCAGCAGTTGGCGCTGACAGAAGCCAGTTACGTTACTGTTTGCTTGCTTGAAGAATTAAAGTTAGTTGAGGCTAATACGACCAGGGAGGGAAAGCTTAATGTCGCACATCCTGCTGTGAATGAGACAAGCTTCGTACAAGACAGGACGACAAGACACGTTTGGCAATCCGGGACAGAGAATATCCTTGACTTTGCTGACGTCATAAACTGCCGAAGGATGCAAGAGTCAAGCGCCAAGATCATCGCACTCGAGTGACACCACTGCAATATGATCCTAGCTGGAGTACACAGACCCTTTGTCTCCTATCAACAGTGCCGCCGATGGCACATCCAGATATCTCGATACAAGAGACCCCGATACATTTGCTTTTGCCTGCGGGCATCTCAAACAGGAACTTCTGGTGTCAAGGGTTCAGCCGAGGAACGGTATTGATAGTTGGACGTCAAGCCCAGATCATGGAAGTCTTGATGTGACGGACTGGGGTTCGTGGCCACCGTCCATGGTGCTGATGAATGACAAGCCTCGATACTGTGAACTTTGAACTTTGGCTTGACCATCCGCGTTCGAATCTTCTCCCCATTGACCATATCGTTCCCATCAGCCCTGACGAAGGCTTGTATCAAGTCTTGCTCAATACCAGCACGAACATGCCTTTGCGCAATTCTCATTCGTGCTAGTACTGGGTCGACATCGATGAACCAGGTGTCGTCCACCATCGCTGAAATCTCGATCCAGGGCTCTTCATCAAGCAAAAGCCAGCTACCTTCCAGTATGACAAGAGAGATGTGTGGTCCAATCTCAATGGCTTCTTCTGTAGGGTCCTTAGATGCATGATCGAATCCAGGGGCCCAAATGATAGCTGACGAGTTTGTACTAGACTGCCGTAGGTTCTGGAGAAAGTCCAAAAGTTTTGGCGCATCAAAAGTCCAGTCAGCGCCTCTTCGTGCATAAGCCTCGTCCTTATTAGGCATCATGTCGAGAGTGTGGCGAGGGTAGTGGAAACCATCCATTGGGAGCACTTGAGCCCAGATTTTATCGTGATTCTTGTTTAGACGATCGACAACTGCTTCTGCAGCAGTCGACTTCCCACTCCCTGGTGGACCAGCAAAAGCAATGACTACGCGCTTTGAGGGGTTCATTCGTCGCTCAGTGGCATGTACATTGTGAGCTCGCAAGGCCATAAGACCATATGTGTAATCCATAATTGGGTAGATTGATCCAAAAGTCGTGAGCTGAGTGCTTGGCGAGTGGTGCTATTTAAGTCAAAGAACATAAGCAGATGGCTTTAGTCTGTTCTTCATCTTGTGACCGACCGCCTGGCGGAGGCGGCCAGTCCCAAAGGGGTTCGAAGCTTGCTTTCGGAACATGATTCACACGTCGGACCACAGTGCTCCGAACTCGAGCCACCACCCAATCGAGTTTCTGTGGTCGGACATCACCATGATCCACTTTCGGAACACTGCCAGCTCCAAAGTGTCCAAGATCGCGTGTGCGCATACTTCCTTCGAGCTGCAGGACTCCGATCCAAGGGCCCATAGCTTCCGACGGGTCAAGCTCGCGTCGCGGGGTATTCATGAATCAATATAAACAATGGACTGCCCCACCGAGGTCAATTATTCTTCCACTGAATCGTCCTGTCACCGACATCTGGATAACTTACACAACACCGCAATCATGTCCATGACCATTGAAGACGCCGCTGTGGTTCGCCAGCCGAAGCCCGTACCAAACACACCCGAGAATGTTCTCGAACAGTTCAGCATGAAGGGCAAAGTCGTCGCCATCACTGGCGCATCTGATGGAATTGGTTGGGCAGTCGCAGAGGCTATCGCAGAAGCTGGAGGAGATCTTGCTCTTTGGTACAACACAAACGATGCCGCCATCTCCAAGGGCGAGCAAATCGCAAAGAAACACGGCATTCGTGCCAAGGCATACCAAGTCGAGGTCTCTGATCACGAAGCTGTCAAGTCTGGAGTCGATGCAGTTGTCAAAGACTTCGGAAAGCTTGATGTTTTCGTTGCAAATGCCGGTATGGCGATCTCGAAGGCAATCACAGAGCAGACCATCGAGGAGTACAGAAAACAGATGTCGGTCAATGGTAAGATATGCTCCCCCTGGATATTGGGATCTCTTTGCTGACTTTTCTCGCAGTGGATGGTGTCGTTTTTTGCGCAAAGTACGCTGGAGCTGTTTTCAAGAGTCAAGGATTTGGCAACCTCATCATCACATCGAGCATCTCTGCTCACATTGCAAACGTGCCAGTTGACCAGCCTGTAAGTTCTGAAACACTTATTGGATTTCGCAACTTCTCATTCATGTCTTAGGTTTACAACACAACGAAGGCCGCCGTGAACCACCTTGGAAAGAGTTTGGCAAGAGAATGGCGCGACTTTGCAAGAGTCAACATCGTGTCTCCTGGTTTCTTCGACACAAAGATGGGCGCCTCGCCGCTCTGCATCAACGAGGCATACCGTATGACACCCTTGGGACGTATGGGTAACGTCAAGGAGATCAAGGGATTGTTCTTGTACCTGGCCAGCGATGCGTCCTCGTACCAGACAGGAAGCGACACAATCATCGACGGTGGATATGTCCTGGTTTAGATTGATAGAAAGCGATGGAAAGCATTCCTGGTTGCCTATGTGTATCTTCGATTCATACTCTAAGCTCAAGGAAGCTATGATCATCATCAGAATCCCTCTGCCGCAGTCGTGATATTCTTGAACTAGTACCATCCAAGCTTTGGAAGCTGCACAGGACGTGAACATTCTGGGTGGAGTCTCATTTAGGTCTGTGTATCTGATGTGTTCATTCTGTGATCTGGAAAGGATGACCAAAGTCATTCATATTGTCAAAAAGCGCCTGCAATGAAGGATCCGCGGCGAGGCTCCATTCATTGAGCACAAGCTCCGCTATCCCATGATTGTCAAATGGTTGGTATGATCCTGCGTTAGATGGACTTGGTTGGAAGATGCCGTCTTGGAAACCTTGCGCCATCTGAATCGAAAGCTCGTGGCGATGATCCGTGTTCTCAATAATGCCGGAGTAGTTTGTTTGCTGGTCATGTCTTGTCGCAAGCTCACCACCAGTACCAGGAGCTCTCCCACCCGCGGCTTGTCTCAACATCTCGCGTAGTCGAAGTACGATCTGTAGGGATCTGGCGGCGGCGCTGCTTGTGACAAGCAAGCCTTGGAGGCACTGACACGCTTGGCCGATGATGGCTTCGTGGTCCTGGAATTCGTCCTGAGACTGAACAGATAAGCGAGCCTTGAATATGTATTGGGCGCTGTAAGAAAGGGTAGCTTGTAAGGTAAAGTAGACCGCATACCAACTTAATCCGCAATGAAGGATCTGGGAATAGGACTGGCAGAATGTGGCTATGCCCGATATGACATTTGCCGAGACCGACTGGCATCTCGTGCCCAGAGACAGCTTCTCGTGCTCGTCTTTATGATGTCGTTGACTTGACAGAAGGAGTAAGATCAACAGATTCGACTCTTTCCACAGTACAATCTGTCTCGGACCTAAGAACCAAGAGGGCACGTTGGCATCGAAGAAGTAGGCCGGAAGCGATGTGTGCCAGTTGTGAATCATATGCTCCATGACGCTGGTCTGATGGTCGATATCCGCGCAAGGATTGACGCACATGAACTGAGTAAAAACACGGTTGGCAATCTTGGTGAGCCTTGCCAAAGCGATGACTGTCGATGAGGTCGTTGGGTACGACACTTCCGAAAGCGTTGTGGAAGTAGTATCGTGTGCAGACTCGTCCACGTTAAAGGGAACGCGAATGTCAACAAAATTGTCGGGGATGAGAGTCGGTCTGCCAGTCGTTATGTTAAACCAGCAGTCGAAGCAACACAGGATCCAGAAAAGCACACGGCGACGATGTGTATCAAAAGGCTTGACGCCAGCACTCGGGGGGAGCTCGAGGTGCAGCGCGAGACCGAGCGCCATCCTCAACGCGATTCCGATGTAGTTGTAACCTGTATTCGGTCGATCACGCTTTTGAAGGTAGTTGCCAAGAAGTAGGAATGCTTGAACATTGTTCAAGGAACCAGACTCCAAGACTTCGGGTCGGATGCGCGAACGGGCAGCTTCGTAGTAGATTGAATTCTCCTCACTGGTGTAACCAGAGACCCACTCGCCGATAGCAAGCACCATGTAGTACGTGATGTGCCATGTAGAGCGAGGTGACATCTGTTTACGTGATGCATATTGCTTGCGAAAAGTCCCCTCATGCAGGATTGGATAGTAAGCATTGTAGCCAAGAAAGAATGCTGTGATGAGCTGATCTTGTATCGAGGACGTCGTCAGTGAATGAGTTTGCATCGTAGCAAAAAGCTGTGGATTGGCGATAGATGGCGACACTGCAGAGTCGAGGCCCTCAACTCGGTCGGCGACTTGAGATGGCAAGAGCGACGATACTGATTGCAGAATCTCGAAGCCTGAGCTTTTCCCTGGAAACGAATTAACAACTAACGATGCAATTATGCGCAGATCAGACTTACCAAGATAACCAGATCCATTGCCTTGCCGGGTCAAAGAAGCCATACCATCGCGGGTGTACTCGCCGTCTGGAGAAGGATCGTTCGCACCAGCGTCGAGACCCTCGTTCCATTCGTATGGGCCAGATGGAGGGTCTTCGGGGTTGTGTTGACGACGCTGTTCGGGATGGGCTTCTGATCTTTGCGATGATCTGCTCTGCTCTGCTCCGGCGTTGGAGTCGGCTTGAAGTCGCTCCAGCAGAACCTCTAGTTCTCTGCATCGCGCTTCAGCCACATCGAGATTACGCCGCGTCAAAGATGTCCGTTCGTGCGGCCCTTCGAAAACGCATGTTTTGCCGGCCTTCGAACAATACGCGCAGGCGTCACCTTCCGGCGCAGCGACACATTTGGTCTTTCTCTTCTGACACTCCAAGCATGCTCTCTCGGTCGCTGGCTTCCGAGCTGTTCGACTCGCCGGCATCTGGCATGAAGATCGGTTGATGGGAGCTGGACAAGATCGGGGAGCAGGTTGCGATGGAAGAAAGAGGGGCAATGAGGGGTCTTCCTTGGCAGACTGTTCTGATCGAGACGCGCCCGGTCGCCGCCTTCGGTCACAGTACTCCGACTTCTTCCAAACAACTCGGTATGTCGGTTTGTTAACGACGATGCACTTACTCGGTGTGGCATATAATCACTCAACTCTGCATCGACGATGGAAAGTAAACACTTTCACGCGATCTGATTGAGTCCAAAAGCGAAAGCACAACATGACGATACCTATTCCAGCACTGCAGCCCTCAGCAATCGCGGCCAGAGATGAACTAAGCAAGCGGTCGATTCCTCACATGGTACTCAGCCAAGGTGATGCAAAGTCTTTGACTGCGCCTCCCACCTTCGATTTTGGCACGAATGATACGGACTGCGCTCTGGGAAGGTTCAGGGTAGACGGCAACGCGGTAGTCACAGGTGGCACAGGCACTCTCGGTCTCGCAGCCTGCACCGCTCTGCTGGAACATGGTCTTTCAGGCCTTGCAATCTTCGACGTCAACGCAGCACAAAGCGAGCCCCATCTGACGAAGCTTAGACAGCGGTTTCCATCGCGCACCATTGCCTGCTACCAGGTAGATGTCACAGATGATGTAGCTGTACAAGATGCAGTCGACTTGGCGACGGAGACTCTTGGATCGATCAATCATCTTCTCTGCTTCAGTGGTATCGTTGGCTGCGTGAACGCCATGGACATGTCCGCTGCTCAATGGCGTCGAATTATGGATGTCAACACTACCGGATCATTTTTGTGTGCTCAAGCCGTCGCTCGCAAGATGGCAAGGCAGGGCACTGGGGGATCCATCGTCTTCACTGCCTCGATCTCTGCGCACAGAGTCAATTACCCGCAACCACAAGCAGCATACAATGTCAGCAAGGCTGCTCTGATCACACTGAAGAACTGTCTCGCTGCGGAGTGGGCACGTTACGGTATCAGAACAAATTCGGTCAGTCCTGGTTATATGGACACAATCTTGAATGAAGGACCTGGGATCGCTGAGGCGAGGGACGTGTGGGCTGCCAGGAATCCTACTGGCCGGATGGGCACGCCCGATGAGTTGACAGGGGCAATCGTGATGCTCTCATCGACAACAAGCTCGTACATCAATGGGACAGATATCGTAGTTGACGGAGGCGCTATAGTCTTCTGAAGTCAGTCAGCTATGGAATATACGGAGGAGCCAGCTTAGGGAGGGATCGCACTGTAGGTGCGGTCTCCCTAGTAAAGTGCAGACTCATTGATAACGAGCTATTCCAATTGCTTCTGCAATTTGAAATACTTATAATTGTATCACAAGATTAATCCCAGTACTTCTTCTGCTAAGTTTCCAGACCGACGCTTACGGAAAGATGTCGTTATATGAATCAATCTTTTCTGTGATAATTTTCCAAAGTCTTCACATGAACTGCAGCAAGATCCATTCCCATCTTGTGTCTCTAGCACAATGTATTCGAGTGAGCTACAGCAAGTTCAAACGTAGAGCTAAGATCGGCACCGGCAGGCAACAACACATCGGAGCACACAAACCGACAAATTGTAAGGGCATTTCACCCCTCAATAGGGCATCGAAGGACCCATTGTCTAGATGACGATACATCGACTTGGGACGACCCCTTGCCAGGCCTTGAGCGCTGAGCAGTAGTGTATGTGCACAGAACTTCACCAAGGACCTCACATCGCGTGAGTTCAGGTATCCTTGCCATGCTTGGAATTCTGCAGGCACATCGATGGACGCCTCAGATTGAATTTACACTATCAAACAATTTTTTACATGACTCACGACTTCCCGTGTTCTCCCGTTCTCAACAGTCGTGTCGAGGACTCCACTGATTGTCTTTTCTGTCCGTGCGTATCCTATGTCTTTCCACGATCTAGACCACTGTCTTGACCTCTTGCTTGGTAGCGTCGGACATGAGAGCAGTGTTCTTGTTGCCACTTTGATCTGAGGAGGTGGCAGTGCTCTTGAACCTCCAAGCGGGGATCTTGCGCTCGTAAAGCTCGTCAAGCTCCCAGTATGTGCGACCGTAGGTCTAGATCATGTCAGTCCAAACTCCGGACGCGCAATGTCGGAGCAGACTTACCTCGGGGTAGTAGAGCCAGAGTAGAATAGTGAATGGAACAAGAAGACCGGCCCAGACGTAGACAGCTTTGATGCCGAGGTTGGCAGCATCAGGACTGATCATGTAGGAGACTGTCCACTGGAAAACGACGCTGCGACAAAGTCAGCAAGAGTCACTGGTGGTGAGACATGTCTGACTCACAAGCCAAGACCGTAGCATCCGAGATTGAACGAGGTTGTCTGAGCTCTCAGGCGAGGAGTGGAGGTTTCTCCTGCAGCAACGAAGCCGATGGGTCCAGCCGAAGCACCGTAACAGATGACCCATAGCAAGAGGAACCCGAGAGCAGCCTTGGGAGCACCCTCAGTCTTGAAGAAGGCAGTCGTGCCAAGGCAGATGTTGAAGATGCACATCATGAAGCATCCACTGTCATCGTTATCAAAATGTCTGGCATAGACGAGCGGAGGTTCCACTTACCCGACCAGGAGGGGTCTGCGACCGATGTGTTCACAAGCAACCAAAGAGCACGATATGGAGACGATGAGAAGCACGAATCTGCGGCAAGTCAGTATTGTACGTGATAGCCAAAGAACAAAAGACGCACGTAATGATGGTCACCAAGAAAGGATCTGCGAGTCCTGCAACCTTGAAGAAGTACTGGACAAATTGTCAACTAGAGCTTAAAAGGTATTTGGGTAGAGACCTGCTTACGGTGGAGTATGAGAATACGATGGGTGCACCGGCGGCCCATTGACTGCAGATACCAAGACATCCAGCCAATGTTCTGCGCCAGTTCTGACTGTTGAAGATCTCAAAGAAGGAAGAGCTACGAGAAGCCGAAGCCAGCTCGAGCTCGGCTTCAATTCCGTGCTGGACGACACGATACTCATGGTTCTGTTTGGGTGTGATCAGTCGTTGATTCTCTCGGGGCTGCGTTGCGCACATACCACGTCGTAGCCAGAGATGTTGCCATAAAGACTGAGCATAGACTTCTTGGCCTGCTCATGCTGTCCCTTGCGAGAATGGTAGATGTGCGATTCGGGAACGAACCAAATGAAGATGATGAGGACCTTGGGGATTTGTTAGCTCACGACGACTCGAGGACATAGCCTGCTAGCTTGGTCCACTCACGGCAGTGAAGGCGAACTCTGTGGCGATCAAGGGCTTCCACTTGTTGGGTTGATGTTCGACAACAAGCTGGGTCGCGATAGCAGCGATGAGTTGTCCAAAACCAAGGCAGAGCTGGTAAGCACCAATCATGAAACCACGGATCTGGAAGGGAGCGATCTCAGAGATGTATGTAATGAGGATAGACTGTGCAAGTCCAACACCCAGGCGGACAAAAACTGCAGCTCCGAGCCAACTCTGCCAGCTGAAGGCGGTGATTTCAGTGATTGATCCCCCAAGAAGGACGATGATTGCGCCCATCATTGCTTTCCTAATCACATCTGATCAGCACACGTCTCCAGGCATCTCGTCTCCAGAGTTCTCTTCAATTGTGGACTCACTTTCTGCCGAACCGATCCGCGAACCATCCACCAGCGAACATGCCCACGGTCTTTGACATCTCGGCAAAGCCCTGCCAGTAGGAGACGACCTTGGCGCTGACGGCGGGTTGACCATCGATCTTGGTGTCGTACATCTGGTTGATGAATGCCTGCATTGGGATGACGTTTCCGGGGACTTGCTGCTGGAACTGCAGGGGTGTCAGTCTTGGTCGATGGGCATTATTGAGAATACTCACGCCGTCGTTCAGTGCCGCCCAGTTGAGAACCATACAGAAGAGCATTGCCTTCCAGAAGGTTTTGACGGTGAGCCATCTTCCAAGGCCTAGTATTGTCAGCATATCATCCGTGGTCCGCCCCGTATGTACGGATACTCACCTGCGTATCTTGTCTCAAGGACCTCACCCTGAGGCTCTGAATTTTCGTAGTACTGAGTGACTGCTCCATCCTTGGAGTCGGCCTGCTTTGTGTCAGGGCCAGTCATGTCGAGATGAATATTGAGTGCTCTTGGTAGTATGAGTCTTGGATGTTGTCTGATAAGTCTAGTGACAAGGCAGGGATCGTCGAGGTCTTATACAAGATGTCGCGACCCTCCTTCCGGTTTACCAAGCCGTCGTGTTGCGGAGACTGACTTTCTGGGGATCATCGCGCTACCCCATGGGCAGAATAAGGTTGACGTGCCGCTCATGTGGTTGGTCGAGTTATGCTGCGTTTTCTGTCGGACCACAGCGCTCCGGCAGTCAACGGTCGACCAGGATGTCCGCAGACTCTTGAATCCGGTGTGTGGCGCATCGTAGTTCTCGTGATCAAGACGCGGCGCTCGAAGTTTGTGATGATCACGGTCGGCAAACGCCCGTTGTATACTTCATCGGACACATCTGACCGATGGCGGCGCTTGCCAAAAAAGGAATGAGCCGCTACCATGCCCAAATTTGCGAGGGCCAGGTTTGCTCAATCACCCAATAGGCTGGCACAGCGTATTTGCTCTGGTTGATGATTATTGACCAGCTCTCGGGATGTAATCAGTCATGTGATATGTTTCCGTGAGCGCCCGTTGTGAAAGGGTCCTGATGAGTGTTGTGTTTTTGACGTGTCTTGCGCTGAACGCAAAGCAATCTCGAGATATTTTGCGCACTGTTGGACGTCCAGCCAATCTATACCCTTTCACAGGGATTCTTGACCGGATCTTTTCCCTATTGTTAGGGGGTTTTAGGGTATTGCAAGCCCCAGTGTCGCGACGGTGACCACAAGCAGAATCCACAGCTCCCTTGAGTGCGACAGGGTGAACCCACTAACCAACCTATCTTGGCTTGTTTGGTCGATCTGCTAGCAATTGCGTGCATATTTGGCATTATCCCAAGGCACTTCTGCAGTAGATGAGTCGATCTTGGCCTAGCGCCATCATCATGGGGAATGCAGCGATTGTATGGTGATGGCCAGTAGATATATGATCTGAAGTAGATGGAACACTTCATGGAATCGGTCGCGCCGAGACTACACAAGCGCCGCCACGCCGGGGGAAAAGTGACGACTTTGGTCTCTTAGAGAGTATTCCGCTAGCATTGTAAGGTTATCATCTGAAACGTGTATCCGTCAATCATGGCAAGGATGTCGACCGACAAGACCGAGCTTCTACGTCTGAGCGCAACAAAAATTGTGCAAGATGGAGGAGCGGAAGAATCTGAAACGCCGCCGACCATGGCCGAGCGCCGGTAACTCCCGATGTGGACGTGGCCCGAATCAGATGAGGCCCCATCAACACGAAAGCGATGATCTCATGTCTGTCCCGCGTCAAGCACTTTGTATGCAGGGCGAGCCATCCACAGATATGCGTGCGCTCAATAGCTCCTTGCCGAATAGGGCTCACTTGAATCCTTCGAACCCTCGTCTTCTCGCTTGCGGAAAACACGAGGGCAATCGCGTCGTATTCGTGTAGATCACACAGCACTCATCTCGCGCTGCACTTCCTTACGCTTTGCTCTGCAACAACATCCGAGCCTAAGTCTTCTTTTGCATCGCAAGCAAACTTTACCGGCAGCTCTGCCTGGCACGAGGTTCAACGGCCATCGACATCGGTTCCCACGCGGCCTGACATCATGGCTTATTCGACAGAAGTTCTGGAAAAGGCGACAGGCAGAAGAGCATCCGAGCGCTCAGGCGCAGGACTCGACCCAGTATTTTTCGCATCGCCGTACACGCGATCTTCATCCATGCTGTAAATGCACATCCTCATGCCTTGCACCCTGCAACAAATGCAGAACTTGGCAGACTCTTCGATTGGTTGATTCTATGGAATATGCTGAAGCATGGACGGCTACGCAGGCTGCCCTGCAGATCAGATGCATCGACAATCAATACCTTAGGCGAATTCGTGATGTTACCGCCCGCCAGCTATCTTTGGCAACACGCGGGCCAGGGCATGATGATTTAAGAAGCTCGCGATTCATTTTATGATTGCGCAGCCATCCTTTTCTGCACTCGCACACACGCACGACCGATCTCACCCACTACACACGACTTGCACGACCAAACATGCGCTCAATCGCCATCTCACTGGCACTATGTGCGGCTTCAATTCAGGCTGTTCAAATCGACATGGAGGGTCTTCCCGATACAGGACTGGACACCTCGAGCTGGCAAACTGGAGCTCTTCCGCCAATTGAAGATCTTGTCGATGCAAACGACTTCCAGATAGCTGCCAAGAATGTTCTCTCCGATCGATACTACGCTTACTATCGTACTGCCGCGCTGGACGAAATCACATATAATGCCAACATGCTTGGCTGGGAGAAGATTCGTCTGAACGGCTTCAGCTTCACCGACGTATCGAACACCAATACCAAGACAAGTATTCTTGGGTATGAATTCGATGCGCCGTTCTTCATCGCACCTGCCGCGAAAGCTGGATACGCGAGCTCTGGTGCCGAGACCAACCTTGCGAAAGCTGCTGGCGCTGCGAACCTGCTCTATGTACCATCCATTTCGTCTTCTCAGTCGATCGAGGAGATTGGGTCGGCTGCTGTTGACGGTCAAGTCATGTTCCATCAAGAGTACATCTGGGCGGACAAGGCCAAGCTACAAGATGAGTTGAAGCGTATGGAGAAGGCAGGCTTCAAAGCAATCTTCTTGACGGTTGACAACACGGTTCGTACAGTCTTACGGTGTTGAGAGACTGTTTCTGACACAAGTAGGGAGTGAATGGTATTAGAAGCCGCTACATGCGGTTCTCTGCAGGTGGTGATGCAGGTCACAGTGCGACATTCACGATTGATGCGCTGAACCAATTGAGAAACATGACTTCGCTGCCGATCGTACCCAAGGGCGTCAAGACTGCTCACGATGTCAAGCTCTGCGCTGATCTAGGTTTCCCTGCCGTTTACATCTCGAACCACGGGGGTCGTGTTGTGGACATGGCGCCCACCGCAGTCGAGGTGCTTCTTGATGTACATCGTCTGTACCCTGAAGTGTTTGATCATATTGAGATCTACGCTGATGGTGGTGTACGCCGTGCTAGTCATATCATTACACTTTTGACCCTTGGCGTGCGTGCTGTTGGTCTTGGTCGCCCACCAATGTATGCCAATGTCTACGGCCAGGAAGGTGTCTCGAAGCTCCTGGATATCATCAAGAAGGAACTCAACACTGAACTGGCGTTGATTGGCGAAGCAGACTCGAACAACGTAAGAGGAAATGCCACTTTTGTGAACACTCGACAAGTTGAGCTCGAGTTCTTTGGCGCACCTCTTTCTTGATTCCATAAATCTTTTGATGCATATCTCACATCCAAGCTTTCTTTCCTCCTCCACGATCAAGCATTGTAGTGCCGATTACTCAACACTACGTGCACACCGACCTTGTCTTTGCCCAAGCTGCACGACACATTGGCAACGGAGCTGTGATGCAATGCATGTGTCTGTTCACAGTCGTCGCATCCGATGCGCAGCTGGCGTCGCCTCGATAACTCGATATATGACAGGCCAGCAGTCCGCTCTCCGCGATCCGGCACCGGATTGGAAAGCTCAGCAACCTGAACCACACATGCGCAACAAGCTCCCATCTCCGAGTCATATTTTTCTTGCAAAACCGTCGCGATGTACACATTGTCAGCAGCGGAACCGTCTCATACGTCGGTGTTGATCATAGTGCGGAACTCTCGCGCTAATGCTCCGTTATAGACTCTACTCCACGCTTCTCTCTCCGACTATCGGGTGACATTCAAGGGTTTAGGGTTTTAGGGTTTAGCGAAGAAACAGATGCTTAGTCAATGCGATCTGATGCTGCCTCTTATAGGGCATGCTTAGTCTACATCCATCGACCACATCATCGTGCGATTGAGTCGTCTGTCGGACATCCCTAACGTCAGCGAAACGTCGAGCTTAACGACGGAGAGTGCTTATCTACGAGATCTCGCATTAAAATCGACTTAAGTATGCTGCATCGCAGAGCGTGAGCCGATGGAGGTACGCATTATTGTCTAGTAGCACTCGGCTTCGGCCAGCAGGGTCTGCGTATCTTGTGATGAGGCCTTCAGTGCCGCGTCCTGTCGCATCTCTCGCTCGCGTATCTTTCTAGACAATGCGCGCCATCTCATACGCAATAGATTGGTTGATTACAGTCATAATGAGGAAGTGTTTCAGACAAAAAGGACTGAAACTCGCCAATTTTGCTTATGATCCCGATTCTAAGACGTTCTCTTACGTGTCTTCCTGCGCACCTTACAAGACGTAGTGGCCGTCTCTTGCTAAGGATCCTTTACCTTGTCCATGCCTCTAAAGTAACTGCACTGCAACGAATGGATCTGAAGTTCTTGCAAATATTCAGGCCACCGCGAATAAGACTTAAATACCCGGTCCCAACGGTAGACTGCGAAGCAAGTTCTGATAACGAAGTTAGCGGAATGCTTATAGGCAATCACTGAAGACACCAGAGAATCGTCTATTCTAGGTAATTTTGCAGCTAGAATTTTAGGCTAGTAACTAATTATCCTTTCGTTATATAAGCTAACAAATGTACTTATAGAGAGACTAGACGCTTTCCTCCAAGAGAATTCCTTGAATCGTAATTCCAGCCAGATATAAAAGGAAATTGTAAAAGTCGTTGTAAGAGATTCGAAGAAGTTCAGACACGTCCACAGGATCATTCGAAGAAAGCATTCCAGACTTCTTATTGTATGGTCTGCTCAATTTTCTGAAGGCTCTCCAATCTAGACCTGCTTCAACGATCTTGCTGAGCCAACTCCTTGCCTCAGGGTCGATTCTCATTTGACGCCAGCTTTCGACCGACGTCGCAATATGCCCGGTGTGAAGTGTTTCTTCTGTGGCAAAGGTGGCAGACAGAACTGCTCGCGGATGTTAACGTCAAGTAATGCAGCCCCGCAGCAACATCTGCGGCTGACAGAGTGTTGAAAGAGTTGTGTGGGATGGTAGATAGCCATTGCGTCGTAATGTGGCGGCAATTATCACGTACATACGGAGCTGGGCGTCATTCAGTTGGGCCAGCAGAGCGTCGCGCTGGGCCATGTACACCGGCTCACATCGTTGTCGTTGTGACAAGACCTCGGCGCGAGCCGATTGTGTCGGGTCAGGGGGAAAGAGCTGGCCAATCACTATGTCGCTTGACTGGCAGGCAGCAGCACGGGCATGCTCTGTAATTGCAACATTGGGTAAAAGACCAGCGCCACCATATCGTGTTGGTACAATAGTAAGAGCAAGCTGGATTTCAAGCCTTCAGCCGTGTTTCAGTCCCGCGTCGACGAATTACCGCCCGGACCAATGCATCATCCAGTCGCTGTCAAATGCCCGCTACCGCCTCGGTTGCAGGCAGCGTGCGCAGCAAGTGTCGCAGTCAACCTTAGATAGATTGTCGGACCAGCAGGTTCGCGTTTTGCGTAGGTAGCTTGGCTAGATAGTCAAGCTTTTGTTTTGTCAATTCGCTTTTCCAAGAACAGTGGGTAAAGGCACGGCACTTATTTGGGTCATGCTGTGCGTTAATGTGGCGGTGAAACTGCCATCCAATGACATTGCGCTGTATTTTGAGTCAGACTTCAAATTGAGAGATAGTGGCAAGAACCAGTACGCTGCAGCATCCTTTTCGACTTCGTCTTTCTTCGTCAGCGTCCGTCCCTTTAGAATCTCTGGGCGAGATATCCCTTCACCGTAAGACAATGAGTTGGTTCTTCTTCGATCGTCTCCAGCGTTTTGCGCTCACCCGTGTCTACGTACACCGAAAGATGGAGTCTGTCAAGCGCGACCGTGACGGGAACGAGGTCACGCTCATCGACAGAGTTGGTACTGGATAGATCGCTGAACTGGTCTACCAAATCGATCTGCCAGATCGCTGGCCAGACCAGATCCTGAGTAGCGATCTGGTAGACCAGTTCAGTGTACTAGATCTACCAGATCGATCTAGTAGATCTGGCAGACTGTCCGGCAGTACTCCGGCAGAGCTCTGATTAGCTTAGCTAAACCTCGGGAGACCTCGGTCGAGGCCTTCTTAACAACGCGTCTAAATAAGCTATGTTACAGCTACTATATAGCGATACATCCTTCTTAAACTCTAGCGGATACCTTATAGAGCTCTTAGATACTCTCTTCCTTTAATCTACTCGAGTCTTAAAGCTAATACTTAGCTCTATTAATAACCCTTACGCCCTCCTCTAAGCTTAACATCCCTACTAATTTCTAACGACCTAACAACTTCCGAAGTACTGCTGCGTATACTGATACCTCTCGCACTGTTAGAAACCTCGATTACTATAAAGACGTCGACTTTATACGTCTCTACTAGAGAGAAAGAGATAGTTCTAAGATACAGCTCGAAGGTTACTTAAATGGCAAGGGTGTAAGCAAAAGCTAGATCTTTAACTATAGCTGGCGAATGCAGGTCTAGGGCGTAGTTCCTAAGGCTTACTACTAGGTCTATCGCTCTTACTATAACAAACGTATCACTCGTTATGCTTTTAGCGTAGGCTATAGCACTGCACCTAGCATTAAGCATTTATTAACCTATAACATTACTGTATATAGTTAAGGCTAGGCTAAGCGCAGTCGCCTATCTAGTAGCTTTACTGCTTCGTTAACTAAGAGCTTAAGTTATAGACAAGATATAGAGCGCTATAGGATAGTCTTCCACCTAGCTGCTTAGAAGGCTTAAGTTATAGCTTTAATTTATTATAATAACCATGCATTTTAGCTCTTTAAATCGCCCTATTTATAGGACCTTTTACTTTCGCTTAATCTATTAGTTAGCTAGCGAGGTTATCTTACAATATATAAGACAATTGCTAGCTAGATCTCGCAGGTATATAATAGCTATATAGGCATTATTACTAAGAAGCTATATACCGCTATAAGCAAGATTCATCTATCCTTTAATTTATGGACTTTATATAATCTACGTACGTTGTTAGGTGTTAATTGTCACTTCGCTAATAAGTTCGGCAATCTTAAGACTTTCTTACTAGCACTTCTACAACAACTTAGCCAGCACTCTAGCGTTAATATTGCTGACTAGATTACGGCAATTATTAAGCAATTTAACATTAGTGAAAGTATTAGCTACTTTATAACTAATAACGTAACGAATAACGACACCTGTATCGAAGCTCTTAGCCTTAAATATAGGTTTAACCCTATATACCGACGCCTTCGCTACTCTAGCTATAAGATTAACCTTATAGCTCGAGCTATGCTATAGGGTGTAGCTAAGGAAGCTTTCGAGAACGAGCTTATAGCAATCGACCTTAAGGGCTCTCTATTTAGCGTAAGAAGGGCCCTCTAGGCAAGATAGGAAACACTATTATCTGGATACGGTCCTCGCCTTAACGAAACGAGGCTTTTAAGTAGTTATAATAAGACTATCCTCTAATTAGTAAGATTAGCGAGCTTTATATACCTAATAACACTCGATAGAACTTAATATAGGACGCTATTAATGTTTTTATTAAACTCAGGCCAGCAGTTAAGGACTTCTATTATAAGGCGCACGTAGAGTGGCAAGATTACTAGAATAAGATTACCGATTATAGTAGGAAACTACCTCTAGAGAAGCGCCGTAAGAAGCTAGCCTTCCTTAACGACTTTATTACTTAAGATAACTAGTCTGTTATTGTTATATATAACGGACTTCTCTAGCCTCTCTACTAGGTAACTTAGCGTCTTAAGGGTAAGGGTAGAGGTGCTAGTTATAGCGCAATTTAGTAGGTAATCCCTACTATAGAGAAGTTACTTACTTATCTTAAGGTTATAAAGTAAGAGTACTTAATTGTTCGGCTAAGTTAGGATTATACTATAGTTAACTCCTAGACATCTACTGTCTTTAATTTATAGGATCTCTATAAACTACTACTACTACCTATTCGTGCTAAACGCGGAAGGCCGAAACAGTCTTAAAGCCAGTCTCGATTAATGCCTCCTCCCCCTCCTCCTACTCGCGAAGCTCTAGCTAAAGATCTATTTAAAAACACGCTAGAGTACCGTATACTTTATGTTAGTATTAACCTTACATAGCAGAAGTTAGATGAATACTACTTAAAGACTAATCGGTCACCTATATATGTCGTAGCAGTTATGCTCCATCCTAGCCTTAAGTAGAAATAGCTTAAGAAGGTATAGCGAGGTCGTCCTAGTTAGATTAGCTAAGCTTACGTTAAAGTTAAGAAGTTATAGCTTAAATACGCTAACCTTCTAGTTACTACTAAGGACATAGAGTCCCTAAGAGTTAAAGATAACGTACGCTAGATAGATGATGACCTTCTAAGCGACTTCTCCGATGTTAAGAATAACGCATCTACTAATGAATATTAGAAGTGGTGCGAGGAAGGGCGATAACTAAATGACTATAGACCTCTTAAGTTCTGGTTAACACAGCGTTAAAAGCAGGCCTACCCTCGTCTATTACGTATAGCTCGAGACCTCTTTACTATACTAGTAATGTTAGATGAGCTAGAGCGCATCTTCTTAAGCGCTAGCTTAATGACGACACCTCACCGAGGACGACTGTCTGTATAAGCAATTAGAGAGGCTTAATATGTCAAAAGTTGGCTTAAAACCGGCATTATAACTAGCCTAGAAGGAATCTTTAAGAACGTAGCTATGTACCCTAATGATATGGAGATCGAAGACTAAGAATGTTACACTTCTCCTACTAATACTTGACCCCTATGCTAGTGACTAGTTCCTACTAGATCGATCTGGTACTGGTCTGGATCTACCAGATCTGCCAAGCGATCTGGTCCAGTAGGATCTACCAGACCAGATCCGACCTCGGATCTGGTCTGGTCTATTCAGTACCTTCTCTGGGCCTTAGTTTTCCTATTTCCCACAACCTATAGCACCCATAATCGTTTTGTCACATTGATCGTCCCATTTCCTCTGGCATTCTCGTATTCACATCGCCTCTCTCGCCTTGTCGACTTGCCCACACACAAGCACGACTTACAATACAAGCGCACTCTTCTACGTACCTCTCGTAGAGCTCTTCAAAACCAATATTGCAAGAGAGCAGCTGTCCTTCCAGTTGAGAAAAGCTCAGTAGATCTGTGAATGCGGTCAGTGAAACCTTTGGCTCAAGCGCATAGAGCCAGGATATCAATCTCGGTAGTATGGTCATGGCGTGGTCTCGATTAGGTGGAGGTCTCACTATCTGTAGCATGGATTCTGTACCAGATCTGTTCTGCTTTGTGCGATGGCGGAGCAGAGAAGTTGTGAGATTGACTCGTCGCTCGTTGAAAGCTCGCTTGTCATTGTTACTTACGTCCGAGCCAAGAGCCAGGAGATCCGTGATAAAGGAGTAATGTGCGTCTGGACATATTGTCCAGGCCTGAACGATCCATTGCGTGAGACAAAATTCGAGGCCAAGACCATCGACACCACTCGCTAGTGTTGCAACGTGAGCGTTGTTGTTGCAGGCAGAAGGCGCAGCTGTCTCAGGCAGGTCGTGTGAACTGCTCGGCAGTAGCATACTGCGAGGAGATTCCACATCCATGATAGTCGATGAAATGTGCACGCCGCGTCGCATCATGTGCAGCAAGTTCTGGTGGTGGGCGTCACCAGAAAGAATCGCACCGTTTGGCTATTGATGGGAAAGTGACGGAGGAGTGCTTGTATTGCTTATTGCGATGCTACTATGTTCAAACGTAGCAAACCGTTTTTTGCTCGGTGTATCTGCAATGGGGCCAGAGGGTGAGCGCGCACGGGTTGAACCAGCACGGCAATCAAATACAGGGCTCGACGATCGTGGGATCTGAAGAAACTCCGTCGGATAAGCAGGAGTTGCGACTCCAGAGCCGAGCTTCGATGATCTGGACAGCTCAGATAAGAGCTCGGCCGAATAGTCAGGGGAAAGAGATGGTTCGGGCAAATGCGTAGGCGGAGCCGTCCTTGAGAAAACATAAGCTCATTGCTAGGGATACCGAATGGGAAGACGCCGGCCGAACTAGAACCACCGCAAGCGTTGCTAGCGACTATTGATGAATTGTGCTGGTTAGATGGTGGCAGCAAATGGGTATTAGTTGCGGAAACTAGGGTTCGCGAGGCATGTGGCGCATATTCTGGTGGAGGAGGGGAGGCAGCAAGACCAATCTGACACTGACCAGCAATATCGACGCCTTGTTGTTCGCTACACGGTCGAGTGTATGGCGGAACATCATCGTGATGACCTTCCTTTCGCCTTTTCTCCTTGTTTCCCGCCATTTTTCTTTGATGCCAGCCTTGATTCTCCCAGAGGTTGATGACTGCCTTGCGACGGCCAGGATAGAACGCTTTAAGCTCGATCGTGGGAGTGGTTACAGTGGCGATGCGCTGATCCAAGATCGCCATCACGGACTCCAAAGATTGTTGTAGAGTTCGATCATGGTTGGCGAAGAGGCAGAATTCAGAGGCTTCAGAGAGCGACTTCACCTGGTCTAAGAGGTCCATTGATCGACCTGGTTACACACCAGTCACTCTATCCGGCGGCATGATCACGAAACTCCTTGTAGCACCAATGTTAACATGAATTTTCAGGACCCTGCTGTTGATTGAGTGGCTATCACTTGGCAAGTCGAGGATCATTGGACAAGGCGTGATATGCAACATTCGCACACCGGACGTCAAGCGACTCCACTGGGACAATCAAGAACATGAGGCGACCTCTGCGCGAAGATTGTTTACGAGTGTGTCGCTCTGAGCCGATCTTGAGACGAATAGTCAAGGTCACGAGGAGTTCACGGCTACTCCCTCGGTGACCAATCCAAAGAACAACAAGATCCGACTCGCCATTGTGGCTCAATGGTAAGCCAAGATGTTGTATGTAGTCTTTCCGTGCCCTCTTATTGAAATTGAACAACGACAGGCTGGGATGAGACACGCCAAACGATGGATTCGTTTGAAATGATCTTCGCGGAGAATATCCGCATGTCAGACATGTCAGCCATAGCAATAGTGTTCTACGGATGACCGCAAGTCCGTTCTCCAGATAGCGGCACCAGCACAGTGCTTGCCAGAGTTGTCGATTGTTCGAATGAGAGTTTAATGATGAGCGATGAATGATAGTGCAGTATATGAGGAGTAAGACAGAAAAGATCCGTGATGGCCAAGTAAAAACCGGAACACTAAATTTCAAGCTAGATACAGAGACCATGCCTGTCAGTACCTTCGAGCGGCTCGGGCTATTTCTTGCATACCTACGCCCGCACGCTGGATGTAAAACGTGCGAAACCCACCCTCCCAGGCTTTGATGGACAAAAAAAGAGCAGCCTTGACTCTAGAGATGTAGGGAACAGGAGAAAGGTGAAAATAAGACGATGAGGTGACGACAACGCAAGGCTCTTAGGTGTTCAGACGGGAGGATTCGACCGAAAAGCGCAAGACAATCCGTGACGAAGCAACAGCACTAGTCGGAGGCCACGCTGGTGCAAGAGGTCGCTGGCACGAAGCTGTCAACAGAGTGACGCGTCAGCCAGGTCTGTCGCGCACCGAGGATGGCACACACACAGTCAGGCGTCGCCGGTACGAATGAAATACGCTTTCGACGATTTGACGGAGAGGTGCAGATGGCAGGTTGAGATGGAAAGTGCTTGTGGAAGTGTTGCAAAAGAGGAAGGATGGAACGCGAGGGTCGCGCGAACGTCGCAGCTACCTCAAGTACTCAGATGCGGCGAGGGTTTGATGTTGAGTGGAGCACCCGGTCCGACAGTGTCGATATGCAGAATGCTTTGCGCTTGAGGAAGGGCATGTTTTACAGCAAGAGAGAGGCTAGGTACCATGTTAGGCGAGTTCAAGCATGCCAAAAGTGACCATTTGCCCGTCCAGAACATGGACATGGTGGTTAGGGCAAGAATATGATTGCCATTGATTTGTCTCACGGCCAGATCTGATGTGCAAAGGAACGTGAATTGTTCAACACAGAGTGAAATTTTTACTATTGTGTATACCAAAAATTGAAAATTAGTGTTAGACAGGACAAAATTTGATAACAACAAGGATCGTCGTCGTTCTGCTTGGGATCGTTTCGAGAGAGAAAAAGAAGATACGCGTAGGCATGGGAGGGCTTGGCAATTGGCTTGGATTACGGCTGTGTCGCTGGCGCTATTTGATTGCACCAAGCGATATTGGAAGAGCATAGAAATGCTGCAATATGAGTGGTAGATGGATAACACTTGATATGTTTACAGCCGGCTTGATTGAAGCTCCTGAACAGTGCAGCTACGGCTACGCGCATCTGAGAGGAGTCACGGGAGGGATGCCTAGCTAATAATATTAAGCTCATAAAGCTCATCAATGTGCTAGATTGAGCAAAACAGCCGCGGCTGTCTATGTGCTGCAGCACGCCCCACCAGAAGCAGCAAAATAAAATCTTCTAGATTCCGATCGCTGGTGATTGAATCACATTCTGTCGAAGTTTCTCCTTCGCGTGCTAGGCAACAACGATACGCGCGCGTCGCAATGATGTCGCGTCTCTGTTTTTGCCTCATCGCACTCCCGCTGCGCTTCTTCTAGTGGCATTCTCTTGCTGCCGTACCATCTTCTTTCTGCTTGTCCGTCCTCGTCACCGGCCCTGTCATTCCTATGAATACATACTCTTGTTGATCTTGGGTTCTCTGTGATTGGGAGATGACATTGATGACTAAAATCCCCATCTAGCTAGAGAGTTGCCAAGCGTCACTGCGTGCTCCTCTACGATCTTTCGCAGTCCCTCTTCTCCCTTTCTCGCAGTCATTATCTCAAGCCATCGCTGCATACCATACTCCATCGGGCATACTTTCGATATGAAACCATATACGCTGGCGATATCTTCTCCGCTAGCAACAGCACTGGGCCTGATTGCTCCTGCGCGCTCTAGCTCTTCCTCGAAGATCTTCATGACAGGCCATTGCGGTGCATCGTCATCGCTGTACTCTGCTGTGGCTACGCGCGTAGAAGGCGGGAGCGGGGTGGGGAAGCCGTGAAAGAGTGCTGAGGCAACCTCAGGGTCGGGTGTAAGAGCGTAGTAGGACAAAGAGAAGGAAGAGAAGAAGAACTCATGAAGAGGATGACCTGTGTGGCTGCAATCGTAGTCAACCAGACCGAGAACTTGGTAAGTGTCGGGATCAAAGAGGAAGTTTGCTATAACTATTTCGGTAGAATCGCGTCTGCGGTCAGCCTCACTCGACACCAGTGACGTGCAGGAAGACTCATACCGATGTCGCCAATGATCAAATTTGGCCTTGTATCCACAGCCAGGGTCTGCGAGAGGATCGCGTCTAGACCCCCTTCCGCAAACGCATCGAGGCGTTCTCTTAAACCATCCTCGCGCCATCCCTTAGCTACCGTCTTGTCCGTGTCTGCCAATTGCGCTTGCAACATTCCCTGATAGAAGCTCTTCATATTCGAGAAGGAATCAGTGTACGGCTCTATCACGAACGGTCCGCTGACAACACTGCCGTCATTGGCTCTGTCGAATGCGAGCCCACCAAAACGAGCAGCCGCACTCGGTAGCTCGAAATCCTGCACCGCCTTGAGCACCTTGGCTACCTGACGCAGTACAACACGTTGGAAGTCGGCAGACAGACTGCCGTGGAATTCAGGCTCAATGTTGGCACCTAGCTTGAATTCTTCCATGATCCAGCCATTGCCTGATGGACCACCCGTCTTGCTCCAAGCGTATACTCTAGGTACGATGTCGAGATGCTGTTTGGAGAGGGCCTGGCGTACGAGCTGCATCGTCGCAACTGTATTCTCGACCTTGACGGCGTGATTGAACATACCCTTAAGATTTCCGATGCGGAAGACGGCTTTGGTGAGTCCAGACGAGATGGCACAGGTGCCTGGATCCGTGGAAACGTTCACATCGGAGATTAGAGGCGCCTCGAAGGTTATGATATGGATGTAGTTGTTGTTGCAGCGGGGAAGTGTGTTGATGCCCTGGATCTTGACGCCTGAGATCCTGGTTTTGAAGAGCTGCTCGATAAAGTCGCGCTGGCCTGCCTTGATTGTGTCACTCTCGAGATCTGAGGCAGTCATGATGCATGAGTGGTGGAGAAGGAGAAGACCGGGATTGTGACGACCAGGTGTCCCTTATCAGGTGATCCAGGTTTCCTCGAAGATCGTCTGGTTTCCAGAGCCAGATCAATCGCGCAACATACGTGCGTACCGTCCGCGCGGCTGTGCCTCATATCAACAGACGCGCGGGATACGATAAGCTGGTGTTGTTTCGCACATTTGTGATATTTCTCTGCTGTGATGACAACATATATATGAAAAGCAGATCCAGATTGCTCCTGCCGACAAACGCGCGGTCGTCTCGACGTAGTGAAGTTCGCCAAGCGATCACCAGCAGTCACGTCAAGGCCGAAATGATGCTCGTACTGCTACTGAGCGGCGTTGCGCCATAGATTGGTGCAAGATAGATAGTCATCCATCCCTTATCGAGGGCGGGCTAAGGAGGATTCTGCAGCCCGCGCCACCTACCGCCAAGCACCACATGAGGAAATTCGTATCAATTTACCCGCTGCCAAGTCAGCGCAGAGTGCGGCTAACACCCTTGGCACTAGGCGTCGTTTAAACTTTGATACGTGTAAAGTAGTCTGCTTGGCAGCTGCTGAGTGTGCTATCATAGTCCGCAGATCAAGTATGCTAAGTAGCTACTAACATACTCTTCCAAAACTGTGGTTAGCTTAGTATCCTTAAACTAGGCCACGGTACGTAATCGATGATAGGGAATGTTACCTCTCGTCTCCTGCTAGTCACTACTACTACAAGAATGTATACGGAATAAGTTAATGCTGATCAAATCGCATCTGCTCAAGCGTTCGTTAGACTGAACTATAGTCTCAGTAGGATCTTTACTACACGATGGTCGGTGGGATTTACCCAGCTTCCTGTTTTGTTTAGCACCGCGAACTAGGCCATGCATATCGAGCCGCAATCTTGAGTTTTAGATAAGCAAGGATAAAGCATATTGCGCTTCCTCATAAGTGATGAGATATCCATGGCGTGTCTGTTACACCGATCACGGATCAAACTCTTTCCATCCAAAACTTCGAGTCTTCGGTTCGACGGTCGTGTAGACTGAAACTCCAGCATGAGCACGATTAAACGAAGTACAACAGGATGCTGGACTTGTCGAGCAAGAAGAAAGAAATGTGATGAGAACGGTATGCCCTGCTCCACCTGTCAAAGCTTGTGTTTACCATGCTATGGTTACGGCGAACGACCCGATTGGTTAGATGGTGCCAAGCTGGAAAAGGCTCAAATGGAAAACTTCAAGATGGTGGTAAAGTGCAACAAATCACGGAGATGTCGGCAGGTCTCCAACGTGTCCTTCCCTGACGTTGACACCGCGACCGCTGCGAAGAATGTGATTTTGGCATACAACTAGCCTACAATCGATGCAATGCTGACATCAGCCAGGTCAGCGCGGAGGCTCCAGTTGACACTGTCGCCGAGCTCGATATCATGGTGGATTTCGCCAAAGACCTAGAATGGTCCAATCAGAGATACGATTGCGCAGAGTTTGACTTCAATCTTGGTCATTGCAGTATACCTCTCGATAGTGTCCAGATATCCTCCACGCAGACTCCATCTGTACCGCCCGGAATAATTGATGCTGCGCTCCGAATCCGAGAATGTGCTGTCGGACACCCCGAGTTCGGAATTTTTGATACATCGGTTGATGACATGATGATAATCATGGCACCGAAAGATGTCCCCAACAAGTCAACGGACCTATTGACACCTCTGTCTGACTTATCGAGGGCACCCTCGTCACCTCCTATCTCGTCACGAGACTCTTCCGACCGCAGAACTGAGCTTCGAGCTCCCGCATTGTCTGTTTCATCTCTGGTCCTGTCCGGCTTGTCGGCAGACGATCAGAGTACCTGGCAGTATTATACAAAGACCATCTTCCCCTCTATGTTCCAGTTCTTGCTACAGGACACTTCGCAGCAAATATGCGCTCATACAATGCAACCAGAACTGGAGTCCTGTCTATGCTTACAGCAAATCATTCCCTATGTCAAACGATTTCAAGCTTCTGAGCTCATAAGGTTCGGACTGAAAGGACCCGCAGATCTAAATGCAGGGAAAGAAAGTCGTGCTCTCGAACCAGCTCCGTGGAAACATAATAACTTAAGCCCAGCCTGTCTTGTGCATGTCATTTTGGCTCAAGTGAGTCTTCGTTGAGTCCGTGGCCAATAGCAAGTACTCACCAAACAGATACTTCTAGGCGAGAACGGATGGTCCAACATATTCGAATATCTTTCCCAGAACGTCTCTGTCCAAGGAATCGATCAAAGCTGGAGTTTTAGCGTGCAAGTTTTGTCACTCTTGGAAGTACTGGCTTCCACGGTCACCGGCAAAGCACCGAACTTCGCTTCGAATCACTTGGGTCTGATAGACAACTCCGACATGTTAGGTTGTGTGACTGGCGTAGAGCGGTGGTTACTCCACTGCCTGATCCGAGTCATCAATCTTCGAACTTGGAAGCAGGAGCAGCTATCCAAAGCATCACTCAGTGTGACCGAGCTCATAGCTACCGCTCTATCCATCGACGACGATCTGAAGCAAGGGCGTGTTCGCAACGAACCAGGCCGTGAGCTCGGAGACCGCGTCAGATCGGCGTTCATGAAAGTCTTCGAAGCAGCCTCTGCTGTATTCTTGCAGTGCACTTTGTCTGGTTCCCGACCTGAGATTGTTGAAATTCAGCGAAAGGTGATGATGACCATTGAAGCACTGAACGATCTGCCGCAAGCTGCGTTGCTCAGACGGCTGACGTGGCCGGTGTGTATTGCTGCTTCAATGGCCATCGTACCTGCTCAGCAAGAGTTTTTCCGAAGACTCCATGCAAAAGTCAATATGGTGTGGGGCCCAGACGAGAACATTTGCCGAGCCCTGAGAGTAGCGTTCGAATGCTGGCGGTTACGTGAACATTCACCTGCTGGCAGAACGTGTGATTGGCTAGATGGCATGAAGAGTTTGGACTGCTTTCTGCTGTTGTTCTGAGAAGTTGAATAATCAAGTTTTAGCTAGCAAGTCCGCCTAATTGTGCCTTGGTGGACAGGTACTCTCGTAAGGATGCTTGAACCACATTTGCTTATGTACGTAGATCGTCTGTATACATTTGGGTACCGAATGGAACTCCCAGCTACCTTACCTTCTCCCGCGCTTGTAGACTTCAACAGAACCCGAATGTAGATTCCGTATCAACGTCAATGTTATCAATATCCGGAGCGAGGTTAGCGAATTTGCCCAACACATTAGCACAGTGATGCATGTGGGGCCCAAAGCCTTCCGCATGCCCAACCAAATCGCCTGTTGTGAGCGAATCCGCAAAACGATACAGGTTGTACTCGCAATGGCGTAGATGATCCCGTGTCGTCGAGAAGTACGTTGCTACACCGGCATATTGCGACCGGTTCGTGATCACATGATCACCACTGGGATCGGACCAATAAACAAAAGCTCCACCGTTGTTACTGCGAAGATATTCTTCTTCGTATTTCCGAGAACATGCCTTCGGCAGCCAGAGGTCCGACAACTCATCGAACCGGCATCCCAGCGCCGTGGCCTCCTCGACTGTGCTTCCACAGCCTCTAGCCTGTGGCGAATCTATGCTGTACACTTCATCATATACAAACGTCGTACTCGAAGATATCGTCCAGCGAGACCGCTCCGACATCATAACCCAGGTAGCAGCAATGACTGAGATCGTAGCGAGGCATGTGATACAGTTTGTCAAGAGGATTGTGTACAGTTTTTTGCGACGCCGTATAGTGATAGCAGTTACTGATTTGCCAAGAGCGTTATCGATGTGCTTGTCGGTTCCTGAGAACAATATTTCGGATTCGTAGTGGTGCTTGTCGTCTGTGGGCTCGTAAGGAAGCAATGGGAGGTCAACTTCCTCATGTGGAGAATCCATCTCGTGCGCACCTGCGGATATGGCAGCAGGCGAGATCCTCTGATTCGAAGGCGTGTTCCGGAAAATGAAAATTATCGACAAGAAGAGCTGGATTGGTTCTTGGTTATCTAGGTGACATGGGTGATTATGTGATGTGGAAGCCATAGAATCAATTTATCGCGGCGGTCCGCCGCTGCATTAACTGCCAAGGACGCTGGACTTCTTATCGACGTTTTGTCATCCAGCAGGGCGGTCCGCAGCGTCTTTGCAGGAAGCGAATATTGCTTGGATCGATGCTACCGCGCGTGGAAACCCCAAGACCTTGATCGCAGCGCGCGAAGTCGCAGCGGATTAAACGTCTGAGTGCTCTTGGTGACTCACGTTGAGATAAGCTTGACGCGCGTGTGGTATATATTCGACTCGGCGACGATGATCTGGTAAGCAGCCACGCTGCGAGATTGCACTTGTATTACTACCAAGTCATCATCAGTAATTCCTTGACTGACAATCTACTAGATCATGTTCTCCTCCCAAAGTGACATCGCATATCTGGAAGTGGCAAAAGACGACGCGAGCACGTACGAGAAAGACTTAACCGACCGAGAAAAGATTCGACACTCGCTTCCCAAGGTCATTCTCTTGATAATCATTGCCATTATCGCCATCTTTGCCACAGTGTACAGCGCCGTGGAAGCGGCTATCATTCGGCAAGCCCACATCAGATCCAACGATGATGGGCGAATCATGATATCCAACAGCACCATCTCAATGTCAGATCAAATCGAGGAACAACCGAGACCACCGTACGAGTCTTGCGGCCATAATCCCACCGAGGCTCGGAGAAGGGGCTGCAGCTTCGACATCAGCTCTTTCGCATGGCTCACACCCGAGTGCTACAATGATGAGTTGACTCAGGACTTTATCTCGTGGTCTAATTGGACATGGTATACCAGCGAAGATTCCAGCGACAACACACAACTTTCTTTCGATACAGCTATGCTGGGTGAGCAAGATACCTTCGTGGACTGGAGATATCACATGGTACACTGCACCTTCATGTGGAGACTGCAGCACTTGTCGATGGAAAACGGCTGGGTTGGTCGCCATCTTGTGAACTTCGAGCACACGATGCACTGTCAGCATGCTCTTCTCATGGATGCTTATGATAACCGAGACGTGAGGACTCCAGCGTACGTTATGTACCCGCGCTGTCTCGAAGTCGGCATGACCAAGGGCATGTATCCTGGTCCGTCTAAGAGGTGAACACGTCTGTTTACAAGGTTGTAGAAGGATTCAGCTTCGGATTTGCTACAGCATCATGTATCAATGGTTCCATGACCAGTGTCGTCGATAAGTAGATATCGACGAGTGGGTCTCCAATCAACTATGGAATATAACAAACATGGAGTTGATTGGACGTATGTATGGATCGCGAATCCACTTGTTAGTTGTGAGATCGGTAAGCGATTACAAAGCCACGAAGCATAAAGTCTTCTCGCGAAACCTAGATCTGAACAATTATGAGTCATATGTTGCCCAGTTGATTTCGGCCTAGGACGTAGTGTTATTCTGTATTCATGCTTAGAGATACCTAGATCCGTTGCAAATCGGTAGAGAACAGGAATAATGCGAATGCTGCTACAAATGTCCAGCACCCACCCGAGAGTAAGATCAGCAGGGTCCCATGATGGGTATCACTAGAAGCAGTGAAAACAAGACTACAGATCGCAGCAGACAAGATCTGAGGAGCAGAGATCGCAGCATTGTGTAATCCGAGTACTGCACCTGTACGTAGGGGATCAGATTCTTCAACTGAACCACTCTCGAGACGTCTTCCTTGACGTCTACTCAGTAGGAGGCCGATCAGACAAAAAGGTGCCCATTGCGTTACTGCCCAAGATAGACCGAGTGAAGTCATTATCAGGGTGATTCCTGTTTGTGAGCCTACGAATCCAGCGAAGAACGACATCATAGCGAAATAAACATGTGACGCCATCCAGACTTGCAGTATAGCCTTGGTTGGAACTTTCGAGCTCTGACATGATAGCCAATTGCTTTCGTCACTGTTTTGAGCTCTGTCCAGAAGCCGGATCGCCGTCGGAAGAACGCAGCTCGCCAGAAAAGAGATGACGGACATGCAGAGACCTGCGACCGAGCCCACACGGACTGCTTGTGCCTGGATTTGGGCGTCACTCATGAAAGTCACCGATAGCGGCCGCAGTTCAAATGAGATGGCCTCAGCTAGCCAGCTAATATTCCAAATTAGCGGGAATCATCGAGAAGAGCCAGAGTCAACATACCTCGTATAGTATGTTCGTAATGGAAACCACCCAAGCCAAGCAAAAAACTGGACGGCAAGGATCTGCCAGATCTCTCGCGGCAGGCTCGAAGCGCTCACTGAGTTGCTGAAAGAGGCTATGCGTGGAAGCGTACGCGCCGCAATACGATCCTGGCTTCTGCCAGTGACAAACGCGCTGACCAGAGTTGTCGTCAAGAGAGAAACACTCGCAACCAGACTTAAGTTGACGAACTCGCTTGCGGGATCTGGACGCAGATTCTTTGGTAGAGGTACAATCCCAAAAAGGAAACCTAGAACACTCCCAATCCCTTGCATACGGCTTGCCCATGCGTTAGCCGTCATCTGCTCAACCGCGTCAACGTTCTCGATGATGATGGCTCGGCTTGCCAGCTGCAGCGGCTGAATGGCGACATTGAGGAGAGAAAACCAGATGATACAGCTTGTCTTGATCATGGAGCCGATGACCCTGGCTGTCGGTCGACCCATGGATTGCGCAAGCCAAAGCGCCTGGGCATGTGATGAACTGAAGCCAACCAATGAAACGCTCGCGGCGACAGCTCCAGCAATTAACAACGTCCGGCTTCCTTGGATTCGCCATTGAGGTCTATCGATCATTTCCCCGAACCATGGCTGGACGAATGTACCGCACGTTGGTGCTATACCCCAGACCAGAGCTGTCGAGATCTGGTCAAACCCCGCAGAGACCAGATGTGGCTAGGTTTAGATTATCAGTAGGGAACGATGAGCAGTGGTGAAGGTAGGAGCTTTAGACAGAGCCCATGAGATATGAGTGAACTGCATGATACATACAGTGACACTAGATAACAGTACGGACCAGAGGATCGCCAAACTGTAACCGATTAAAACCTTCTCCTGGAGAACGACAAGCAACATCAACTACCCGCAGGAGCACGAGGCCAAAGCCAGGAATCGATAGAGGCGCGACATAGTCTTGCCGGCAGACAAGCGCACTGTGACTACTTCTGAGAGAGTTTGATCCAAAGGAGCGATTCGAAGACTAAGAGTTGCTGCAAGCTGAGAGCGTTTTTATTGTCGCCTCCGCGCGTGGTATTCACTCCATTCGAAGTGTCCTTTGCTCATCATGACCAACAATCATCGATGTCGATCTTGTCTTGCCGCGCTCGGCACCCGGTGGATGAGCGAGAGGTTGCGCTTACGCTTCGCTGGCTTGTCAACGATCGAGCCGGCGGTTCGCGCGAGGAAAGCGGAAGTCGTTAATATTCTTTGCCGCGCTTGCTGGCCGCTTCGCTGCGGTACGCGGATCACGGCGGCGCTCCGGAAACGCCAAGCCTGTCACATGTCTTGTGTTGCTCATTTGACGATGATGACCGCCCCCAAGTGTGATGCATGTGTTCTTCTTCTGCTTTTCAACCCTCGCTAGATGGTTGCACTTACTGATTGACTCGACACTTTGGAAGAGACACTTTGGAAGAAACAGGGATAGGAATTGGCGATGGTCTCGCATATCTATAGATCTTTGAATGAGAAGGATCTTGGCGAGGACTCTAACCACACCAACGAGCCTTCACCAAACACCCGGGACAAACTCCGAGCACTGATCAAGCAAAGCTTTCCAGGTCTCATAATAGCGATCTTGGTTTTCATCGTGTTATTTGGCCTTGCCACAGTCTCAGGATTCGCTGTCGGCAAGAATGCTGCCTCAAGACTTGTTGTCTTAGATCAACCAAGTCCTCAGCCTCAGGCCTTTTTTCCGAATTGTGGGTATCATCATGCGACATTACGTCAGTGGGCCTGACCTCTACCAGTTGGCAAGGTCTCGACAGTTTTCGTGGCCGACTCCGAATATACTCGTAATGACACTTATGGAGATCAATTGTGGGACGGGCTGGTACCGAGTACGTATATCAAACACAACGTGGACTATGGAACACGCTAGGTTGACCACACTGCAGTCGGTGCCGGGTACGTCAGAGTACCGAATCCAAGACAGTATCGTCTACCCGCAAGCCAGGTCGTGAAGGACAATGGGACAGGTTATGCAGAGATGTATCAAGCATCTGTTATACATCAGCTGCATTGTATGGTCAGTCTCGTTCAACATTGTGGTCAAAAAGACTCTGTACTAATCTGACCATGCAGGGTGTTTTACGAAACTACACTCGCGCGTATGAGGCGGGTATCCCCCCTCCATTCGGCGGCCATTTTCACGTGAAGCACTGCATCGAATATGGTCCGTCCAATCCTTCCAAGAAGAATGTGGTAGGAGATTAACAGCTTCAAATAGTCCGACAGGCCATCCTCTGTACAGCAGACACCACTCTTGAGCAGGCGAACGCAGGTGGCGGTTTCACTGCGCAAGGTGCTGTACCTCAATGTCGTGACTGGAATCTTGTAAAAGGTTTCCTGGAAACTAACCGAGCGGATGACTTCCATCCAACTATACTGGACACTTGAATGATATATAATCACATATGTTAAACCTTCGTCGGGTCTGAATCTCAAGTCAATGATATGCTTGCGTAGCTTTCAGATTGACCTTGCTTCTCGCTGTGTATTCGGGTACGTGAGTTGGTAAGGCCAATAATAGACAGTCTAGAAACTATGGGAATACAGTAATCATCGTTTGTCAAGATTGAAACCCCTATACTAACTCGCATGGATGTCGTCAGCATTGTTCCAGAGAGCACTCAGCGTTCGGGCCTGGCCTCGCGCCAACCTGTAAGAATCCCCAGATGACAGCATTTGTCTTGTGAGAAAATAACTAACATAAGCATCTAGCTGTACATACCGAAACATTCACGGTTCGCGATATCGTGGACAATCATTATCTGGATCGTCAATGTGCGCATAGAATGTATACTTTCTTGTATAAGCTTTTCTATGTTTAAAAATATCCTTGGTCTGATGTTTCATTGTGCAACGACAGCTACTGTTATCGCAGTGTTCTATTCAAGATTACCCTCCCACAATCACAGCCTCAGCAGTAAGCGAATCCAGCTTCTGTGATTATATCAGTGACGTCCAACTGATGTGCAGGTGCCTTCAATGCATATTCCGCCATAGTCATGACACAATGGTGCATGTGGTCTGAAAGTGTCTGACCATCATCGTGACCGATATAATCGCCGGATCTGAGGACATCGGCGAGGCGATAGAGATTGTATTGACAATGGACGATGTGATTCCTCCTTGATGTCCAGAATATACTCCCGTTGCCAGCATGGAGCGATGGATCATCGAGTAACTCCTTTCCTGTCCTATCGATCCAATAGAGAAAGGGACCGCCATCATTGGCTACCATGTACTGGTCGCGGTAGCTACGCGTACACTTCTGCGGCATCCAACTCATCTGTAGCTCGTCGAACATGCAGCCCCGAGACACTGCTTCTGCTGTCGATGTTCCGCACGACACCGTGCCAGGTCTTTGACTCCCGATGGAATATTCCCAGAGGAGCGGCTGGCTTAGAAGCACCCGGTGGGCTACCGCGAGGATGCCCAGCATGATGGAGGTAGTGGCGAAAAAGGACAACAAGCTTGCGAGAATGATCATTCGACGTCGTTGTGGAAGATCAGCGATCCAGCAGTTCATCCCATTGTCTTTCTCGGAGAGTTCGCTATAGAGAAGAGGTAGGTCATCAGAGCCATCTTCTGATTGCGGCATTGTGATCTTCTGTCAAGGCTAATGGCGTGCAGAGAGGATTCGTCGTTCTTGCCTTAGGAGGGAAAATGTTGTGTAGTGATGAAGAGTTCTGGTTGAGGAACGGCGAGAATTGTATCCAGATGTGTCTGCTATTCATCCATCCTGGCCGTTCACGACCGCACTTGATTGAAATGGCGTTGTCACGCGGAGCGCTGCAAAGCGCGCCGAAGCGACCGCGATACGCGCACAGGAGATTGATCCTCGGCGGGATTCACGTCGCCAATGCACCTGCTCCAGCGACTCCTTATCCTCGCTGGAACATGAGCTTGGGCGCGCGGAAAACAGCGATAGATCGCGCGCAGCTTCGTGACGATTTTCGTGCGGTCCGCTGGTCAACGCGCAGAGCAGCTTTCGTGCCGCGCCTCGCTGCAATCTGAGGTTGGATTCATGCGAAGTTTCGTCGACTCACTTGGATGCAGAACCGGCGATATCATAGCGGCTGGTGGTATAAATGAGGAGTGCGCTTGCACCTGACAGATTCAGCAAACACACAGCCCTCATCATTCTGATTTCGGAGTATATCAAACCCATCAGCAACTATGAAGCTTTCTGCGCTCTTTCTGACCGTGGTCTCCATCGCACCTAGTGTGCTCGCAGCTCCAGTCGACTCTGCCATCGAAATTGTGCACGCCGAACATGGACTCATGGAGAAGCGCGGACTCCGCAATGGACTCATCTATAACGCTAAAGTCGACGACGTCGAAGCATCCGACGTCAAGGAGAAACGCCAGCTTCGCAATGGACTCATTCGCGCTGCAGCCGACGAAGACGTCAAGGAGAAACGCCAGCTTCGCAATGGACTCATTCGCGCTGCAGAGTAAATGCAGCCCTTATTGGAATCCCACTTGGACCTGCAAGTCATCATGCGGAGGGTCAGGAACTTCTGGAGCTCCGGTGGCGATTTGATCTCTATGTTCGTGCATCGTCAAAGCTTTGCAGGAGGTCATTAGATAGCCATATCTTATTGTGCTGCGTCCGGACTTTATTGAATAGTTTTGCAATTGGATTCTAGTCCTTGATCAGTCGTTATCTCCAACTCCACGTGTGATGTATTGCTTGATACCCGCAGTCTCGATGGCGCTTGGTAGAGCGATCATGGAAAAACACGTTGAGAGGCCACTTCTCTTGTTTCGGAGACATCTTACACCTGAAACAAGTTGACAAGCACATAGCAAGCGTTGCAGAAGCAAACCAGGCACGATCTAATCGTTCTACACCTTGGGATTGTAGTAAGGGAAGGAGGGAAGATACAACTAGAGCGCGAGATGGAGAGGTGTTTGCTCATTTTGCAGCTCAAAGATTACAGAAAAGAAGAAGACTTGCTATAGAAGAAAGTAGCAACTAAGGGACACTACGATGACCTAACACGAGGTCACCCTGGCATCACCAAGACAATCGAAAACATACAGCGTAACTTTGCATGCCCACAAATGAAGGCAAAGATTACGGCATTCGTTCAAGAATGCCGCAGCTGTCAGATGAACAAATCTTCTCGACTCGCGAAGTATAGCGAAAGCCAGTTCGTGGATCCACCGCGGCAGCCTGTTACGATCCTGCTAATGACAGGGTCGCGCAGCCTGCTCTATTATTCCCCGCACCTTAGCGGAACAGAGCACTCTATAGGACATGCCATCTGCTCTACTCTGCTCTGCTACTCTGCTCTATAGAGCATAACAGAGTATACGGAGTAATATGTATATACTTATTATCTATTAAGTATATAGGTAGGTAGGACGACCTTAGGTAGTCCTACGTTTAACTTAATTAGTTATTCTAATAGTCCCTTTAGTATACACTACTTTATACACTACTTGCTTTACTTCGCTTAACACTCCGCTTTACGAGTCTAACCCTATAACCTATTATCTTATCTAAGATAGTTAGCCTTAATAACTTTAAACGCCCTTAGAATAAGTTACTTAAGTAACACTACCCCGAGAGGTATACCTAGCGAGGCTAGTAGAAACCGCTCTACTAGCACTACTCGTAACGATAGTAAAGTCGCTAAGCCCGACCTATTATAGGGTCTTACTATAGCAGCGACCCTAACCTCGGCTGACGCTAGGAATTCCCCGACTTAGCGTATATAAGCGTCGTACGAAGAGGACGGACTTTCCGTCCCCTTCCTTTTCCTCCTTAGTAAAACCTCCTTATATTATAGGCTACTATTTAATCGTTAGATCGCAGTTTAATCCGTAATATTAGGTTTTACTAATAAAAACATATATAGAGCGGTTACCGCCTATCGTTAACATAGAAGGGAACGCTTCCCCTTCGTACGAACAATTAATGTACGAGATTACTAGACTACGTACATTTATCTAAGAATAACACGATATATAATAAGCCTATTAAGCTTAGTAATAAGCTGCAGCCTTAAACGGACTAACCGCGACCGAGAATACGCCCGTTACCGAAATACCTTCGTACGACTAATTCCTAAGGATAGCTAAACCCCGTTTCCTAAATCCCTCGAAGTACTTATATAATAACCTAAGCGAATACATCTCCTTTTAAATAAACCTTAATAGTAAGCTTCTAATCGACGGAGCTACCTTCCTCTTAGACGACGAGAAAGTCTGCTACGCGTTTAATAGACTTTTAAGGGTTACCGCGAAGAGAATAACCCCCTAGATTCGTACGAACTAAGATAATAGTACGATCTCTATTACGAATTTCTTTACGGAAATAGACTCGGCGTTCGACGATCCTTAACGCTAGGAGAAAGCCCTTATACTAATATTAGAAGATAAAGGTTTCGAGTCGAAACCTTTAAAACCCTATATAAAATTAGGGTTTAGGGTAATAACTTCGACCCGAAACCTTTACTTTATAAGAGCCGAAACCTTTGCTCTAATAAGCTTTAAATTAGCTGAAACTTATATAGCTTAGTCCTTTAGTATTAATCTCTTTATATACAACATTTTATTTGTCTATCTATAAGATTTATAGACTTATTTTATAGTAATAATCGCGCTAAAGACGTACGTTACGACGGATCTAGGAGCTTCCCCGTATTAGACCCTAAAGTTAAAAAGTATCGCTTAGTAGTCGGAAGCTAGAGCTCTAGAGGGAATAGGCATTAAGGGGTAGAACTAATACTTATATTATAATTATGTTAGTTAACTACTGTTACAGTACCGAGTTCCTTATATTATAGCTTCTCCGTATTACCTAACTTCCTCTTACTATATCTGTCACCCTAACTACTATATTATAACACTCCTCCTTAGTCTAGACGGCGGATGTTAGTAAGACCTAGCTAGTTAATAAATCTTATAAAGTCCGGCTTAGGCAATAGCTTTATAAAGCCGTCTATAACTATGTCTCTTATTCCTATAAACTCGACATTAATTCTGTTTCTCCGGTGTAAGTCTCTAATATAATAGTATATAATATCGATATGTTTTAACCTCTTATAAGTATAGGTATCTCTAACTAACGATAGAGAAGCTTAGTTGTCGCTAAATAGTTTAACTAGTAATCTAATAACGAAGCTTTACTCTTCTTTTATAGTTAGCTAATATTAGTTGCAACTAATATTCTTACTATAGCCTATGTCTCTTAGAAGTTAAGCTAGCTATTATAACTGCTTCGCAGCCTAACATATAGCTATATATTCGGCTTCTATAGTTAAGGTTATAACTAACTTCTACTTCTTACTAGACTAGCTAATAGGATAGTTGCCTATTATAAACACATTTCCTAAGATGGATATCCTATCTAGCTTATCTATTACGTAGTCTAAATTAGAGTAGCCGACAAGTTATTATATGCCTTCTACATTATATTCTAGGCTAAGGTCTATTATTAAACGTAGGTACCTTATAAGGGATTTTAATAGTTTAAAATGCCCTTCTAATAGGTCCGACAGATATTAGCTTAGCCTTCTAATTATAAATGAGATGTTAGGCCTTATTAGAATTGCTAGGTAGATAAGGCCGCCGATAATCTTCTAATACTCCTTCTAGTCTGCTCTCTTATCTTATAGACTAGCTAGTTTTAACAGATTATATCTATTTAGTAGAATACTAATTAGATTAGCCTTCTCCTTATCTATTCTATACCTTAATAGAAGATCCTTAGTATAGTAAGACTAATCTAGAGTAATCGTTCTATTCTTTCTATTACGAATGACTTAAACTCCTAGGATCTTACTTACTTCTTCTAGGTCTTTAATCTTATAGATCTCTCTAAAGTGTTTCTTAAACCAGTTAATGTAGTCTATCTATTTAGCTCTAATTAGGATGTTATTAATATAGACTAGAATAAGAATTTCTTTCTCTAGATGTCTTAGAAGGTATAAGTCGGCGTCTATTTAAATAAAGCCTATCTTCTATAACGATTCTATACAGCTCTAATTCTAATCTCTTATAGCTTGTTTTAGGCCGTAAAGTAATCTTAGTACTTTAAATATATAACCTAGTAGAATATTTATTCTAGGTAGTACTACTATATAAATCTCCTCCTTTAATGTTAACTTAGTAAAGGCATTATTAACATCGACAGTATAGCACTTAAGATCCTCTATTATAATAATTATAAAGAACACCCGTAGTATATTATAGCTGTTACGGATTAAACCGCGATCTAACGATTAAATAGTAGCCTATAATATAAGGAGGTTTTACTAAGGAGGAAAAGGAAGGGGACGGAAAGTCCGTCCTCTTCGTACGACGCTTATATACGCTAAGTCGGGGAATTCCTAGCGTCAGCCGAGGTTAGGGTCGCTACTATAGTAAGACCCTATAATAATACCTCCCTCCTTACCGCTAAGAATACTACCGCGCGACGTCCGTTTAAGCTCTATTAAGCTCGTTATTTTCCCTCCTCCTTACTATACGAAGTAATCTAAAGTAAATTAACTCCCTTACTCTACAGGGTTTCCTAAGTTACTTTTTAATCTAACTCTAGGTTAAAAGGTCCCCTGCCCTCGGGGCCTTTTCCCTATATCCCGCCGGCTAATCGGATCCCGCGAGCCGACCTCTAGACCTGCCCTTAGGGCCTTTTCGCCTATACGCTAAAGTCATTTTTAATCTCTACCTATACGGAGCTAAAAATTATAGCGTGTAAAAGTCCGCCTCGACATCTAGCCGGTATACCGACATCTCTACCGTTCGAGCCGTAGTTACGTTATTCGATTATATATTAAAGATAGCTACTCGTCTCTGTTCGACGCGACGCTAAGACGCGACCGAAGACTAAAGAGCTCTCCCCGCCCTACCCTTCCCGTACGACGACTTGTTATAAGAAAGCAAAAAGAAAAAAACATATAAATATATATATATATATATATATATATATATACACATAAAGCAGCGTACGAGTAGCACCCCTATACGTAGCTCTACCGCGCTAACCGCCCTAAGCACTTCTCGTACGAGGATTCTTCTCGACTTTAGGTCCCTAGCGCGCGCGCGTATACGCGCACTCTCGATATCGATCGATATCTCTTACCTCGTACGGAGTCGAGTATAGGTAGGAGTGGGACTGCTTCCTTTATAGCGTATATCGCTTTAGCGTACGGCCGGGCTAGATCGGTACGTACTAGAGTAAGCGATATTAGATTAAGGGTAACCGACTTCGTACTATCGAAGCTCTCTATTAGTCCGTCTGGGCGGAAAACTACTAGAGCTCGTACGAGATACCCTCCTCCTTAGAAGAAGCCGATCTAATCCTCTTTCTCTATAGCGATACGTTCTAGTGTCGGCTCGATAAGCAATCTTATTATTACATCTACTAAAATGTCTGAAAGATAAGGGAGCATTATCGTATAGCGTATAGCTAGTTAGAATTCGGTAGGAAAGGTCGGCCGTCTAAGCTCGTACGTAGCTTAGCTCCTCCTACTATACGGACCTAGCTAGCGTAGATCGAAGTATCGT